TTACTTATGGATGCCAATCAGTCATCTGAAATAAAGTCAGCTCTCCACGTTAGGGGTGCAGGACCCCTGTGAAGGTGAAAAAATGCCAATAAAGAAATTACTATATTTTACTTGTGAGATACCGCTCTAGGAACTTCTAGAGAGCATTGTAGGACCTAAAGATTCCTAGAGATAATATTTTTAAACTGTGAATAATCATATTGACAAAAGTCAAAACCGCAAATCTAAAGGGATTTCCTTTAACTTCCTGAATCTTTTCCTATCCTATCTAGAGATGCCAGGGTTAAGCATTGGTCCTTCATCAGAATGAATAAGAACTACAGGCGTGACTTTCCTTCACCAGTGTTGCTTCATTAATAAAAATGTTTGAGACACCATGTAATATTTAGATGAAAGACATTTTCATGTCTATCTCATATTTCTATTGGTACGGATGCTATATGGCTATCTACTACAGTTTTCCTGGTTGATTTTCCTGCTTCTTGGGAGGGGGTTTGGATAGATGGCCCACGAGGTCTCTTCCGATTCTGTGATTTGAAGTCAACAGAATTCTTTTACTCTATGCTATATTAAATACATTTGCTTTTATGTATCACAGGCCATGCTACATGATAATTTGATTTTTGAATAATTTGACTTTGAGAACCCCTGCCCTTTGCTGAATTGGTGTAGTAGAGGAAAAAAAAGCAATATTTTGCCTTAAAAATAGAACTGGTCAACATGTGCCCACCTGATGTTTTGGCTCTGTTCAGCTGCTGAATTTGGCAACATGTTAGTGAGGAATTTGGGAATGAGGTGGAGAGACCTTCCAGTCCCTTCTTGAGACTTTAGCTCATTGTATCTTATACAGGTAATGCTTAACCATAGTTCATTGTTAAAAGATCACTAGAGCCTTAATATACTGAAATTTGTGTAATACATAGGGAAAAAAATCTAGGTGCTAATAACTACAGATTCTTATACAGTCTTTTGGAAGACAGCTGTAGGCTTCTGAAAATCAGAGACTGACAAAGTGTAGTCCATGAGCCACGTATACCCCCCTCCAAAAAAAAAAACCCCTCATATTTTTGCTCCAATATAACTTGAAGTTTCTCATCACCTTCCTATTTTTCAAAAGTTTTTTTCTTGAAATGACCTAAAATGCTTTAGTGATCCTGGAAGATCCTAAGACTGGATAAGAATTTCCCCTAAAAGGTGTTTAGAAGCTTTTTATTTCCAGGAACAGGTGTGTATGGCCCTTCAGAGTCTCCCAAGGGACTTACGTGGCCCAGTACCCTTCCAGAATTGCCTACCCTTGCCAAACCTTGTTTTAGATAGGAAGGTAGATATACTTTTATTTCATTATTGCATAATTATTTACTTATTTATTTTAGAGTACAACCAGCTACATAAAATATTAGTGGGGGGAAAAACTAATTCTGATTAAGGAAATGAAATATGAGACAAATTTACTATCTAGTAGAGTTCAGATTGGCATCTTTTCTTTTTCAGTATAGCCAGTTTGATTAGTGAAATGGAAGACATGTGGCTTGAAGATAAGTTTCTAAAATGTCAGCAAGGTAAGGGAGATTTTTGTTTTGTTTTTAAAGATGCCCAAAAACTGTATTGGTAGAAGTATAGCCTTTGGTGTATTCACAATACAGTTTCAGTAATGTGCAATCCTGCTGTTGTTTTGAGGGGTACGCTGATCCCTGAACAACATTGAAGCGAAAAGTTAGGTCTGTTTCAAAAGTAGATATAGAAAGACTTGTCTATTTATTTTATTATATTTTTATTTCATTATATGCCGCCTTTCCTTCTGGAGTATGGCCCAAGATGTGTGTAAAATAAGAAAGAGCATTTACCTTGAGAAAGTGCCATTTATTTTTTATTGAAAGAACAATATTTCACATCTGCCGAGGAAGACTTATCGTAAGCTTTAAAAATGACATATCCAGGCTTCCCGAAGTTTTTATGCAAGATAGAAATGTGTTAGAGTCACAATACAGTATCTGTTTTAATTTGCAGTATTTACTTCTAAATGATGTCTCAGATTTAGAGAACTCTTTCTAAAGGAAATAGTTGAATTACCTGCCCAAAAAATGTCAAAAGGATAGGTACCTATTGAAACCGATCAAATCAAATTAAGCCATCTCTGAGGAACAGGTCTTTGAATATGTATACTTTAGAAAGCTTTCAGCGAACAACTCAGTTGTTTGTTTTTGTGTAAAGTACAGCTTACACAACACCTGTAGGGATGTAGCGATAGATATATCAACTAGCTGAACACTTCCACGCTCCATCTATCATAGACAAAGAGAACTTGATTCTTAAGAACTGACGGCTAGTGTGATGCTCTATTCATTATTAACTTGTCTTAACTGGCCATGTTTATAACAGCTTACCACCACTGGTTGATGAGCGCTATTTTTAATTGACTGTTAGTAGATGTTTTATATGTCCATATGTTGTACTTAATTATATTTTAAAGTTGTTTTCATTTTATGTTCTGTGTTTAGGCACTTGTGTCATGTGTAAGCCGCCCCGAGTCCCTCCAGGGAGATGGTAACAGAATATAAGAATCATCATCATCATCATCATCATTATTAACATAACATGGAATACAACCTGTCTAAGTTGACAAATGTCAGGGACTATCAGGGTAGATTCATGATCTGTTCATTTGCCCTAGTAAACCTTTCAATGTGTGTCCCTTTACTTTGCTTTAAGGCAGTACAATGTTCTCTTGCTACTTAGCTGAAATAGCAATTTTGATATCTGGCTGTATTTGTAATAGTCATTCTGTCTCAATGGATGTGAGCAGTGCACTTGCTAAAGTCAGATTTATAAAAGTATAGGAAGGAAAATCGAAATCTTGTATTACAATAAAGTGTGTGTGTGTGTAGACAGACAAACAGGCCTCTTAACCACAGGATCTGGATTTGCAATTTCCAGTGGCTGCAGGCATCTGTACCCCATATATATTAGTAATGGTGGCAACATGAAAGTGGACACAATATGAGCATTATTATCCACATGTTTTCATATCTGCCAAAGGTCTTAGAACTGAACCCCTGCAGATATTTATTTATTTATTTATTTACATCACTTATATCCTGCCCATATCAGCCCGCAGGCGACTCAGGGCGGTCTACATATTGGCACAATTCGATGCCATCAATACAATACAACGGCAAAAACAATTAAGTGCATTTAGACAAAAAAGGCAGTGCAATAACAATTTAAAAAGAGCTATATATCCTCTCATTCCAATCCTCATCCGTTTCATCGTCTTGGCCGTTCCTGGGTCATTCTCCATCTCAAGCTTGACTATCTATTCCGGGGTTCTGAAGGCTTGCTCGAAGAGCCAGGTTTTTACTTTCTTCTGAAAAGTCAGGAGGGAGGGGGCTGATCTAATATCCCTAGGCAGGGAGTTCCACAGCCGAGGGGCCACCACAGAGAAGGCCCTGTCTCTCGTCCCCGTCAAACGTGCTTGTGAAGCAGATGGGATCGTGAGCAGGGCCTCCTCAGATGATCTCAAGTTTCTGGAGGGTTCATAGGGAGAGATGCGTTCGGATAGATAAGCAGGACCGGAACCGTTTAGGGCTTTATAGGCTAAAGCCAGCACTTATAATTGTGCCGGTAGCAAACTGGCAGCCAGTGGAGCTGGCACAGCAGAGGAGTTGTATGCTCCCTGAGTGCCGCTCCTGTTAGTAATCTGGCTGCCGAGCGTTGGACTAGTTGGAGCTTCCGGGCCGTCTTCAAAGGCAAGCCCACGTAGAGAGCGTTGCAGTAGTCTAAAGGGGATGTAACCAGAGCGTGGACTACCATGGCCAAGTCAGACTTCCCAAGGTACGGGCGCAGCTGGCGCACAAGCTTTAACTGTGCAAATGCTCCCCTGGTCACCATCGAAACCTGGGGTTCCAGGCTCAGCGATGAATCCAGGATCACACCCAAGCTGCGAACCTGCATCTTCAGGGGGAGTGTAACCCCATCCAACACAGGCTGTAATCCTATGCCCTGTTCGGCCTTACGACTGACCAGGAGTGTGCCTCTGTCTTGTCTGGATTCAGTTTCAATTTGTTAGCCCTCATCCAGTCCGATACAGCGGCCAAGCACCGGTTCAGGACCTGAACAGCCTCCTTAGTAGTAGGTGGAAGGAGTGACAGAGTTGGACATCATCTGCGTACAGATAACACCGTACCCCGAAACTCCGGATGATCTCCCCCAGCGGCTTCATGTAGATGTTAAACAACATGGGGGACAGTATAGAACCCTGCGGGACCCCACAAGACAATGGTTGTGAGGTCGAGCAGTTGTCCCCCAGCAACACCTTCTGGGTACGATCCTCTAGGAAGGACCTGAGCCACTACAAAACAGTGCCACCAAGGCCCATTCCCTCGAGGCGTCCCAGAAGGATACCGTGGTCGACGGTATCAAAGGCCGCTGAGAGGTCCAGCAGAACCAACAGGGACACACTCCCCCTGTCTAGCTCCCGGCGCAGATCATCCACTAAGGCGACCAAGGCTGTCTCGGTACCATGTCCCGGCCTAAAGCCAGACTGTGCCGGGTCTAGATAATCGGTGGGCTCGGTACCATGTCCCGGTCTGAAACCAGACTGTGCCGGATCCAGAATATCCGTGTCTCTCAAGAATACCTGGAGTTGTGAGGCCACCACGCTTTCCATGACTTTGCCCAAAAAGGGGAGATTGGAAACAGGCCGAAAGTTATCGAATTTAGTGGGGTCCAGTGATGATTTCTTCAACAGCGGTTTTATAACTGCTTGTTTTAAGCACGCTGGAATCTTGCCTTCCCGAAGGGGGCATTAACCACCACCTCACCCACTCGGCCAATCCCCCTCTGGCCTCCTTTAGAAGCCAGGATGGGCAGGGGTCCAGGATGCATGTGGTTGCCCTCATTCCTCCAAGTATCTTGTCCACACCCTCGGGTTTCACCAATTGAAATGAATCCATCAAAATCGGACAAGCAGGTGCTCGTGTTACATCCTCAGAGACCGCCGTTAACATGGTATCCAGGCCAGAACGGATCAAAGCGACTTTGTCCGCAAAGAACCGAGGAAATGCTTCACAGCGGGCCGTCGAGTTGTCAGATATGGCAGGCCCACTGTATTCCTTTTATTTCAGAATAGTTACTAAAAGAATTTAAAAAAATAAACTCTTCTGAAGAGCACATGTAGTCAGTGAATACAGAGAGCAGTCTGGAATGTTGCCTCAGACCTCTTCATGAATGGGGAAGGATTCCCTTGTTCTGTTGGGGTTGGGAGTCCTGATGAAACCTGCAACCTTCTTGTTGACTGTCACTACGAATATTTCGTCGCGGGCAATTATGTATACATGTCACCTTTCCTTGATTTCGTTTAGTTCATGCACTGGCATTTAAAAATGAATTTCTGGAAAGAATTTTGCCTGTTGCTTCATGACATCAACACAGTATTTGAAATATCCACGAATACTTTTGTGAATACATTAAAAAGTGTAAAAAAGTTGAAAATATACAATTTCTAGGGTGTTGGAAAATTGAATCCCAGAGATCATTCACTTGAAATTTGGGCTTTGAGCATCACTGTCCATTTTGCAGTTGAATGTTAAGAAGTGACCATATCCTTTATTAGACACTTGCAGAGCCAAACCATTCCAGAGCAATGTGTACAAAAAGTGAAATCATTTAACATGAGGAAGACATAGAAGTATAAGAAGGGTGCAGCTAGATGGCATATGAAATACCTGGTTTAGATCACTGAGGAAATGTGGCAGTAAAAAGATACGTTTTGAACACCTTACTGAATGTCCGTAGTGAAGGAGCCAAACAAATGTTAACTGGAGGAGTATCTCAAGAGTATCAGGCCTAGTATCAGACCCAGAACTGAACCTTTCATCAGATATTTGAGGCTCGCCCAAGAACCTTAAGGAAATGTCAATATAGAGTTGCTAATGAATCCTGTTTGTTTGTTTTTTTCTTATGACTTTGAATAAAAGTTGTGCCAGCATCAGGCTATTCTGTACCAAAAGCCTAATTCCAATAATTGCCGTCTCTCCCAGGTAATTAAAATCTGTGTACACAACCATATGAGTTTTGAAAGGCAAGAGAATTTTCAAGTCTTCTCTTAATGACTGTTCAGAATTGGTTGGCTAAAAATCAGAAATTGGCCTTGCCCAATTTACCTTTGGCTTCAACCCTCAGAAGGAATGTGAAACACACCCATACCAGTTTGGAGTGTGAACTAAAAAGTGTCCCTTTCCCTACACCATTAAAAAATATTTCAAGGTTACACTTTTACTTAATCTGTCCTCACAGTGAAGGCATTAAGAAAGCTGCTCCATCTTGCATTTGATTTTCTGTTCTTGAAAGAAGCTACCTGTTTTCTAATATTAGGCTTGCATCAGGAAGCCCTTCTTGTGTGGCATCAAAATTGATTTTGCCAGTCAGAATGTGGGCTGAAAGGTGAGGATGTACTTATGAATGCTTAGCTCTCACTTTGGTGTCCCAAGGAACAAAATGTTGTAATATGGACAGTTTCTTTTCAGAGGGTGAGCCTTTACCAGGATAACCCCATTTCCCACGTATTCCTTCCCAATCTTTTGCTGCCATTTTGTTATAACTGAGAATACAGGCAGTTACAAACATTCTACTTACAATCGAGTCATAGTTAAGAATGGGAATGAGGCAACAGGATGTGAGATAAATTATCCCCTAGGAAGGGAAATTCACTCCTGGAAGAGTTATCATGGGGAAAAGGTGTCTCCACTGAATAATTATCACCAATCCTTGTTTCTACAGAAAGCCATTTTTTTTCCAAAATCCAATTATCACAGGGACAGAAAGTGAGGTGAAATCTTCTGAACAGGGGCACAAACAGCAAAACAAATGCCACATGGGTGTTAACCCTTCCTTTTTCTATCCAAAGCTTGCTCTCTCTCTCTCTATATATATATTTGGATGGCATTACTTACTTTACCTATTTAGGCGATCCCTTGTTGTCCGAGTAATCTTCCAGGGTGTGTCCGTAGGTGACTATGAAGCCCTATTCTTGATCTGCATCATCTCCTGCAGTGAGGGCATTGGTTTCCAGATGAAAGGCGGTCCCGGTCGGGGTTGGCTTGACGTGCTTTCCTCTTGGCACATTTCTCTCTTTCGCCCTCCATTCGTGCCTCTTCAAATTCTGCAGCACTGCTGGTCACAGCTGACCTCCAGCTGGAGCGCTCACAGGCCAGGGCTTCCCAGTTCTCAGTGTATATGCCAGAGCTTTTAAAGTTGGCTTTGAGCCAATCTTTAAATCTCTTTTCCTGCCCTCCAACATTCTGTTTTCCGTTCTTGAGTTCAGAATAGAGCAACTGTTTTGGGAGACGGTGGTTAGGCATCTGGATAACGTGGCCGGTCCAGCGGAGTTGATGGCGGATTACCATCGCTTCAATGCTGGTGGTCTTTGCTTCTTCCGGCACGCTGACATTTGTCTGCTTGTTTTCCCAAGAAATTTGCAGGATTTTCCGGAGGCAGCGCTGATGGAATCGTTCCAGAAGTTGCATGTGACATCTGTAGACAGTCCACGTTTTGCAAGCGTATAGCAGGGTTGGGAGGACAATAACTTTATAAACAAGCACCTTTGGTATCCCTAGGGATGTCCCGGTCCTCAAACACTCTCTGCTTCATTCGGAAAAATGAGCTCAGGCGGTGTTGTATTTCGGTGTCGATGTTGACTTTTGTGGAGAGGTGGCTGCCAAGGTAGCGGAAATGGTCAATATTTTCTAATGTTACACCATTAAGCTGTATCTCTGGCATTGGAGAGGGGTTGGCTGGTGACTGCTGGAACAGCACTTTGGTTTTCTTGATGTTCAATGATAGGTCGAGCTTCTCGTATGCTTCTGCAAAGGTGTTTAGAGTGGCTTGTAGATCTTCTTCTGAATACACACAGACCACATTGTCATCAGCATACTGGAGTTCATTCTCGTGGTATCTATGGAATGCACACCTGCGGCAGCTCCAGAAATTCTCAACAATAATTAACCCGACTCCGGCCCCGCCCTTGCGCTCCCAAGCACGTGTCCAGCCCAGTTCCCTTTTTTCTGCCCAACTCGGGAGCGCAAGGGCGGGGCCGGAGTCGGGTTAAAAGAAGTGACAGCTCCTTTTCTCTCTCTCCTTGTTCTTTTTCCTTCCTTTTTTCCCCATGGCTTCCAGTTTTAAAAGGTGCTCGGTATGCGGGGATAACTTCTCGGACACCGATGCCCATGATCTCTGCCTCCTCTGCCTGGGGGAGGTGCACCCGGTGGCCTCTTGCTCGGCCTCTTGCTCGGCTCATGCCCCAGGCCCGAAAACGCCGAGACGCACGCCTGAAGGCGCTCTTGTACAAGCGCGCACTCTTTCCTCCCTCCTCCATCCTCCGCCCGCCATCTACGGCGCCCTCGGCTGAGGGTGCCGCCCCTCCCCTGGGCTCACCGCCTTCGCTGCTGCCTTCCTCGTCGTCAGGCCGCTGGGCTCCATCTGCCGCGAAGCGGCCTCCTCCTGACGCTTCGGGCCACAACTCCTCCAAGCCAAAGAAGAAGAGGAGGGAGGAGGAGTCTTTGGCGGACCAGCGCTCCCCGGCTCCGCCTCTGGCGTCTCCGGACCCGCCCACTCCAGCGCAGAGGCTGCGCTGCACGCCCAGCCTGGCGTTGCAGTCCTCAGGCCCTCAAGACCTTCCTCCCTCAGACCTGGCCTATCGGGCCCAACGGGCGGGACCAGCCTTCTCCCCATTTCGCTCTCTCAGCCCGTCCCAGTATGCCCTCCCAACGTTTACTCCCCCCCTGCGGGCCAGCCGCCCAGCGAGTAGCTTGGTCACCTGGCATGGGGCAAACGGCCCTCCTTCGTATTCCAGGGACCTGTCCATCCACTGGTCCGGGGGGGGGGCGGTCCTATGTTTATGCACCAGTTCTGGTGCCGGAACACAACCCTACTCTTCCACCAGCCCTTTCGGGCCCACGCCATGCCTCTCCATCCCTTCCTCCTCTGGAGGCTGACGAGGAGGATATTGCTCCTCAGGATTTTCCTCTCTTTCTAGATCCCATGCCTCTCTCCAGCTGGACCCAGCGCTCTCAACGCATCCTCCAGCTCCTCCAGACACGTCGGCGTTCACCTCCCTCCTCACCCGCCTCTCTAGGGCCCTCAAGGTCCCCGTGGCTGCTCCACGCCAACCTGTTGATGACTCTTTTTCCGTCGGACGAGCAACAGCAAGCCCCTCTTCCGGCGGCGGTTCTCCCGGGTATTCCATACCTCCTCCAACTCACCAAGACCCCCGACCTTCCACCTCCTTCTATCAACCCTGTGTCTTAGAGGAATGACTTGCTTTACAAGATTGACCTTACCTCTGCCCTCTGGCTTGCCCGGCCTCCCCAACCGAATACGGTGGTGGCCGGCATGACGCCGGGCAAGCGCTTCAAGCCTCACAGTACCCCCTCTGACAAGGAGGGCCGGAAACTAGATTCCGTGGGCAAGAAGGTACATACTAGTGCAGCTTTTGTCGCCCGTCTTGCGCACTATGAAGTTTACTTTGCCTCAAACCAGACCTACCTTTGGAAACTCATGTCCTCCTATGTGCCTTACCTACCGGATGCTCAACGCCCTTTGGCGGAAGCAATTCTCCAGGAGGCTCTCTCCTTATCCAGGGCGCAGAACGATATGGCCAAGCATGCTGCAGACTCCTCGGGTCACCTCCTTGCGACCTCCACTGCCATCCGCCGACATGCTTGGCTCCGCGCTTCCACCCTCTCGGAGGAGGGCAGGGCACTAGCCAAGAATCTCCCTGTTCATGACTCTGGCCTCTTCAACCCGGACACAAACACCCAACTCAAGGAGACGCAGGACGTTCGCCAGGCAGCCCATAAGTTTGGCCACACCACGCAGCGGCCTGTTCGCACCTTGGGTCGGTGGACTTCTTCCCCGGCTTTCACCCGCAGGCCCTACCAACCGGGCAACAGGCCCTTCCCTCAGGCCTCCTCTGCCCAACCGCCCAGGCAACAGCAACCTGCTCGCCCGGGCCAGCAGGCTAAGCCTCGTTTTCAGGGGAAGGGGCGCCAGCGCTTTTAGCGCTAACTCCCCGCGCTCCCCCTTCCCCACCTCCCCCGCTTTCGACACCCCTCCCCTTCCCGGGCGACGCGATGCCCTGCCATTTTTGTTAGATTTTAGTGACCTTGAGCGGCACCAACTAGTGCCTGGGGTCCATTTTCAGTTTGGCTCGCGTCTTGCAGCCTTCCTTTCGGCCTGGCAGGCCATCACCACGGACAAGTGGGTCCTTGCCGTGGTTCAGTTGTGCTAAGCTGTTGATTTTCTTTCTTTACCCCCTACGGGGTTTGTGAAACCCACCCACCCCTCCCAGGAGTTATGGGAGGAGGTGTCCTCCTTACTACTGAAGGGAGCAATTATCCCGTTACACCCTGACTCATTTCTGTCGGCTTTCTTTTCTCGTTATTTTTTAGTTGCTAAGAAGGGAGGAGGCCAGCGGGCCATCCTCGACCTTCGGGAACTTAATACTTATGTTTACTCCCCTACCTTTCGGATGGTGACTCTCCCTACCATCCTCCCACTTCTCCCCTCGGGGATGTGGTTCACTACGATCGATCTCCGTGACGCCTACTTTCACGTGGCAATCTCCCCTTCCCACCATAGGTTTCTCTCCTTTATGATAGGTGATCAGGCTTTCTCCTACCGGGTGCTCCCCTTTGGAATTTCCACTGCCCCCAGGGTGTTCATGAAGTGCATGGCCGCGGTGGCGGCCTTCCTCCGCACTCAGGGCGTCATCGTGTTCCCTTATATAGATGATTGGCTACTTGTGGGCTGCTCCCGCCACTCACTCCTTTCTGACATCCGGTTCATCCTCTGACTTCTCCAGGACCTGGGCCTCATGATGAATCACACCAAGTCACGACTCGCCCCTACGAGGACGATACAGTTCATCGGGGCCGTCCTCGACTCCACCTCCCGCACTGCCTTCCTCCCCGAGGATCGCTTCCGGACTCTCTGGTCGCTCCTGCTGACTGCCCTCCGCCTCCCGTCGGTCCCCATGCGGTTCGTACAGTCCATCCTGGGCCATATGGCATCGACGACGGCTGTCACCCCCTTCACTCGGCTTCACATGCGCCCCCTTCAGGCTTGGTTCCTCCGTCATTTCAGCCTCCTCCACGACAGTCTGCGAACGTCCCTCCTCCTCCCACCCCGCATCCGCCGCTCCCTCTGCTGGTGGCTTCATCGACCGACGGTTTGTGCGGACATGCCCTTCCGTCCCAGGGACCCATCCCGGATGCTTACCACGGACGCCTCCCTGTCGGGTTGGGGAGCACACACCGGCCGCCACTCAACGCAAGGGGTCTGGTCACCGGCAGAATGCCACTTCCACATCAACTACCTAGAAATGCTCGCCCTCTTCAAGGGCCTCCAATCTTTCCAGGACCTTCTCACTGGCCACCCGGTGCAGGTCCGCATGGACAACACCACCGTCGTGTGGTACATAAACAAACGGGGGCACGCGGTCCGCCTCCCTCCTTCAACTCACCCTAACAATATGGCATTGGTGCCTTGCCAATGGCATTCACATCTCGGCCATCCATGTCCCCGGGCAATCCAACGCCTGTGCCGACCTGCTGAGCCGGTCTCTTACGCCGGGCCACGAGTGGTCTCTTCACCCAGATGTCGTCGGCGACCTCTTCCATCGATGGGGACCCGCATCGATAGACCTGTTTGCCGCGCCGGACAACGTGAAGTGCGCCATCTTCTGCGCCTGGGGGGCAGCGCCGGCACAGACGTCCTGCCTGGGTGACGCCTTCCTCTTTCGCTGGACGGGACCCCGCATCTATGTTTTCCCTCCAATACCGCTCCTCTCCAGGGTGGTCTCCAAACTGTACCATGACAGAGCGGACGCCATCGTGATTGCCCCCTGGTGGCCTCGCCAGCCCTGGTTTCCTCTCCTAACCCACATGGTGGCGGGCTGCCACTACCGCCTGCCGCGACGGCCGGACGTCTTGACCGTTGCCCAGGGCACCATCCGCCACCCCGACACCCAGTGGCTTCACTGGGTGGATCCAACCAGTGGCTTCACCTGGCGGATCAAACCGCTGAACTCTCTGCCGTGGTTTGAGACATCTTAGCCACAGCCCATAGGCTGTCCACCCAGCGTTCCTACGCCCGCGAGTGGGAAGTGTTCTCCGCCTTTACTCAGGCTCGTCAGGCCGGCCCGCTAACAGCACCGGCGCCCATTCTCCTAGACTTTCTTGCCTCCTTGTCGCACAGGGGCCTGGCCCTGTCCTCCCTCAAGTGCTACTTAGCGGCTATCGCTGCATATAGGAAACGCCACCGGTTCCCATATCCCTTTCAGGACCCGTTGGTACAGCTTTTCCTCCAGGGCCACAAGAACGCATTTCCTCCCCGGATCCTCCCCCTGCATGGGATCTCCGCCTCGTTCTCTCCTCCCTCACCAAGCCATTTTGGATGTGTTTATTAAAGAAATGGAATTCACAGGTGTAATATGTGTCTGAAGACTTCCCATTTTAGTTGCCAGTTAGTACCAGCCTAAAATTGTGCTAAAAATCCCAATGTTATTTTTGTATGGATGCCCTTTCTGAGTGCATAGAATTGCTTTCTTGGTTTTGTCAGATGTCTTCAGAAACCCATCCACCTGTCTTCCTAAATCTAGGGAAAAAATCTCAAAATGGCCAGCCACACTCTTTTTGAGCCATTTCAAGACAGACTGAAAGTGAACCCACAGACAGAGGGAAATATGCTGAGATGACCAGTTGTGTCCCCAAAGGATGCATTTGCTCTTCTGTAGGTGAAAATTAGGAGGGTCCAATGGGGGTCCTGCTAGGCTACTTGCCTGCCTTCCTTGAACTAGATTTCCTGTTTTCTTTTATTCAAAAAGAAGTAGGACACATGGATTGGATAGCACGTATATTCTGGATCAGTTATAAATTATGTTATCATGACAATTTTGCTTTGTTTTGTTTTAGGTTTCAATTTGGCATCACATTGCCTCCTGTACTGGTAACAGCTCTGTTCCTTGATCAACGTGATAATTTGGAATGCTTCAGCACCTGACAAAATGATTGACGGAAGTGGAAAATATGATTTCTACATTGGTCTGGTATTGGCAATGAGCTCTAGCCTTTTCATTGGCGGCAGTTTTATCCTGAAGAAGAAAGGTCTCCTTCGGCTGGCCAGGAAAGGCTCAATGAGAGCGGGTTAGTTCAAGCACTGTCATCATTATTTTTTCAGCTTTGAGTCAAATTTTTGGTTGTATTTATACGTTTGTATGCGCAGCAGATTAAACCACTGAGCTACTGAAAGGTCGGCAGTTTAAATCCGGGGAGCTGGGTGAGCTCCCGCTGCTAGGCCCAGCTTCTGCCAACCTAGCAGTTCAAAAACATGCAATTCTGAGTATATAAATAGGTACCGCTTCTGTGGGAAGGTAACGGCGGCTCCATGCAGTCATGCTGACCACACGACCTTGGAGGTGTCTATGGACAATGCTGGCTCTTCGGCTTAGAAATGGAGATGAGCATCACCCCCCAGAGTCGGACACGGCTAGACTTAATGTCAGGGGAAACCTTTATCTTCACTATGCCACATTACTTTATACAAAGCAAGATTTCTGGGATTTCATGCTGAATTTGACAAATGGATTACAGTTGAAAACATGAAGAGTTCTATGGCTGGCATTCCATAATGCAGGAAGGAACTTCCTTTTCCTTCAAATCTAAGTGGCTCTGTATATTCTAAGAAATCTCATTCTTCTCAAGTTAGTGTGGTATTCATCACATAAACACGGTAAGAGACAGAGCACGGAATTAAAAGCCACCATTGTCTCTGCTATTGTAGAGTCCTAACATCACCTTCCCTTTTGATTTCCAGCAAATGCCCAATAACCTTATTCACAAAGTTTTTTAAACAAAAATTCAACATTGAGAACTCAAACGTTATTCCAAAAACTTCTATAAGCCATGTCAAACTCAGAATGTTTCAAAATGTATGTTCTAACACCAATTTTGAGTTTCTTGGTATTTATCTTCATATGCTCCAATGGATAATGCTGATATATGTGTATGAAATACATGTAGGATATACTTAAACTTTGTAGTTTTCATATTTTAAGCTCTGTGAATGGCAAATTCTACTATTTGTGATCTAGACTTAGTCAAATTCAAAGCAAGTCAATGTTACCTGTTTCCAGAATTTGACTACAATTCCAAGAATTCCTTAGGTTGGTGACTGTGGGGGTGAGTCTATGACAGAAATGAATGGGCCATTGTTTCCTAGCTTGTGCTGAGCAAGGCAGAAGGGAAAATGCCGTTTTACTTCCCCTCCCCCCATCCTGCACATGCAGGCTGTTCTTAGATTCCTTCCTACTGATTAGAATTTGACAGGAATAAAGTATTTGAACTGGTATAATACCCTGCCTCACTGAGAAGGAGGCAGGCCCCATGAATCCATGGCTTTTCTGAGAACACATTCCTGTCTTACCATTATTGGGTCATTGGGGATGGCATGTTTCATCACTTTCACACTGGGAGGGTGAAGCAATATACTTCTGTATCTGTGAAAAGAGAAGACTGTAGTTCCTTTGGTGCCTTCCCATTCACTTATGTCTCACAATATATGCTGCTTGCTTCGATGCCACTTTAAATTGCTTCATGCTTTGGATGCTGATGTTTGTAGTATGAGATCCTTGATAATTTTTTTCTTGAGATCTCAGTGCTGTAGTTGAAAGGCTTATCTCTCTATCCATCCATCTTTATATCTATATTTAATTATTCTATTAATACCCTGCTTTACTCCCAAATGGGAATAGATAATTTAAAAACAATGGATCACAAGATTCCTGTGTAGTGTGGGTATGCTCTTAATCTGGATTGATCCCATTAACCCTCAGGTATTTCAATATTAAATTTCAAATGTGCAGATCTGATATTAAATGGTAATATATTAGGATATCATGAGAGGTCTGTTTTAAACACACACACACACTGTGGACATGGAGTTCCTCAGGCATAGCTAAAGTAGCTGTTTGCATCCTGACCAATACAAAGATTGCAATACTGGGAACCCGAAATATGCTTTTAAATTTATTTTTAAGATACCATAGTAACTATATTTTCTTTTTAAAATGAAATACAGGACAAGGTGGCCATGCATACCTCAAAGAGTGGCTGTGGTGGGCTGGACTCTTGTCAAGTAAGTAACTGGGAAGACCAAAAATTTGCTGTTAACTGTGAATCCAGAGCTACAGAATAAGGGATCTTCCGTACCAGAGATGGTTTGCCCTACTGATTCCATAATGCTGTATATAGTGATCAGCTAGCTAGCTGGGCTTTTTGTAAACTTGTCTAAACCATCTGAAAGGAAAAAATCCCTACCCCCAGCAATATGACACCTGGCCCACAAGAGAAGGACCAAAAAGAAAATGTTGAGATTCAGCGTAATTACTGTGAAAAATGAGCAGATAAGGTGATGGTGGGTATTCTGGAGCGTGTTAGCCAGAATAATTTTACAGTGTTAATAGGAAGAAAACTTGTGAGTATTAGAGAACTAGACTTTTCAGAGCCACCTGTTGTCTGCTTTTCTTCCTCACTATTGCAAGTCCACAGCAGTGTTTTATGACACATGCAAATATACTTGTTCTACTAAACCTTTTGGTTTCGTTCCGATTGAGATAAATCCCCAGTTCTAATTTTGATTTACTTTTATATCTGTTTATTTTCGAATTAACTTTAAATGCAACATTTTCCACTCAAACAAATAATTTTGTATCCTTTTTTATTTGAGGGAGCATTAATGAGAACTTTGAAATACGATCAAAACAGAAAGGGTAGTCTTGTTTGAAACATTTAGGTATTAGCTTTGAGCTCTGTTTAGAGTTTTATTTCTGTATTTTAATTAAAAAATAACAACAATGTTATAACAATAATGCTAATATTTTCATCAGGAACAGCTCAGTTCAAATTTTCTCTTTGTGTAACACTTGCTGTTTTTCAATTGACAGTGGGAGCTGGTGAAGTTGCAAATTTTGCTGCCTATGCATTTGCTCCAGCTACATTGGTGACTCCATTAGGAGCTCTCAGTGTTCTTGTAAGGTAAGGAATATGACACCATCAGAGAGGCAGAGCAGCTGTACATCCTTACTCAGGAGAATTATCAAACCTATATGCATTTATACTTTCTATTTTGAGCGTCACACATGAATGATTCACCCACTTCAGTACTGCATTCATATTTTTGTTTTCTATGTGTCATAATATGAAGCCAGAAAAAAGCAAGCTCATTTTCCCATTTAGTTTTCTCCTCTGCCATCATGCACTCACAAAGTCCTTTGATTCCTTCTTCTGTCCCTTACACCAGTTTAAGACACTGATGTTGTCTAAATGATTGTCAGAGTGGCTTTCCCATAGAATCATTGTTTTACTGACAATGTTAGCTATTCTCTTCTGTTTTTATTTCTGACTTGCTTTTGACTTATTCTCTGAACAGCACAATTATATGTGTGCTTACTCAAGTTAGTAACTCTGCATTAGTGGGCTTCCTCCTAGGGAGCTGTGTGTCTTTCAGTAGTAGATTCTATAGCCATGATGGTGAACCTATGAGACGCGTGTCAGCACTGACACACATGGCTAATTTTGATGACACGCGGCCACATTCAGAGAAGTACACCTTATAAGAGCCAATCTAATTCCATCCTTAAATTTGTAAAAGGCTCTACAAATTTAACATCTGCACGTTTGACCATTGTTCACGCCATAACTCAGCATGGAATATACATTTTTCTTATTTAAACTATAAATATTGCAAAATTATGTTTCTCTCTCTCGAAGTGACACCCCACCCAAGTTATGCTCAGGTTTTTGGCAAATTTTGACACACCAAGCTCAAAAGGTTGCCCATCACTGTTCTATAGCATTCTGCTGTGACTACGATCTCTACACAGAGTGATTGAAACAAGTGGAAAATTTATCTTTGTACAGTAGGACTACTTCCTGTATTTCTTAGGGTTCTTTATATGAAACCCTCTATCCTAGCTTGCATTAATTTAAAATTTTAATTTGCCATTTTTTCCAGCAAGAAAATAAAAGAAACGCCACAGAAGTTTTTAGGGTTCATTAAAAGGATTTAGGTTTCATGTTTGAATTTTCTTTGTACTTTGATCAACTCACTCTTCTACCCCATCGGTCTACTTGTTATTGCTTATGAATAAACTGCCCACAGTGGATAGGTTCTAGATAAATATGTTCTATTGAGTTGTGTTGCCTTTTATTGTAAAGCCTTATTGGATATGTCTGATATAATAATAATAATAATAATAATAATAATAATAATAATAATAATAATAAACAACTTTATTTATACCCCGCCACTATCTCCCCCAACGGGGACTTGGGGCAGTTTACATAAGGCCAAGCCCAAGCAACAGTTACAATAAAATAAAACACAAACACACATAACAACGCAATAAAATACAAAAAAACATATGAATACAGTAAGCAATGCAAAATATAAAATACATTATCCACAATTATAATGACATTGAGCGGGCCACATGTGCAAGATAAAACACTAAAAACTCAGGGTGAGATAAGGAGGAGCAGATTATTTATGAGGGAGAGCACATAAAGGAGTGGGGTTGTAAAAAAAGGGGCATTCATATAAATGGGAGATGAGTGCTCCAAGAACAGAGATGTTGAGGGGAGCAATAGTATATGGTTGTGTGACTACTCTCCGAAAACACAACGGAAAAGCTAGGTTTTGAGGTCCTTCTTGAAGGTTTCTGAGGTGGGGGCTTTCCTAATCTTGCTGGGTAATGAGTTCCAAAGTCGGGGGACCACAGGGGAGAAGGTTCTCTGCCTAGTACCCACAAGTCATGCCTGTGATATTGGTAGGGGCGAAAGGAGGGCCTACCCCAAAGATCGAAGAGCTTGGGCTGCTTCATTGAGAGAGATACGGTCACGAAGGTAGGCGGGTCCCAAACCGTTAAGCCTTTATAGGATATATTGTATGAACGGCAATTGGATATACTGTATTCATTGGTAGAATATCCCAATCACAATTTTAGTTTGAAAACATTAAAAACTAGTCTGGATATTTCAGGAATGTATGTATATCCTGTCCATCCAGCCATGTTGGATCCAGATTGGATTACTGCAATGCACTCTTATGTGGGGCTGCCTTTGAAGACAGCCCAGAAACTTCATTTGGTCCAAAGGTCGGCAGCCAGGCTTCTGAATGGAGCTAATTATAGGGAGTGCACAATGCCCCTATTAAAGCAGCTCCACTTGTTGCTGATAAGTTATTACTTACAAAGCCCTAAATGGTTCGGGTCCTGCCTATCTTTGTGACTGCTTCTTCCTCTATGAAGATCTGCCGGGGAGGCCTCCTCTCGATCCCACCACAAGCACAATTGGTTGGGATGAGGGAGAGGGCCTTCTCGGTGGTGACCCCCCGGCTCTGAAACTCCCTCCCCAGGGAGATTTGGCAAGCCCCCACACTGTCCTCCTTTTGCAGGAATTTGAAAACCTGGATGTTTCGGCTAGAGAACAGCTAGTCCCTAGTTATAAATGCCCAGTCCCTAGGTTGCCTGATAATATTTTGTTCTCTGCACTTCATCCAATACCCCGGTCTTATGGTACTCTGTTTTGTACTATCCCATGCCCAGCTCTTTTTATTGCTTTGCCATGCCCATTGTATTATTGGCTACTGGTTTTGTTGAGCACTGTTTTGAGTTTCAACATTGTTGTTTTATATTCTTATGTTTTATTTAATTGTGTTTTTATCTGGATTGTTATATTTTATTATGCTCTTATATTAATTATGTTTTTGTTTTGATTGTTTTGATTTTATGTTTTGTGGGCATTTTGACCCATATGCAAGCCACCCGAGTCCCTTCGAGGAGATGGTGGCGGGGTATAAGAATAAAGTTGTTGCTGTTGTTGTTATTGTTGTTATTATTATGTTAGAATCTCCAAGGTGCTCTAAAAATCTCAGTGCTTAAAAATAGGTAACCTTTTGAACTTGACTAAAATGAGGGGTTATAAGCAGTCCTACAAATTCTAATTTGTATTTACATTTTTCAGTGCCATTCTCTCATCTTACTTTTTAAATGAAAAGCTTAATCTACATGGAAAAATTGGATGTTTGCTAAGTATACTGGGTTCAACTGTGATGGTCATCCATGCTCCCCAAGAAGAGGAAGTAGAAACCTTGAATGAAATGTCCCACAAACTGGGTGATCCAGGTGAGAAAATGGGGCCATCTGCTCAGCCTTGTAATTAATAGAGTAATACACTGGAAGATGCTCCACTGGGTTTCTTTTGTGACCACAAAGATAGCAATAAATAGTTAGCTGAATCTTCATGTGCATGTATTAGAGGAAAAAGAGAGAACGAAGTGTTGGTTTCTGAATAATGTTATGTCTTGCATGGCAAAGCGAATAGTGGTTGTTTAGACCATTGCTTCTTAAACTGTGAGTCCTGACTTCAAATGGGGTCCCCCAATGTCAAGAGTCACAAAAATTGGCAACAGTAAAAGATTTCTGAATGCCACTAATTTACATAAATCTGTTAGCAACAGCATGCAGTGTTTACAGCGGATTGTGCAGAAAATGCTTCAGCTGTACTCCACAAAAAGGAAAAATAGCCTGTTTAGCAAGTCTTGCAAATGCTGATTTGTTACCAATAAATGTTTGATTTTATACCTATTCTATATACCTGGGATCACATAAAAATTTCTCAGGCAGAAAGGAGTCACGAGTGGAAAGATTGGATTTGGAAATGCTTTTGAAATGCAGTCTCCACACAAGCCCTATTCAGCCTCACCAGTGATAAGAAATGCTGGAAGCTGCAGTTCGACATTAGTAGAACCGTGATTCCTATCCTAGCCCGAAGCAGTGGGCATTTCCTTTCTCTTACGCAAAATGTTTTGCAATGGATAGAATCTCAGCTTTGCTGCCAGCATCCAGACACTAATGCTGAAGATCACCATACCCAGTTCTAGGATGCATTTCTCCAGCCTTTACCAAGTGTGATAGCTAGAACTGATGGACCCATTAACATCCTTATGCTGCAGACTTTTCAGTTTGTTCGAAGACTTGGCTTCTAGATGCTAGAAGAAATTTAAATGAAAACAAAGTCTCTTTTTGGACCTAATAATTGTATTGTGAGGAATTGGAATATCAAATTAAATTCAAGTGTTCACTGAACTCAGCCTTTACTATGTTTACTGTTTCTCCTGTGTGCAAACCGTCCCCATCACATTAGAACAGCAGCTTTGGTAAAGCAGCAGGACTTTTTCAGTACATTCACTTCTTTAGCTTACATTCCTTCTACCGAACCCTTGGACTGCATGCGGTCTGCTCTTGTCCCCTTTCCCCTTCCCATAATCAGTAGGATAATAATAACCTGAATGTTAACTTCCTCCCCCACAAAGGTTCCCATCCCCGATCTTAAGACTGAGTGAGCAAGTTTTAATTTCTTTATGCTGAGATATGGTAAGGGACATATGTGGTCCCCAACCCCCTTTTGTACGCATTCACTCATGGGGCCAAAAGTGTTGTCCATCCCTAGACAGACATGGTTCCCAACAAAAGACCTTTTCCTTCACGCCCTTACAATGTAAAGCTAATATGTGTTTTCTCTTTCTTAACATTGCAGGTTTTGTTGTCTTTGCAACATTTGTTGTCATTGTGTCCTTAATAATGATCTTTGTGGTGGGACCACGGCACGGGCAGACAAACATTCTTGTGTACATAACCATCTGCTCAGTCATTGGAGCTTTGTCCGTTTCCTGTGTAAAAGGCTTGGGCATTGCTATAAAGGAACTTTTTATTGGACAACCAGTCCTGAAACATCCTTTGGCTTGGATACTCCTATTAAGCCTTATTGTTTGTGTTAGCACACAGATCAATTATTTAAATAGGTCCCTGGACATATTCAACACTTCTGTCGTGACGCCAATATATTATGTATTCTTCACAACATCTGTTTTAACTTGTTCTGCGATCCTCCTCAAGGAATGGGAAGACATGGCAGCTGACGACATTATTGGAACAGTTAGTGGCTTTCTCACTATCATAGTGGGGATATTTTTATTGCATGCCTTTAAGGATGTCAACCTCACCCTGGCAAATTTGCCAGTGTCTTTACATAAAGATGATAGAGGGATGAATGGCACTCTGCCAAATCCGTATGAACGCTTTAGTAATGATGAAGAAAATGCAACCTGTGTAGGTGATCTACCAGTCACTGAAGGAATATCTTCTAGGAGAAATGGAAACCTGGCAGCATCTTAAAAATACATCTAAAGGACAATTCTATACTTGTGTTTTGTTGTGAAATGTCGGTTTTAAGCGCTTCTCAGAAACAGATGCATTTAAACAGTATGTATAGACAATCGTTTGTTTTTAGCTTGGACCAAGAACAGTGGTGGATTTTTATTTGCCTTATTTTCATTTAAAAATATTAAAAAGACCTCAAAACATGTTTCTGATTATGTGTGAACATGTAAATATTACAGTTTGGTTTAAGACTTATTGCACTAATGACAATTTTAATGAATAAAATGCTTTATTTCTGCATGAGTGAGTGATTACTTGACTGGCTGGAGCGTCACTGAGTTGCATAAGTCCACGTTGCACTGTTAAAATGTGAGATGTTGATGTGTAGGTCTTATTCTGCAGATCTGGATCAGAATTTTTTACATTCTGAGTTCAGATTGTGAGGCCCACGCAGAACCTTATTGGTGCTTGGATATGAAGACACAATATCCCTTTTAGCCTAGGTGCTTAATGAAGTATTACATTCTGAGTAACAGAATTTAAATTTCATTGCTCTGTTTTGTTTGGGAATTATGCATTTCCATGTGGAAGAAATAAAAATGTGAAGTAAAAATTCAGTGGGTCCCCAACAGAAAACACTAGTAAACTCAAAATGTCAGGAAACCGACATAGCAATATTAAGGTGCTACAAAAATGGAAGATGTTTATAATTGCTCTGCATATATTAGAACTGGAGTATTATAAGCTATCTGCTGTTCTCCTCCCCGCCCCAACCCCATCCTGAAAGACTTCCAGGTTTCCCCAGTTCTGTTTAAGAGTGTGCTCCAGGAATATTTGGTATCTATATCAGGCAGAGTGCAGTCCGGTCAATATGCAACATGAACTTGGGATAGAAATCAGGAGAAAAGACTTGATGTTCTTGTCCTCTTAACAGAAATGTGCCAAGTGGACCGCCCCCGTAACAGATTAATCAAATATTGTGTGACACCTCCATCCCCATACACACAAAGTTATGGTGACCCCATTTGGGTCATGACTCAAAGTAAGATGCTTTGGTTGAGTCTAAAACAGATGCTTTTGAACTGCAATCTCCACACAAGCCTATGGTGGAAGTAATCATTCCTCCCTTTGCTCTGAAGCAAAGGATGTTTCTTTACCGTAAGGCAAAATGTTTTGCAACAGATGGAATCCAAGGTTGCTGACACTAATGCTGAAAATTACCAAGCGCAACTAACTCTAGTCCTAGGATGCTGGACTCAACCTACAACCTACACTACTGTCTCCTTTTTGAAATTGCAGTGTTAGGCGGCATGCACTGAATTGCCAGGTGTCCCAGATTTTAAGGAACAGTCCCGTATTTGAATAAAATGTAGCATTCTTTCCCAGGACGTTCTCCCCACCTCACCCCACCCTGCAAAAGGGTCCCAACCCTTATCTCAGATGGTTGGCTGAGCAAGTTTTAATTTCTTTATACTGATATGTACTAAGGGATAAGTGTATGTGTGCACATGTATGGTCCTCCATCCCTCTCTTGTATGCATTTGCACACGGGTCCAAAAGTATTGTCCATCCCTATTGTGGTGTCGACTTCCCCCTGCCAAACTTGCCAGGGTGTTTACATAAAGCTGATGGAGGAATAAATGGCACGCTCACGAACTCTTATGAACTTTTTAGTGACAATAAAGAAAAGGTAGCTTGTGTAGGTGATCTAGCACTGAAGAAATACCTTCTAGGACAAATAGGAAACCTGTCAGCATCTTTAAAATACACGAAATGAACAGCTCAAATCCATATGAACAGCCTTCTAGGAATAAAAATACAAGCTTTCCCCGATGTTCCATACCACTGGGGTATGAAGTATATGTCAATCATGTTTTGTGGTCCCTTTGGGTCTGTTTAGGGTATATATATGGAAACAGTGAAGATGCCCCCATCACCTACGTAGTAGAGGTGGAAGCAAGTATAGTCTCCCAAATGAAGAGTGCGATTTAATGATTCCCCTAGCCTTCCACAGTTGACTTTCTCTAGTGTTTATGGGCAAGGTAGTTCAGAGGTGTCCATACTCCGAAAGATTTGACACAGGAATGGCTCATTGGTGTATTCTTCTCCCCTACCCATTGAAACCATATGGAGGGGCTCAGAAAACCTGCACACAGGTGGTTATTCTGCACTCAAAAGAAAGTAACCAAATATTTGTTGACAGGAAAAGAGGCAAACCCTTACAAAAGAGAGAATATTATGCAATAGTGCTGAAGTGTCCATACTGAAGTTTAGAACAGCATCTGCTGTAAATGAAGTAGGTATGCGTTTACGTGTGCATATGTGAGGTAAAAATTCAGCGCGTCTCCAAAACACTGACTAGCTCTGAGTATCAGCAAACAGAACTAGCAACATTTAAGCACTACAAATGGGGCACGTTTATAACTGCTTTAACCTAATATTTTTTAAATTATATTGAATAAAATTAAAATACAATTGTTAATAAAGCATCTCTAATGTATTATTACTTCTTTCTCTAAACCATGGACTAACAAGAAGTGGAGGAGCATGCACAGCCTCAAGATTTAGTTTTTCCTTCTAATGTAAGTAGAGATTCAATCACCACAAGGAGCTTTTTAACCTCCTATAACTTTAAGAGAGCCCGCAATGTGTCAAACCGCATCTGTATAAAATAATGTATATAAAAGAAGACTGTAATAATTCTTCTCCTGCACTGGAAGAGCAGGTTTAGCATAGTGACAATATGTTGTTATAGGCCTAGAGCATTTTGCAAACTAATTATCTGAGAAGTGATAGAAAACCTCTTAAACCCACTCGGATGATAAAAATTTTACTTTTAAGTACTCTTTAAGTCAGAACTCAGTTTCTGAATTAGTGGAACTACTGAACCATGATTCACAAACAGAATTACAAATGCTCCCAAAGCTTGGTGTGAGAATGAGGTTTTGTGAAATAATGTCCTTTCCCAAGAATGAATAGACCTTGAAAGGGATAGACATTTATATGTATAGATTATCCCCCGCTCCCCTTGTCATTTGCTGCATCTGGTGTATTTTTTTAGCCGGCTGAGGGGTTTTTTTTGGTTGGCTGTTCAAGTTGGGCTCGTCTTTAGGCCTCCACAGGCCTCGCTAAGTAGGCCCCATATTCAGGCTTTATTTGGAGGCGCCCATTTTGTTTCTCCTCAGCTGCCATTTTGTTTTCTTCCCTCAGCATCCATTTTGTTCTGTTTTGAATAGCCAGGTTTCCCCTGGCTGGTTTTAAACCCTGCTGTGGGATGACATTATGTTTTGCAGCCTATCGTGGCCTGATTCAGAATTTCATCCAGCCTTTGTTCATTTTGATGGCAATTTATATTTCAATTTATTGATGACTAGTACTCTTCACACGCGCAAATTTTCTGCACAAGTGAGCAATTGGCTGACTGACTGGTGCTCCAGTGTTGTTCAACATGAGATGTCTGGTTTGGCACCTGGTTCATTTTCACATTCTGAGTTTAAATAATGAGGCCCAAACAGAGGAAGAATCGTTACATTTTGAGAGTTCAGATTATTGGATTCACAGAAGATTATCAGTGGATGGATAGGAAGACTCAACACTTTTAGCCTAGGTGCTTAATGAAGGATTGCAGCCTGCGTAATATTGACTGTGTATGCACCACTGCTTTACTTTAATCTAAAGCATGGGTGGAAATTATCAACTGTTCCAAAACCTTTAAGAAAGAAAAGCTGTGACCCCACATTTTGGAGTCCTGTGCCTTACTCCAGGGCAGAGGTGGGCGAAGTGAAGCTGGTGGGCTACGGGTGAGATTCAATCATTGAGGGGAGGTCTTGCCTCTTATAGCTTAAAGACAGCCTGCAATGTGATATTCCCACTGGGCTGGGCCCTTTATCCCAGGTCCAAGATTCATGCTACCCACCCAAACCAAGTCGTGACCGAGTAATGCTTTATGACAGGGAGAGAAGGGTGGCTGAAAGGAGGAAAGTGTCTTGTCTGACTGCCAAAAAGGCCTTGAAATGTTCTAGCCAGCCAGTCGGCCACAACTAACAGAAGGTACCAGAATGCTATTGGACCATTGATGTAATGTGATCTTTATTTACGCAAAGGCCACCTTGTGCTTCATGGTGGCCTTTGCGTAAATAAAGGTCACATGACATCATGGCACATGAGAGCCACCATGGTTCTCCCAACCATCGGGGACAAAGGCTCTGGTCCAATTTAGAGCTGTCTTTCTTAAAAATGAACAAACAGGCCTTGAAAAGAATGTAAGTGGCATATGTACAGGGTGAGTATATCCCTTATCCCAGTGGTTCCCAAACCTTTTTTGACCAGGGACCACATTGACCAGGGACCATTCTCCAACATTAGTACAAAAAGGGTTATGAATCAGTTTTTGGTCAACTTTAGATTCAGTCTGGTTATTTGGGGTGCTGATTCAGAAAACTGCATTGGATAGATCACATCAGCTCAAGTTTCTGATACAGGACATATGCCATCCAGTAGTTGCCATCTGCTTGGCCACAGAAAACCATATTTAATAATCCAGAGCTGATGTGGCAGTAGTAATCTTTTGTGGGTAGTCAGCATCTCCCCTCTCAATATCCCTGTTGCCTTGGCACAATAAGAGGGCTTTGTGAGACCTGCCACTCTCATTGCTGCGTGGTTTCGAGGCAACAGTGTAATAATGGTGAGACTGAGGACCATATTTTCATTCTTGGGGACTGCTAGTGGTCCACGGACCACAGGTTGGGAACAACTGGCTTATCCAAAATGATTGGGGACATAAGTGTTTTGGATTTTCCCAGATTTTGAGGACCTGTACTTGCACATATAATGAGATGTCTTGAAGATGAGACCTAAGTTGAAACAACATTCAATCTATGTTTCATATACCTTTTATACACATAGCATGAAGGTAATTTTATACCAGACATTTAAACAATTTTGTACACAAAAATTAGAAGGCAAAGGTGTGACTATATCAGCTACCCATATGGATTATTTTTGGGGTCTTCTGGGTTTCAAAATTCCAGATGTTCGACCTGTATAAAAGTTTAAACAAAGAGTGCTCTCTATCATTCTAAAACATAATGTGGTTTCTAGTGTGAAACACAGAGACAGTGCAGAGCTCCCTGTTTTCTCCTGGAAGTTGAAACAAAACACCAAAGATAATGGTGCGGCGATAAAAATTAAATACAATAAAACAAACCATTAATTGTATCTATTTCATTGTCTTGTTTTAAAAATTCCCCTTAAAACATTTATTCCAAAACAGATTACATACTTGGCCACAGATATTCCTAGATAAAACATTCCGGAGATTAGATTAAAAGATCCTTGCGGAGTTGCTAAAAATTTCCTAAAGGCTAGCTGAGCAGCTTAATGCTTTTCTTATACAAGATAATTACAAACACCGTCCCCGTCCCCCCCCCCCGCCATCCCATATTAGATTTTCATTTTGCTAATAGACAAAAGGAGGAAAAATCCATACACCAAACCACTCTAAAATGATTACAAAGCTGGAGAAATACCAACGATTTTAAGACTAAAAATAGGTTACATTCCAAAGCCTTTTTATAAAAGGTATACAAAAAATAGTCTAAAAATTGGAGAACTGTGTACAGTTATAGTACTTGGAATTGAAACTAAAGACCTGCTCCTTTCAAAAGGTTCAGGTGATAATGGAAATCAGTGAAGGTCAGTACAATATCATTCACCGTCAAATCTAGCCTGGAAACATGGTACACTGTGTGATAATCTCAAAAGGAGAAGAAGAGACGGATCTGTTCTAGTTGCTGGCCAAGGACTGGTGAATTGGAGGCTGGAAGCAACGGACATGTTCCACTGGTGTGCCTTCTCCATCACCAGATTTCAAATATTTATCCAATGTAGCAATGATCTCGTCATTAAGGATCTGGAACTTGCGGATTCTCTCAACCATTTTCTTTAAAGGCTGCAAAACCAAGATTGGACAGTCAGCTAGAGTAAGTCACACCATTTCAAAGAGTAGGAGGGCAAGTGGAGAAAATGCAGCCTGAGAACTTCAATTTTGTCATCCTTGAAACCCATCAAAATGTTCTCAAACCACCTTCAAATGCAATGGTTTAGGATGTACCCTAACTGAAACCTCCAAGGGAAACTGGCCCAAACTGTGACTGTAAGTGACATTGCCAATGGATCCAAACATGGTGTGACTTCTGACACCAAAAAGACAACATCGGAAACAGGGTTTGCCTCTTCAACTTACCACATTCTTTATAACCTCATCTTTGCCATCATGCTTCTGCACTTTGAGTAAGTGGTAACAGAAATCCAGCACATCAAATCGACGCTGCTGTCCAAGCAGCACAATAATCATGCAGCCAGCCCAGTGCAGCCCATCTCCAAAACACTGCCTGTAAAAAAAAAAACAAAAAAAAAAACATTGTAAAGGTCAAATCACATTACAATGCATTGTCTAATGGCAGAGTAGAATACCCTGGACTGTGAAAAAGCATACCTACAGGGAAAGAGTCATATTTCTGGGAGAGCACACATTTAGTATGCAATATATCCCAGGTTCTTCTAATCAAAGTAAAAGAAGAAAGTGCAAAAGCAGGGTTGCAGCTAAACATAAAAAAATCAAGATGATGGCAACCAGACTGATTGATAACGGGCAAATAGAGGGAGATCTGGACCATAGGGAAGGCTGAGCCAAGGAAGATAGGTGCTTTTGAATTGTGGTGTTGGAAGAAAATTCTGAGAATGCCTTGGACTGCGAGAAGATCCAACCAGTCCATACTTCAGGAAATAAAGCCCGACTGCTCACTGAAGGGAAAGATATGAGAGGCAAAGATGAAGTATTCTGGCCACATAATGAGAAGACAGGTGTAACGAAATAGCTAATTATAATGTATGTTTTAAAAGTGTTTACTGATGTTGAGATATGATAGGTGCAGGCCAGCTGATGTGTCGCCTGAGCTGAGGCGTTGCCATAGCGACTGAACCAGCTGTTAGAATGTGTCCAAGTTAGAGAAGTCAAAGAAGCGGAGCTAACTGCCACTTGGCAAGGACAGGCATTTTAAAAAGTCAGTTTCTTTTAGTCAGTGGACTGGAGCCCCCGGTGGAGCAGTGGGTTAAACTCCTGTGCCGGCAGGATTGAAGATCGACAGGTTGCAGGTTCGAATCTGGGCAGAGGCGGATGAGCTCCCTCTGTCAGCTCCAGCTCCTCATGCGGGGACATGAGAGAAGCCCTCCCACAAGGATGATAAAAACATCAATTCATCCAGGCGTCCCCTGGGCAACGTCCTTGCAGACGGTCAATTCTCTCACACCAGAAGCGACTTGCAGTTTCTCAAGTCGCTCCTGACACGACCAAAAAAAAAAAAAAAAAAGTGGACAAAAGTGGAAGTTGGGTTCTGGTGTGTGGAGAAACCAAACCCAGGGGTTTAAGTCTTCAGCTTGTGTGTTTAGAGAGTCAATTGGACCTATTTACATTAGTAATTAGCTCGTGAGCTAAGGGGAAAAGAAACCCCACTAGAAATCCATAACTTCAGTGAGGATAGCTGAAGGGAGAAAAAGGCAAGTCAGTGCCTTGAATTGTCAGTTAAGAAAAGAAAGATACTTTGCAGTGAAATAAGTTTAAAACCAGTCTGGTGGAAGTAAAAGCCATACTGAGAGTTACATTGAAAACTGTTTAACTAAATTCAACTGTATCAACATTTAAAGCAATACAGAATAACCATCAAATGTTGTACAGCTGTGAATCCTTAAATAAATATTTCCTTGATCAATTTTTTATCATTAAGATTCATGTCCATTTATTTAGAAGAAGATTTACCTCAGAAGAAGGTGGCTGAAGATACTGGAAGAAAGGATTCTGGCTGGGGTAATGAGTTACTCCTTTTAAAAAGTGCCTCAAGTAAAATACCATTTTAAAAGTCAAGCCTCAGCAACACACACCACCACTACTTTAATGTCCTCAACGCCCTGGTTATATATATTTGTCATTTGTTCGTCGTATTTTACAACAGGAAAGCTTAAGAGAAGACAATTATGCTGGGGAAAATGGAAGGAAAAAGGAAGAGGGCAAGGGCAAGATGGATGGATGACTAGCTTGACCTTGAAGGAGCTGGGGGTGGTGATGGCCAACAGGGAGCTCTGGCGTGGGCTGGTTCATGAGGTCACAAAGAGTCGGAAGTGACTGAACGAATGAACAACAACAGGTAGGAAGAAAGCAGGAAGGCTTGAGTACAGAGATTAAAATAAAAAATAGAAAAGGTGAAACAAAAAGGCAGACATGCTCTCTAGAACAGGGTGTCTTAAACTTTTTCCACTTGCATCCCCATTCCTCCCAATTTTTTTATGTGACCCGAGTTATATAGGTATATAAAATATCCATTAAGCAAAATCAGCATCTGCCAGATCGGCTAAACAAAGGAGGCTGATATTCTTTTTTATGAAGTCCAACTGAAGCATTTGTTGCATGTCATTCCTAACAGATTCATATACATGTTGTTGTTGTTGTTGTTGTTGTTGTTATTATTATTATTAAGAATAATAACTTTATTTATACCCCACCATCATTTCCCTGAAGGGACTAGGGCCGGCTTACAAAGCACTCCAGGGTGCGCGTATAACATACATTAGAACAGTCATTAGGTAAGGTACACACATTTTTTACAACTGTCAAATTCAGTTATGGGGCCCCAAATGGGGTCACAGCTCACAGTTTTAAAAGCTTTGCTTTAGAGTTCCCTCTCACTAATCACTTTATGCAAGCTTCCAGCACCTCCAATGCTCCCAAGCATATTGAAGGGGAAGTTATGTCAAGAAGGCTACCCTGATCAAAAATGGTTTAAAGTATAAACCTTTACATTTTAGTAAGACTAGGTCTATGCTCAAACTATGGCTGCATTTTAGTAAGGCTAGGTCTATGCTCAAACTATGGTTGCATTGGAGTATGAATAGTGTTTTACTTCATTTCCAACTGACAAAAGATAAGTAAAGGACTGCTAGATACAAGCAAGCATGGACACGTACTCCACCGTAAATTCATGCGTTCCCACCGGAATACAGTACACAAACTGCATTGCGCTCCACAATCGGTGAAATTCCACACATTCGTCCACATGCATCACGCCATTGCTGGGGAGAGGCCCACGCCAGATTGGGTCGTCAAGGAAGGTCCGGATCCGGGTTAAGATTACTTCAAACATAGACAGGCCACAGCAAAGGCGCTCCTTGGTCAACAAGTCCCCTTCTCTTGCAATAGCAATTTGCTGTTTCAACAAAAGAGACCACCACCAGGCCAAGACAAAAAAAAATTAACTTTGTAGAATTGACAGGCCGCTCTAGTTTTCAAGTACATTGATAAAGGTTCTTCTGCTCCTGAAACTCAACCATTTTCACATGGAGGTCACCTTTCAAACAAAATAGCACTACTAGATCGAGGCATCCATTCAGCTACACTCCTAGTGATCTACAGTTCATTTGCCCAGATAAAGAACGACATCTAGATAACAGAACTATTTTAATTGCTGAGTTAATATTCTATCGCAGTTCAGATCAAAAGCAGCTTGAATCATTTCTGGGTTTTTCTCTACTTTGTTTAGTGACTCACAAGAGAACAAATAGCTTTTGTTAAAGGTTATAGAGCGTGTCAGCTGTCTCCCTGAAATCTGAGCTGCAGATCCCCTGGGTAAAAATCCTATGCTCTGCCAGTTATTTTACTCCATTTAAATATCACACTGGCACTGTATCCCTGACAAGGGCTACACACCCCTCAAAGGATCTTCATCCACCCCCAAGAAACAGCTCATGCCAAGGTTCCTTGCCTTTTGTAATATCTACTAGCTTTATTGTTAAGGGTTGAAGGGTGTACCTGAGGCGTTCCTAGTCTTTCAATCAGTGGAACAAGATGGAGTGGTGCATACTTGGACTCCAGCCTCTTCATTTTAGCGTCAAGTCTTTCACCCTCTGGAAAGGACCAAAGTGATTTTCAAAGGATGGTGAAAATGGTTAAAACAGAGTCCTTTTACATTTTCGTACAATTAGATATTAAGTATTAATTGCAGTAGCTTTTAATATACATATTTACTTTTTACTTTACATGGCTCAAATATCATAACCTACCCATCACAGAACAGTAACATTCAATGAAGTGACATCTTCAAAAACCAAAGAACACAATACAAGTGAACACAGATTCCTGAACCCTCTTAGTAACCCCAGGAAAACAGATATAATGAATCAACCGTTGACTGGTGAATAAGAACGAATACAACTCACACTGAAGAAATGGGCCTGGACAACTTGAGCCTATTAATAGAGAATTCAAACTAGTAACAACACGTAGTACTATTTAAAGGATAATCATGTAATTGTGTATGCGTGAGAAGGCCCGTGGCTTTCTTTTGCTTCAGAATACACTTATAGTGGGAACAACCTACTTCATTCCAAAAAGAAAGCCATTGTGTTCAAATATCATTATGCTCCCACAAACATATATTAAAAGCAATAAAACCAATTACGATCAATCTCATAAAACACAAAATGCCAATCTACAAAAGAGTGGAATGTTATATATACACACCAAAACTTGTTTTTAAAGTGTTTAAAAAGACCTGGCTTCTTTTTTATTGGACAAGTTGATGAAAATCAGTGCTTCATGAGAGACTGGAATACTATTGTATCCCTTAAAAAGAATTATTGACAACAATATTAGGATTTCTGAAAGAAAGTTATCAAAATATGTTTTATTTAATTTAAAGAGTAATTGATTTTATAAGATGTAATAATAAAAAAGCAGCTAATTTAGTTTAAAACTTTCCCCTCTAAAGTATACTGCACTTATAGCTCTAATACAATTTTTCTAATTACTTGAATATGTTTAGCTCCCCCCCCCCCCCCCCCCCCCCCCAAATACCTATCCCTCCCTTTCTGTCTGCTATTTCTTTTCTGGCTCCTCTCACATTTGGTATCCATGTTTTTCCTTCCTGCATGGCAATGATGGCCCAGCCACTATGACTTAAACATAGCTCAATGCAACAGCAAACAAATAGAAATGGCAAAATGAAGGACCAAAGTGGCAGTAATGGCAGTAATCACTGCATGCTCGGGACAGGAAGGGAGCTGCTGGTGAGCCCTATAGGGGGAGAACAGCACAACTTGCTGTTTTTAGAATCAAATGGTCCAAGCCAGATATCTCTTAGCTTGATAGTAGGGTTGTTTCTTCCAAACAAATATGTAGCCCCTTTATTTGGTAACTCCTGTACTATTACAGTCACGCAAATTTGGGTGATTTCCTTATCCCTTGGATTAGTGGTTTAGAAGGAAACATACCTTTGACATGAACCCGTGGCAAAATATTCTGGAATGGTGCTGCATGCAACAGATCACATACTTCCTCCAGTGACTGCAATGAAGAGAAAATTCATTTTAAAAGGCAGAGAACTATGGAAATCATGAAATGCTTGTCCAAAACAGCATGTGGTGCCCCACTTTTCCCTTTGGAAAGAAATCTGACTGCAGCAGATTGTGCCTGAGCAAACCACGCATACTATGGAAAAATCACAAATAGATTTCCCAGTGCTGTATTTGATATTAAAGAGCTTGTGGGGAGGCTTTTTCATCACTGATGCAGCAGAACTGAAAAAGGGTACTTTTTCTGTTCCATACCATTTTCCTAAACTATCCACCTAAATATATTAGCTCCATAGCAGAAAAGGGGAATGTGTGAACCTGTAAAAATCTTTACTTTTCTGCTTTTTCAGATTGGGACTCAAGACAGCTCACAAATTGAAATGATTACAGCAGGAAAAAAAAACATTTAAAAAGTCAAACATAAAAATAGGATTCAGTTTTAAACAATGCAATTTAGAACAATACCACCCCCTCTGGAAAGTTTCTTTCTCAGAGATCTTCAGCTCTAAAAGTCTGGCAGAATAAATAACTCTTTGCCGGCTGATGGAAGGACAGATCTTCTAGCCTTCCTAGGGAGGCAATTCCAGATTCAGGGGCAGCCACTGAGAAGTACCTGCAACGAAGGACCTATCCTGAAGATCTCAAGGCCAGAGGGAATCATACAGGGAGAGACGGTTTGTCAGGACAGCACGGCTCAAAACTATACAAGTCATGACCAGCACTTTGAATTTTGCCAGCAAACGAAAGAGCAATTAGTATTTGCTTTTATTTTTAAGGATTTTTTTTTGAAGAAAGTGCCATGGGAGTTAGCAGTTTCAGATGGAAGGTGACGAGTAAGAGAAGACAAAAAGAGCTAAACTTTAATACTCCCAGCAGTGATGAAAAGCAGAAATGCTTCTTGATTTGTGAAATGTAATCATGGATTCCCTGTATGGCATTGGTTCAGTTCTCAGATTTGCAACACTTAACAGCTTTTCACAACAGGTAGCCTATGCTGTACACATATCAGCCAAAACATACTTCATCAAAAAGCCTAAAAGATAATAAGTTATTGTCTGTGTTCAGGTGGCAGACAGAGAGATGTGAGTCAAATTGTGAATCATGCTTTTATTTTTATCCACGTTCTTCCATTATCCATTAGGTCTTGAAGAACAGCTCCCAAGAGAAAGGATCAAAAGATCCAGGAAAGTAATAGCGAGTCCTTGGTCATATTAAAGCCATCTTCAAAACAGGAGCATTTCTGGAGGCAATTAGCCGTAAAAATTTACACCAACTTGTGAAGGGTTTGTAGTCCAACTACACAAGACACTCAGGCAAATGCACAAAGAGCAATAGGACTTACTACAAGTTATTTTCAGAACTATGCTCAGAATAGGAACATAAACATCATAAAGACAGTTCCTCTCTGCATTTGCTGCTGCGGCAGCACTTTTTCTTTCTTTTAAGTAACTATAGCTAACCAGAGTATAACTTGGGCAAACATCTGTTTATTTAAAAAAATCAAAACTACAATTATGTCTTAGATATCATGATGAATGGGTTAAAAACTGTTAAAAGATCGAGGTAGATCAAGGTAGTCATAATTCCCCGTGTTTCTCTTTTTAAAAAGAATCTGTTAGGGTGACCTGAGCAGTTTCAATACTAAACCCAACAGGAAATATAGAGATATATTCCTGTTGTGTGAGGTACTGGCTCCACATTTGTATCCACTGTTTCTTCTTTTCTAAGAAACTCTCCAGCCATCAGCAGCTGACAGTTTATGGACCAGCACTAATAGTAATAATCTAGAAAACCAACTAGAATTGAGCTATGACAAACTTTTCTAAGATTATGCAAAAATATATACCATATTTTCTGGCATATAAGATGACTAGATGTATAAGATGACCCCCAACCTTTCAAGAGAAAATACAGAGTTAGGGATATACTCGCCATTTAAAACTACCCCTCTTCCAACACTATGCCCATCTTGTTACAAGAAATCCCAAGTGCAAACCTTGTCAATGCGGGGCAAGGGAGGGAGGAGGAGGAGGGCAGAGAGAGGGAGGGCACGGGGAGGAGAAGCAGAAGGCCGCTGGGCTGTCCCCACAGCCCCCGCCGCTCTCCCCACTCTACTTTCAAGGCCCTCCTCTGCCCCCGCCGCTCACCTCCTCTGAAGGTCACTGGGCTCGCCTAGGCCCAAGGAAGCGCCTCCGGACTATGAATCCCAGCAGCCCGGGCAGCGGCGTGCCTGGGATGTGCTTGCTGAGGCATTCTGGGAGCCATAGTTCCCTGATTCCTATAGTTCCCAGAGTGCCTCAGCGAGCACATCCAAGCTTCCTTGGGCCTAGGGGAAGGTGAGCAGCAGGAGAGGAGGAAGGCCTTGAAAGTAGAGCGGAGAGAGCAGCAGGGGCCACAGGAAAAGCTCAGCAGGGCATCACCCTGGCTAGTCTCCAAAGCTGTTTTTGTGTACTGACTGAACTTTAAGCTGTTCTGCTGCACTGTCAGTGGGTGGAAACTGTCTGCATGAGGGAGCACAGGATACCTCTTTACGCAAGCATGTAAAGAGTAGAGCTGCTGCCAAAAATGTATAATGCAACAAGATCCTGGCCAAAAAAATCATTTTGAGATTTACATCACATGCATCCTAACAAACACATCTGTTGCTTCACTGCCCACAGAAAAGCAGTGAAGTGCCTCAAGTGCTTATTTCCAGAATTCAGATAGAATTGTATGCTGTTCTTATTACATTTATGTAATATATTGGAACACAAGAAGGTACACAGAGGCACACTGTGGCTTCTCTTTAAAAATCCTGATAGCCATAATTTCACAATTTTCGAAGTGAAGAGATAACAGAGGGGATGTGTGATCCAAAGTATTTATTTTCACTCGGTCTATAGTATTTCAGAGATTCTTCTCCAAGAATCTTTTTTTATTTTTTATTTTAAAAAACTGTAGCTTCCATTACTAAATTGGACACCAGGGGGCAGGAACAGAAGAGAACTTTTCTTCAAAACGGAAAAAAAGACAAATCTGAACGTGTAGTAACAAATTATGTAACTGCTCTTTTCTTTCTAACCAAGAAATTATGGAAAAGGGCTAGAGAAATCACCTGATATTTACAGCTGAGTTAACACCAGGTATGGAATAGTAAAGAGCTCCAAATTATTACCTACCAAGCTCTGCTCAATGAGGAGGCAGAAGAGGATCGCATTTCCCACTTCTCGCAGATTCTGGAAACACACAGTTTTCAGTTCTGCATATTCAACAATATCCTTCAGCTGATGATGAAAGAATTCTAGAATACCTGTGGAAGAAGGTAATGGGCAGATTGTAAGAAGTTAAACCAGGAATGTTATGTATATGAGGAAGCAAAACAGTAATTCAAAGATTGAATATTCATAAAAATGCTATTCTTGTTATCAGCTCACAGAAGTAGCCATGATATGGCAATCTAGCATTATTTTTGGCAAATGCAAAGGGTATACAGGGATTTTTAATTAGAAGACTTTATTCAATCTTTATAGAATAGTGGGCAGTTGGTATATAGTACAGGCAGTCCCCGAGTTATTCCTGGAAGAGTTATCATGGGGAAAAGGTGTCTCCACTGAAGCTTTATCACCAAGCCTTGTTTCCACAACAAGCCACATTTTTCCAAATCCAATGAACACAGGGACAGAAAGTGAGGTGAGATCTTCTGAACAGGGGGACAGAAAGCAAAACAAACACCACAAGGATGTTAACCCTTCTCTATGCTCCCCTTCCCCATGCTATCCAACACACACACACACACGACTGGAGAGACACTTAAAGAATGTACCTGTTCTGACTTATAAACAAATTCAACTTACGAACAAACCTACAGAACCTATCTTGTTTATAACTTGGGGACTGCCTGTAATTCTAAATGTTCATCAGGATGAAGGCCACTTGTATACTCAGTGTATGTACAAACACAAACAACTCAACTTCTGTACAGAAGAAGCAAATAAACTAGTTATAGTCAACACATTTACATAGGTTACATGTTATACATGTCAAAGCTATTAACTTACAGTGTAAAAGATTAGCATTTTCAGAAATGGTATGTGCCATCTATTTGACCAGTTTTATGGGATTTAGATCAGCATTTTAGAATATACATCTCTGCACTCTGTTTACAAATTTCTCAAAGTGCATAAAACCAACAAGAACCAATAAGTGAAACAATTCAGGCATCTCACCACACACCCGGGAAAGGCAATAGAAATTAGGGTACAGATGGGCTCACCTAGCTTTGTGCTTTGTTCAAAGTGAATTATGTGAGATGGAAGAACTAAGTGTTTAATGTTGACTTTTCTAGATCTTAGGGAGTGGCAAAAGCAAAAGGAGAGGATGGTCCCTGGCAAGATCCAGGAGTGGGGAGAATTGATACAAGAGCCCCTGAGGTTTCCTTTGCTCTTAATGAGACATAGGAGCCTTCCTCTCATAAAACTTATACAAGACATATCCCAAGCCAAATGAGTAAGATATGCATGGAAACCGACCAGTGATTCCACAACCTTAAATCTGGGTTACTCAGCTGGGATCGCAAAAAGAAAGCTGTCAAGCACCTGACAAATATGATACATTTTTTCCTTGCAGGTCGAGTTCTTATTATAGATTTTTTCTTTCTATTTAATGGTTTCTGCATCACATTGATAAAAGCCAAGTGTGACTTTTGTCTAAAATGTATACTGCCTGACTAAAGTGTAGCTAGCAAGCCTACCTCTCATATTCTTTAACAAAGGTTAATAAGGCAATTAGTCCGCTCAATAAGACACCAAAGGAAATGAGTACTCAATCCATTTTCAGTCCAAAGTAAGCCTTGCTAATGAAAGACAAGCTCCTCCTATGATGCAATGATCAATGTAATTTCAGTGAAAATGGTCTCTCATATAGATGAGTAATATGGAAGAGAAGTGAGAGAAAGAAGAATAAAAAAATACTGAGAGACAGGACAAATGCTATGATTCATTCATCTTAACAAAAAAAATCTGGAGGTTATGTTCAGATAAAGAATAAAATCTCAATCAAATGGAAATGGTTCATCAAAGATGATTCCTCTGAAGTGGCATCCTAGCTCTGCTACCAGATTTATTTATGTTCAAAGACCGGATCCACAGCCTTCACATCTACATATAGATCATTCTAGATGCCAAGACAAATGCTTTGTATGCATCACAGTCCAAAAGCGTCAGCATAGCGTGATTGTTTCAGTGCTGGGCCAGGACTCTACGGCATCAAAGTTCAAATTCACACACTCAGTCATAGAACCTCACTGGTTGTACAGAATCAAATTCAAATTGACATATCCTAGCAACCCAAACTGAGCATCATCTACCCAAAATATCCAAATGAAGCAATACAAGAAGACTTACTCTCTCAACCTTTAGAACCCTAACTGTTGGATTATCTGAAAATATAGACTCAGTTAACAGGCCATATGCCACCAACACTCCAAGCTACGTGAACGATTCAATTGATTTCCTAAGAAAATTACATCCACAGACTTCCAGAAAATTCCACACTAGTATGCGGAATTCCTATACACAACATCCCACACCAAAATGGACTAAAAGTAATCTAGAATACCATCCTGAATGAGGTTACACCAGACATAGCCATCAAGTCTGCAACTTTGTATTTACTTGCCAACACTTTGGGGAATCTCTAAGTTAGTGGTACTGTCATGGGCATCCGCATGGCACCACAATATACAAACATCTTCATGGCTGACCTGGAACAGCATTTCCTTGGCACATGCACCCACAAATCTCTGAGAAGACCTGAAAGACCTGTATAACCTTATACAGTCCTTTGAAAATTTCAAGCAAAGGTCATTATTTACCTCTTTCTTAGTCCCACAACTGTATAAATATGCTTTGTGGCTGAGGTCTTAGTACCACTCAATACTGTATCCAAAGAGGTGGGTATATATCCTCAACAGTTCATATGAAGATAAATATTAGTTTTAAAGGTGCTGCCACATTTCTTTTTTCTTCTCCTTCACCCCCTTTCCTTCTTTGAAGGAAACTCACTGGGTGTCCCTGGGTAAGCCATACTCTCAGCCTCAGAAGATGACATGACACGACAAACCTCCTCTGAATGAATCTTGCCAAGAAAATCCTGTCACCGGCTGGTCTTATGTCAGTTTATGTCAGAAGCTAGTTGAAGGCACATAATAACAAGAAAATCCAGCACAATGCCAGTGCTTCTGTAAAAAATTATTCCAATTTTCACAGACGATAAAATAATCTTTACATCCATCATTCAATTTTGTGAACTTTAAGGCAATAGTAGAAGGATAAGAAGAATTGTAAAGAAAGTTGAGTGAGGGGAGATTGAAACAAAGAAGAAAAAGAAAGAGAAGGCAGAAAGATGGTTTAAGGAAAGCATGAAGAAAAAGAAAAATGCATTTTACAGGTGCATGATAATTATGGGTGAGATATGTGATGGCATTGGTTGCAGCTGATGAACTGAAAGCCTGGTAGCCAAATGGTTCAAAACCTCAATTGAAGATAACTGCTGGATGCTTTGGGATAGAATTGACAAGCAGGAAAGAGGTGACTGGTAGCCTGTTTCTGTAACTTCTTGCAGCATTGATCAAAGATCTGCATTTTAAACATAAATCAATTGATGGCACATTTCACCCTTACAGAATATAGTTAAAATACACTACCCCAATATAAATGCAATAGCACCCTCTGTCTATCAGAGTACCCTACCTAGGCATGGGCAATTCATGGTTCTAAATAATTTTAAAGTACTTACAAAAATAGAGGGTGCTGGTGCTTTGCTTCTAAAGTGTTGCTAAAGCTCTGGTGGTGAAAATTACAGAACTCTAACAAAACTTTCAAAATTTCATTATAAATGGCAGTTCCTAATTTGTCTGTCATTAAAATTGCCAATAACGAAATAATAATGACATTTTGAAAGTTTTCTTAGAGTTCTGAAATTTTCACCACCAGAACTTTAGCAACACTTTAGAAGCAAAGCACCAACACTCTCTAGTTTTGTAAGTACTTTAGAACCATTTAGAACCATGGATTGCGCATACCAGTATATGCTCATGTGTAAGTCTAGAAATTTTAGTTAAAAAGTCAATTCCAAAAAATCTGGGTCAATTTATGCACAAGTCAGTGTGAGTACTGTACCTTAACTCTTATTTAAAAAATAGGAACCATCCTTTTCTCTGAGTGGCAAAAGCAAGAGCTTAGTCTGTACTTGGAGAAACTAGAAGAAGCACCAACTCCCTCATCGTGGGAAAATGGCAGTGATTTTCCCCTCTTTGAAGAATCATATCGAAAGCCATAATTTTTGTAATTTATTAATTACTACATTACCTGTTGATATATCAATATATCAAATTGCATCTTTATATTTGAATAAAATGATTTATAAAGGGCATACCTGGGGAGCCATATTCATGCCTCGGCAACCTACAGATTTTGGGCATCACTTCCATTAAGGTCTTCACATATTGCAATATTGTACCTTGCAACTACAAGAAACAGATTATTGGCATTGCTGAAGAAAAAGGAATCAGACTCTGAACCATAAGACAAATTCACACCTTAGAGTTGCTTCACACATGACCAAACTGGATCAAGGTCTTATCCTAGACTGTAGACTTACTTTTTCAGAGACAGTGAAGTTTCACCCAGAACACACTGTAAACCCAATTTTTAAACCCTGTAACCACATCCACAGGACCTCAGTAGTTTCAGGAGTCAATCAAAATCCATTAGTTTTCATCCTACCAACTATGTCTGCATCTCTCTATAAGATGTAACTTATATCTAGTAGGTGTTGTGAAACTGGACTTTAATTTTGCATCTAACACAAGATCCGGTAAGTGTTCTTACTTAGTTTGTCTTCAAGCTTTAATAGGTTAAGTCATCCCATTGCATGCTGCTGGATAGATTCTAACTGCTTTCTCCTCCATTCAATTAGCTGTCATGAAAACTATTCAAGACAAATTGAGTAGAAGAAAGAGAGAGAGAGAGAGAGAGAGAGAAGTTTCCTAGTTGCTGCACTGCCAAATATATTGGATGTTGAAAACCGAGGAATTTTTATTTTCCCTGGTATTTCAGGCATGGACACAACTAGTAACCTCCATACTCTGTGCTTCATCAGGGCTCCCAACTGCACAAAGCCTTCCATTCGTTCACTAGAGCTTTGGGAATTAAGCTGACAATGAGAGGCTACTTCCTCATTACACAAGGTTCAAGAATCGGAAACATCATGCCTTAAGGCTCAGATGTTCTTCACAGAAAATGATTTCCTCTTAGATGGTTACTGAACTGAACAAAAGGAAAATATTTTCCTTCCATTGAAACCAAAACTCAAAGAAAGCGTGACAACCAACATACCAGACTCTTGACCACTTTCAGTAGTTCTTCCATGACCACAGCAATTCCTTGGTATCCCAGGAGCCTGCATATGACTTTGAAATGTGGTGGACCAACAAAGTTTCTGTAATTGCTATAAATGCTGGAATATGCCAGATTCAAAGCCTAAAGGGAAAGACATATAATATATAATCAAATTAGGAGTCATTTCCCCTTCATTACAGAGTACATGAGCAGTAAGTCTGGTCTCTCACTGGCATTTTTATTGAAACTCTAGAGAAAATATGATAAACTGGTTCAAACATTTAATCAGCATTAGAGAAAAGTTATGCTAACTGACATCAAGGATAATATTCAATGGGAAAAATCTTATATAGTAATGGTTTTATATAAAGTAATGTCCATGTTTTTGGAACTACTGATGTGCAGGAACGGATAAATTGGACAGCCTGCATTGTGGGACATATATACACTTTATGTGGTGCTCAAGTCATTTTTCTTGGCTCCAGTATTTCAATTGTCAAATGGGAGTTGGAGACATCTACTTAAAAGTGCTGTCCAAAGAGAAATAAGAAATCAGATTACTTTACTATTTAAAAAGATCTGTGTTTTAGAACAGTACTTATAATATTTATAATATTACAATTCATTACTTCAGAACACTGCATAATTTATTGAATAATAAAGTTAGGTTCTTATATGGATGATAATTTAGAGATGCTTAGATTAAATCAGTAGAAATTAAGTGAATCATGGCAAACGTGTCCCACCGATTTCATTGAATCTAATTTAATAATAATGAACTCTACAGTCCACATCCAATCCACTATTTGAATTAAAGGCGGTCAACTCCATTTTTTTCTAAATAGTAAACCTAGATCATGAAAATGACACATTGAACTTGTAAGCAAGTTACTTTAAAGCCAGTGGGCTTGCTATCTGGGAAGCTTGATGCAGTAGAGATTTTCTTGCAGAAAACTAGTTATAAAACCAAATAAGACCGAGAAGACACCTTGGATTTAACCATGTAACCCTATATCTCTTGTAATGCAAATAACGTTTTTAAAGGAACAATTCAAATAGTTTCCAGAAAAAAGGACAATCACAACAGATGTCTGATGGATTATCAGATTCTATCTACGAAAGAGTTTCAGATAAAATTAATAACTCTTATTACAGATAATGGTTGATTGAAATATCTAGTTGTAAACAAATTCTAGCTCAAATCAGCAGATGGCACACCAACACATGCAGAATGATATCAGCCCCCAAAGAGGCAAAGGCACATGCTTTTTCATTTAATCTACCAGCATTTGGATATCTACGTGAGATAGGTTACATTTTTCTCTTCTAATCTAGCTGTGGAAAGATGAAAAAAAAAATCAAACAGCAATGCCTTTCTTCTAAGCGAGGTTTCTAGTGATTTGTATGAAAGACCTTGAAGTTTTCTAGGCAGCTAGAAAACAGATATATGATTTCATTGAGAGTACATAGCAAAGGAAGCGTGAATTTAAAGCAGAACTTTCTGCCTTTTACATATTGCAAATTATGGTATATTCATTCATTCAACTTAGTTAATTAAATAAAAGATCAGATGGTCAGCTTCACGGTTGAATAGAGATATGAACCTAGTCCTTCCAGTTCTAGCCCAGTGCTATAATCACTGGTTGAAAACTGGGGTGCATTTGACAACACTTTAACTGCCCTGGCTCAATGCTTTAGTATTAAGAGAGCTGTAGTTGTGCGAGGTCTTAAGGCCTTCTTTACCAAAGAGTGTTTGTGCCTCATCAAAAAATCTGATGATCCCATAGCACTGAGCCATGGCAATTCAAGTGGTGTCAAACTGCACTCATTTTGCAGTCTAGATGCACCCATGGAAAAATCTATTCCAGGGGATAAAAGGTGCATCAACACATAATAGAGATATGAGGCCCAATGCCTTACAAAACAATTTAGAATATGGTAGTAAACATTCATCCTCTATCAGCAGATTAAAGCATGGAAGTGTACCTATTAGCCTAAAATTACAGGGAAAGAAATCTACAGAAAAAAAGAGAAAGAAAATAGCAGTGCAGACAAATGAACAGAAGCAACTGCTAGCAGGTAACTGAATATCTTAGATGATAATTGAATGTAATAAAGCCTGAATGTGCTTTCTAAAGCTATGCTTCCCTCCTCCCCAAACCAAGGAGATCAGTAGTGATGTCACTGCTCAACCGAGCATTATTCGCTTGGCAGCTGAGCAAACCCAGGCACAGAAAAGCAGAATCTAACTAGAGCAGCCCAGCAATGCCTTTCCTATCAGGAGGTAAAAAGGAGAAAGTGAAGGCTGACATTCTCTCCCTGGAAATCCTGGACAAAAGACTACCCGGGACAGTATGTTCTTGTGTTATCAGTTTAGACTGATAACACAAGAGGTCTCCCCTCATCACTAGCATCTATCTGGAAGAAAACTGAAAGGTTAAATAATGAAAAATTGGTCCAAATAACCTGCTGGAGGACAACTGGCAAACAAAGACCATGATGAACACGACTTGCGCAGAAAAGGAGGTTGACATTATTTCCACTCAGTTACCTGATGGAAACCACGGGATTTTTACACTGAGAAATTGATGGTGAGTATGAACTTTTTAAAAACCTATGGCGTTTCTTCTCAGCATGTGAATGTGAAAATAGGAGAGTGAAGGAGTGTTTGGTTTGCAAAAAAAGTGCAAAAGATTAGGATAGGAAAGAAAATCTCAGATCAAAGCTAGCAGATTAATTGTATGTTTATCTAGAAAAGGCATCATACAAACAATATTAAGTAATGGCAAATAAATAAAAAGCCTCCCAAAAAGCATGTACTCCATATAACATTATTCCTGTACACAGGATACTGCTCCTACGTAATATTCCTGCTTATTTGATGTGTTTAGCTCAGTAACAATTCAGCCAATAGTTCTTTCAAAGCACAATAGTAAATTTATTAATGTGGCCATTCAGGACTTTTATCAAGCAGGTGGGTCAGATGCTGTGAATAAATGGTACTATAAATTGTAATTTCTTTTCACTTTGATTCAAGAAGAAGGCACCAATGTCTTGAACTGAAATATACAATTTAACATGATGCCACACATAACACACTACTTTTGAGTCCTTGTGAATGATACGACTGAAATGCTATTACTTGCATATTATTGTTGCTATTGTTGTGTGCCTTTAAGTGAGTGCCGATTTATGGTGACCGTAAGGCAAACCTATCAGAGTCTTCCTGGCAAAAAATGCTCAGAGAGGAGTTGCCTTAGCCTTCATCTGAGGCTGAGAGTGTGTGACTGGCTCAAAATCACCCTGTAGATTTTTATGATTTACCAGAGACTTGGACCCTCTTTTCTCACTGTCTTAGTCCAACATTCAAACCACTACATCACACTGGCAGATCATTAGCAATACAATAATGCCTTTGCAAATTTATTTGGAAAGTGGGAACCAACACCAAATACAGAATACCTAAGATGTAAATTGTCTTATATAGAATGAAATTGGCATAATTCTTTTTCACAGATATTTTGACATTTTGACATATTCTATTGTGAGCAGGAATTGAGAGATTTCTGTTCCTTGTCAGAGCAAAAATATTTATTTAGAAACCATACAATGGAAAGCTACGCTTTTTTCCAATTCCCTTAAAATCAAAGGAGAGGAGTTAGCAGATCTGATCCAAAAGTAATCAGATCTAGGACAGAGTCACTGAACCAATGGGAATTAATAAGTCATAGCATTTTTTGTGTGTGTGTGTGTCAGGAGCAACCTGAGAAACTGCAAGTCGCTTCTGGTGTGAGAGAATTAGCCATCTGCAAGGACGTTGCCTAGGGGATGCCATTGTGTGGGAGACTTCTCTCATTTCCCTGCATAAGAAGCTGGAACTGACACACGGGAGCTCACCCTGCTCCCTGGATTTGAACCACCAACGTTTTGGTCAGCAGTCCTGCAAGCGCAAGGGTTTAACCCATTGTGCCACTGGGGGCTCCTCTAGTCATAGCATTCAAAGTATAGGAATCACACAGTAATATTTTTGAAAGTTGGGAACCATCACCTTATTCTGAGAGTACTTATAGAGACCACTGTGGGGTTAAATGCTTTCTATAAAGGCACCAGACCCCATTTAATATTAGAAGCTAAGTAAGGTCACACACATTTAATACTTGGATGGGAGACCACAATGAATACAACTATAATTAAAAAATTGCAAATTACCTCTGAGAATTTCTTGCCAAAGAAAACACTCTGAAATGCATGGGGTTGCCGTAAGTCAACAAGGGCCGTGAAGGCACAGACACACATACATTAATAAATGTGGCAAAGCACACTTGTTTATCTTGCAAGAGATGCTAAAAAGGATTTAGTAAAAATAATCCCTTTTCAGTTAAGCAAAACAGCACCACACAGGTGTTTCATTCTTTTCTAAGTTCCATTTTGTGTTATTACCATTTCACTGCATTGGATTGAAAGGGCAGAGGACAGGAACAGAAAATGAACAAGGGTAAGGAGCACTTTGGTTAGGTGTGAAACAAAATATAAGAAATATTTACATGTTTACATTGTATTTGGGATAATAACACTTTTTAAGGAATGTGTTTTCTCATCAAAGAGAAAAGGCTGTTCAAGCAATGAATCAGTTATACATTCCTCATAATCCAATCCAAAGGAACACACTAACATAACTAAACAGCCAGGAATACTGATTTTTCATTAGTGAGAGATAAGGGGAGAAAGGCTTGGGAAGATGCTTCTGCCTGGTTTTCAAAAGAAGAGTGCCATATAAGTGCAATGTGTGGAATGCTTCTGTCACTGCCATTCTTTTCAAGAGAAAAATTTAAGTGATTTTATATTGCTTCTCTTACAAATACAAATAATATTTCCTAAATAACCCCCTCCCAACCTTTCAAATTCTAGAGCACCAGCACTTATCCTCTCAAGATTTTTTTCTTGGAAAAAAGAAACATCAACGGTTGTTTTTTCTGAAGCTAAATTCTTGGAAGAAGATCAATAGCACAATGGGAGTAACTGTACAAAATATAACCGGAAGCACTGCCCTAGTTATCTGGCCCAAAATGGCTGGCTGCGTAGATAGCTTCTACAGTATAATGTACAATCCAAACTGGGACAAGATGCTATCAGGATACACCAGAAAACACTTCCAGAAAGAAGAGAGAGTGCCCGCTAGCCGTTCTTCGTTTCTCATTGAGAACTTGATCCCATTAACAACGTACATCCTGTGTGTAACATGCCAGTCGGCAAACCCATCCAGTGACCAGTGCCGAATTTTTAACACACCAGAGCAAGATCCAGCCTCCAAAAGCAACAAAAAGAAAGACATAGCAGTGGGCATCTGGCTAACCAGCACCGTTTTGCTTCTCATCATTGTCGGCATCCTTGTATACAGCTGCTTGCACATATGGTGGCGCAAGAAAAGAGAGAGTTCAGAGAGGCAGAGTATTAGTCCAGATGATAAAGGAGAGACGTGGTCAAAAAATGAACTGTACAATTCACAAGATTTCAACAAGGAAAGCCAATATGTTCAAGGTGTTGAGGTTCAAAGCACTAATAGTGTTCAATTAGCTACTGTTATTGCAAATCCTTTAACATCGAAAAAGCCCATCATGCTGAGCTCCAAAAGTCAAGACTTTGTGCCCATGTCGCTATGCCAATCTGATATACGGTAGGTGTCTTTAATTGAGACGAGCGACTGTTCCTTGAAAAAGAAACATTACTAAGATATCCTAACACATTACCAAATCACATCTTCTAGCACATCAAAGGAAACTATCATATCTGCATTCCGTTGGAGGAGAAATACTGCATAAGAGGGAAAATGTGGTTTTTCAAAACAAAGAAAAAAAGCAACAACTGAGTTTCAGGAAGTTTCTCTAAAACTCTGGGACAATTAACAGAATTTTTGATTGTATTTCTTTGGCTTCCACATTAAAACAACTTGTTCTTGCCTAGGTTTGAAAAGTGGTTTGCCATAAATGAAAGGATTGGGCAGCCATTGAGTAACAAACATTGATTTCAAAGTTCCCTGAAAGCATGAAACTGCGTTTATGTTTCTTTAGATCTTAGCCTGCGTTTGTAATTTGGAACACAAACCTGCTGAAAGAGGAAAAACTGGAAATGGATGCTGTTCAACCATCTCAAACTTGTACTATATACCAATTGAGAAGAAAGGTAAATGGGACCTAAAAAGCAGGAGAGACTCATAGGACATTTTACCCTGCTTTCTGACAATGTGCATCTTCTAACATGAAGTTTGTCCATCAGTTTCATTCTCTTGATGCTATAGTTGCTAGTGATACCATTTTAAACGTTATAACATCTTGACTAAAATGTGTTAGCTAAATTTCCGATGTTATGTATGTCTTTTATTAATAACCGTGAAATACGTAATTTGAATAGTTCAAGTTCATAGTCTTTTGCCAGTATAAGGAAAACTGTACAGTTTAAATACATGACCACTGAAACGATTTTTAGCTTTTTCACTTGAAACCCAACTATCTAACTGTCTTCTAGCTTGCCCTGATAATATACTGCCTGAAACAAATTGGAGACTGAATATCCCTTATCCAAAAAACTTGGGACCAGATGTGTTTTGAATTTCATCTTGTTTTTTGGCTGATGGAATATGTGAGGAGATATCTTGGCAATGGGGCCCATGTCTAAACACAAAAATCCTTTCTGTTTCAAATCCTTATACATATAGCCTGAAGGTTATTTTATACAATTTTTATTTAATGTTGCACATGAAACAAAGTGTGTGCATAATGAACAATCAAAAAACAAAGATGTCTATATCCCTGCCATCTTTGTAGATAATTCTGGATTGTAGAGTAGTTAGGATTTTGGATGCTCAACCTGAATGGATTTAATATTTATTTTATATAGCATCATGCATGCTATCTGTGGCTCATTCCAGTTTTTTTTAAAGCAGATTTACAAAACATAAGGATTAATTCAGGTGCCAAACAGGGTAGCTTTGTGCCAAACTAATGCTGATCTGATTTTTTTTTTTTGGTGGAACCATTCATTCACTAAGCATTTTAAATATTTTAACCTCACTGGCTGAAGGGGGACAATTTTTTGATGCAGGCAGGGATTCATGTGCCCCACTTCTACACCAAAACCAAAGCAGACAAGAGCATATTACCCATTTTTGTGGACTGGTGCCATGTGTTTTTATTGTTCAGTGTTTTCAAAAACCCACTACTTGACATAAAATGTGAATGAAGTTTAAAAAAAAAAGAAAAAAAAAGAAAAATGCTGAATGTTTATTTAGGCTTCTAGTTCTGAGTTACTGCTTATTGCCACAATATCCCTGTCTTTAATGCTATTTGTTGTTACAATTTTAAAGTATAATTTCAAGTTCTGGACTGAATGCAAGCTATGTTTGTGCAAACAATTTGCCCTATTTTACTATCCCTATTTGGGCATTTTATTGCACCAACAATTAAAACTGTGGGAGGGAACGTGAGGATGAGTTAATTAGTTCTGCTTCCATCCACCTCCATATCTTGGAGGATGAATGTCAACAACAGGGGAAACTCCTCTACTCATAGTTTCCCCTATAAAAAGATTTTAAACCTCAATACTTCTAGGATTCTAAATAGCACTTTGAACATGTATGGTTTGGAACTGTTACTGACTTTTGTTGTGTGCCTTCAAGTCATTTCTGGCTTATGGCTATCCTAATGTGAATCTTTCACAAGGTTTTCTTGGCAAGATGTGTTCAGGGGAAGTTTGCTTTTGCCTTCCTGTAAGGCTGTGAAAGTGTGATTTGCTAAGGTCACCCAGTAGATGTCCATGGAAGTCTGTGGATTCAGAGCCTGGTTTCCAGAGTCCTAGTCCAAAGTTCAATCCACTACTCTACAAATCACCTACAAATCAGTGGTCAGTGGTCATACTAGCTGAGGAGTTTGGAAATTTAACAAAAAAGGTTAAATTTCCAACTACAGGCTCTAAATCACATATAGACATTAACACTTCAATTTACAGATGGCAATGGGGATGATGACGAAGAGAGTAATATAGAAGTCAGAACTAGCCTCCTTATCCCAGCTAACCCCATAAGATCCCGCAGCACTAAATATAGTTTTCATGATCTAGGAAGGGAGAGAAGGAACAGAAGAGATAGAGCATCACAAAGCTTATTCTTATGAATCAAGCAAGGTTTGACTGTTTTCTCTAAATGGGACAAAAATATCTCTAAGGGGGCATTTACCTTTACATTTATTGCAATTTGATGCCACTTTAACTGTTATGGCTGAATACTATGGAATCATGGGAATTGCGGTTCACAAGGTCTTTAGGCTTCTCTGCCAAAGAGTACTGGAGTCTCACAAAACTACAACTCTCAGATTTTAATAGCATGGTGCCATGGCAGTTAAGTTGTGTCAAACTGTATTAAATTTACAGTGTAGATGCACCTTAAGCCAACCCTTGCAAGTTATTTGCTCCCTCTTCACCCATACAAACACACAGTACTACTTATATTGTACAAATATGCTTATAGTGGAAGACATTAAAACAATACAGAAGATGGTCCTTTAGCTATGTATTTTAACTACATTGCAGTCCACCACAAGACATGAGTAAAGGCAGATATTTTTATTATTATTGGAATATCGTCGTCATTATGAATTGAGAGTTTTAAGAACTCTTGACTATTGAGTACAATTTTGGGAATAGCTTTCACATGCAAAAACAAATAAGGAATATTAACCTTTGATCCATGAAGATATTGGGGTTGTGCATTCGGCTGTTTATCTCTCTGGAATTCCTGGGAAAATGGCAACACAGTTCGAACAAACCTATACAAATCAAACAAGGTATCACAGCAAGTTACATTTGTACTACTATTATATCATTTATTATCAAATGACTCTAAATGACATTTTGTACAATAAGCTTTCAGTTTATCCCACAACGTAAAATTGATAATAAGACAAAGTAATTGTTTACATCTGGGATGGCCAATGGGTTGCATATCAGAAAAAGAGCCTCTGTATTCTCTTCTTGGGAGACAATTTCATTATTTCACAATTTGTCCCACCAAGATGTTCCCCCCCCTCTCTCTCACACAACCCCCCCCCCCAAAAAAAAACCCTGGGAATTGGGGCACAATACTCTAAATCTGGATAGGAAAAGGATGCCTCATAAGACTGATGCCACCTCCAGAGCTATTTTGTAACAAAAATCCCAGGGATATTTTTTCAAATGTTTTTCAATAACTTCCCCCCTAAATGTTCCCATGAAGGTGTGGGGAGTATTCTGATACATTCCGATGCCCTTCTAAACCAATTCCGTTCTTTAAAATAATAAAAAAGGGATCTAAAATGACACTGGGTCTATAAAATGCTGAAAATGCTCCATGCACTCCCTAGGGCAGTGTTTCCCTACTTTTTTTGACCAGGGACCACTTTGACCAGGGATCACTCTCCAAAAGGGTTACGAATCAGTTTTTGGTCAACTTTAGATTCGGTTTGGTTATTTGGGGTGCTGATTCAGAAAATTGCATTGGATAGACTATATCAGCTCTAGTTTTTGATATAAAACATATGCCATCCAGTAGTTGCCATTTGCTCGCCCACAGAAAACCATATTCAATAATCTAGAGCTGCAGACCTTATTATAGGAATATTTCGGGGCATCAGGGGCAATTCGTTTCAGGGGCAGGCAGTGCCGCACCCCAAAATCTCCTGGGAGATTAATGCAGTGCCTCATTCTTCCACAGTTGTCCTCCCTGGCTCTAGGACATTGTAAGCATTGCAAATGATGTAATAATAATAACAACACTTTATTTATATTCCGTTCTATCTCAGAGCGGATTACAACATACACAGATAGGAAATCTTCAATGCCTTTAATACAGTGAAATAACAATGACACACAAATACACAGAACAAAGGTAAAGGCTTCCCCTTTCATCTCTGGCTTCTGGAGGCAGCGCTCAACTCTGGCCATGGGGAGGTGCTCTTTTTCTATTTCCAAGCCGAGGAGCCTGTTGTCTGTAGACACCTGGTTGTGTCGCCGGTATGGCTGCATGAACAACCAAACAGAGTGGAAATTTATGAAAAAACTGTGGAGGTTCTGGAGCTGGAGGTCACAAAACTGATGAATTTCATGTATTTTCAGGTAAATGGATACTTGGTTCCTAGAATATTTTTCTCCATTTAATGTTACTCCATCTCTAGCCCTCATCCATATCTATTTCTTTTATAGGTTTGAGGTTTTTTTTAATGGATAAAAACGGTAAAGGTTTCCCCTGACATTAAGTCTAGTTGTATCCAACTCATCTCCATTTCTAAACTGAAGAGCCAGCGTTGTCCGTAGACACCTCCTAGGTTATGTCAATGGCCTGACTGCATGGAGCGATGTTATCTTCCCACAGAAACAGTATCTACTGATCTACTCACATTTGCATGTTTCAAACTGCTAGGTTGGTAGGAGCTAGCACTAACAATGGGAGCTCATCCTGACCCATGGCTTTGGATCACCAAGCTTTATCAGTAAATATTTTATTTTATACCTATAATATATACTCCTATATCTGGGGTCACATTAAAAATTCAGATGGAAAGGGGTTGCAAATGGGAAAAGATTACAAAGCCCTGCTCTAGAGGATACAATAAGTTTGGGGTTTTTTTTTTAAACAGTTCAAAAATTAAGGGATGGGGAGAAGCACAGCCTCTCAACATTCAGTGAACTAGAATTCTGTTACTAGCTTACCACAGACCTGCTTTAGAAGGAAGGAAGGCAGCAAGCCAGACATAAAGGAGAAAAATATTGGTATTTGTTATGATCCTATTCAAACTGCCTTTTGCTTATGTTTAAAAATGCATTGGGAGGGGGAGGGTTGGATATTGTATTCTGTATAAAACGCATGTATTCAAAAGTTTCCATTAATTTGTTGTTCCATTTCCCATTATGGTTGAATGTTTCAAATTAAAAACAAAGCATGGCGAAAATTCACCTTCTACCCTCATTTTTACTGTCAGCTTATCTAGTGAAAGGCACGGGCTCTGTATATCTCTTTCAATGTGTGAAATAACTGTCTTTTTATACTGATTCATGTCTCATTTTATGTCAGAGTCGAGTTATACATGAGTATTTCTGCATTTACATAACTCTTCTCTCTCTTTTACAAGAACATTAATTAAAGAGGAAACCAGTGTCTTCTGTTTCTTATGAGCAATAGCGGCTAGCACAATTCAGAACATCCTGAATTCAATAGATTATTAAAACCAATTTCAAATCAAGGTTTAATATTCTGACCTTTTCCTGAAGCTGATAACTTTAATATCTTTGCACAAGTATCTTATCCGGTGTCCAGGTACATATGCTTCTACATCAGTGGTTACAATCTGTGGTCCATGGACCATCAGTGGTCTGCTAGAACTGAAATATTGTCTATGGCCTCACCATTACTACACTGTTGCAACGGGAGCGACTGGTCTCTAAAAACCCTCTTATAGTGCCAGAGCTTATTAAAGATATTTTTTTGTGGGTGAGCAGATGGCAACTATTGGATGGTATATGTTCCGTATCGGAAACTAGAGATGATGTGGTCTATCCAATGCAATTTTCTGAATCAGCACCCCAAATAACCAAAGTTGACCCAAAACCGATTCGTAACGCTTTTGGTACTAATGCTGGAGAGTGGTCCCTGGTCAAAAAAAGGTTGGAAACCACTGTTCTACATACTTATCTCTTAGCGTATTACTAAAAAGAGTTACAGTTATCCAAATCATTTCAACATGTATTTTACATTTTTTTCCTGTTACTTTAGTTTAGTTTATGTTGAAGCCTATGTTCTTGGAAACATATATTTCTATTGATACTGATATACTACACACTGCCACATCGTAAAGTAAGATGTAATTTGTTCTTCAATGATTTCATTTAAAAAATATGCTCTTAAAGAGTTATTTTCAAACATCCAGTTCTATTCAGAAGCTGCCACAACACTCTGTATTCATTTAATTTCATTTTTTTAAAGTGACAGGGTTAAAATGCATAAATTAATTATGCAGAGCTACCTTAAATTTAATATATTCCCTTCCTTTGCTCTCTGATGATAAACAAAAATTATGATGGTAAATCTACTTTGATGCAGTGCTGCTAAATTGTAGGATTTGGCAAGCTTCAACATAATCAGGTCGTGTTACTTTTTAATCTCTGGATGATGACTTTCCTAGCAATTTATCCATTTTCATCAGCACAGCACTAAGCAGTCAAACCAAGTAGATTACACAAATCAAACCCCTGTTACCACTGCTTTTGCTAGGGGGGGGGGAGCAATGTATAAGCACCCCACACATGAATACTAAAGTATTCATTTTCAACAAGTTCAAATTTGCACATGAAATGAAAACTTGATTTAAAAGGCATAATCTTAAATAGAAATAATTTTTTATGAATTCAGGCAATCAAAGTTGGAAAGTTACTTTCAAAGCCAGTTAATGTTCCAAAGCTCCCACACTAGTTAGCTGTTGCTACCATATTTCTTTGATTCCTAGAAGCCGTTCATTGTAAGATGCACACTAACTTCAGTACCACCAACAGAAAAAAGCACCTACAATTCGAAGACTTGCCCTGTTTTAGGAATGTTTACATGAGGAAAGGATATGTCTTAGAATCAAAGAAATACAGTACAGACAATTCCCCCAGTTACAAACATCCGATTTACAAATGACTCATAGTTAGAAATGAGAGTGACTCAAAAGGAAGTGAGAGAAATCTACTCCTAGGAAGGAAAATCCATTCCTGGAGGGGTTATCATGGGGAAAAGGTGTTTCCACTGGAGCTTTATCAGCAATCCTTGTTTCTACAAGCCATTTTTCTCAAAATCCAATGATCACAGGGACAGAAAGTGAGATGAAATCTTCTGAACAGGGATACAGACAGCAAAACAAATACCACAGGGGTGTTCACCCTTCCCTATGATATCCAAAGCTAAAGAATATATATTTTTGGTTGGAGTCGCACTTAAAAAATGTACTTATTCCAACTTACATACAAATTCAACTTAAGAACAAACTTATAATCAATCAGTCAACCAACAAACTTCCAGAACTTATCTTGTTTGTAACTTGGGGACTGCCTGTATATAATAATTTTTCATAGTAACCTATTTCATTGTGTTTTTTAAGTGACTCAAAAAACGGTTAGAATGTCACAAACCACCCACCCATGGCACAAAACACACCTAAGTAGTAGAGCCACTTTTACCTTTAAGCAATGGCAAAATACTGATGCAGCTGTTCCTTGCTTATATACCTGGCGTTGCCTGGGTGTCAGGAGGACCACTGCCTCTCTTCTTTCTCCCTTCTCAAGCTTTGGAAAGGCCTACCTCACAATGTCTCAATGGCAATACTCTGGCAACTTTCTTTGGGCAGGCTATCTATGTGGTCCTTTCGTTTCTTCCTCCATTTTCCTCATACACCTTCTCCCTTTCTCTTTTCTTTCTTCTCTTCTTCTCTTGCTTTCCTTCATACACCTCCCCCCTCTTCCTTCTTTCCTTTCCTTTTTCTTCTCTTCCCTTCTTTCTTTTTTCCTTTCCTCCCCTCATAACTTTCCATACCATGTCATATATCAGCCGCCAAGCCACTTCACTCCCTTTCTTTCCCATGGACATCACAGAGGGCCACTTCACCTAGCCACAGCCAACCTACTTTGATGCTTTTCTTTTCTTCAGCTCTGGGCTTGGAAAGGGTGGTTCTTTTAATTCAAACCTCTCAAATATATTAAATTGGACAATGAAGGGTATGTGTACCAGGTTTGGTCCAGATTCGTCAAGTCAGTGAGGAGACTCTTTGTTGTACAAATGGACAAACAAACAAGCAGGGTGTCGGGTATTAATACTTAAATATAGCAAGGATTCAAGACCAACTATGAACAAGCTGAAAGGACTAATTCTGTTTATTATATGACTACTTTTGAGTACTCTTTGTGTTTTCATAGGATTGCACATCAGGTTCCTCTTCTTCACAAGTTAACAAGTTCACCTTTACATTTGAATATACAAAAACTTGAAGACAAGCAGGTACAATTAGGAAGACCAAGATCCTAAACCCTTTAGCATAGTATAATATGTCAGTGTAATTATGTTAGTTCGTACAGTTGCAAAACTAACTCTCTGTGTAATGGGAGTGTAGGTTTTGAGGTTACCAGCTGCACTATCATCAAGAAGTGAGAAGATGCCTGTATGTTTAATTATATTTTATATTGTGTGTGTGTGTGTGTGTGTGTGTGTGTGTGTGTGTGTGTGTGTGTATATACAGGGTTAGTCAAAATGAATAGGCCAATAAGAAAATTAATTTTAGACGAATGTATGTTTACTGTAACCAAACCACAGCTACGTAGCGACAGATAAACTATCAAAGTTTTGTCTCACCTTCAGAGATGTTCGATATGGGCGCCCCGTGTGACACGGCAGATGTCCAAGCGATAGTCCAGTTCATTCCACATCCGTTGCAGCACATCCGATGTAATGGCATCGAATGCAGCAACGTCTGGGAAGGTGTTCGTTGAGGTCCTAACCCTAACCCTAACCCTAACCCTAACCCTATCCCTAACCCTAACCCTAACCCTAACCCTTGAAATTCTCGCTGGACCGTAATTACTGACATTGTTTTAGCAAATGTCATCACACAAAACGCCTTCTCTTTGCTTGATTCCGCCATTTTGAAAACAGCGACCCCTAGCGACGCCTAGCGGCATTAACGTACATGTGTGTTGCTCAAAAAAAACTTTTGATAGTTTATCTGTCGCTACGTAGCTGTGGTTTGGTTACAGTAAACATACATTCGTCTAAAATTAATTTTCTTATTGGCCTATTCATTTTGACTAACCCTGTATATTGTATACACATATAATATCTATATATATATAAATATATATATATATATATATATCAGCTTAGTTTCATCTTTAGCAACTGAAGAAACAAGAAACATGTACACATTTTGTTTGAAGACGGAAGATCAAATTCACATATAGTTAAACAAATTGTTGCTTTTTAGCACATTTCAAAGCTATTTGGAAGGCTGTTCAACTATGGACATTTGGTAATCAAGGTATATGCATTCGTTGTTGATAAATGCAATTTTATGGAACACAGTTTTGAATAAAGACATCTATTTTAAATAAAGATATTGAAACATCTCATACTAACCTGTTTGTGGACCCATTGTAGCAGTAATTTGGAAGGAAATCATAATTGAGCTCCCAAAATACATGCAGGGTGATTCTCCCATAAGGAGCTGATACATTATGGTTGGCTTCTCTGAACATGGCATCAAAGCTGTCCAAAGTCATGTATCTGCTCAGGAGCTTATGCGTCATTTTGTTTATTTCTACCAAGCCATCCAACTCCTAGGAGAAAAATAAATAAAAGGAATATAAGAGAGTGAAATAGGTAAGAATGCAGTGGGAATCGTGTGAGAAGAGATGGAATTCCTCAACAAAATACAAACAAAATGTAATCAGCAAAAATACATTCCTAAATTCAAACGGCTTTATCCATGCATCTTTTCCTAATTCAGAAAGTATGAACTCTCAATAACATTTTTGCGTCTCCCTCTGTGCTACCATAATTTGTTGTTGTTTTAAAGGACATCGTGATTTGCAGTGCTAATTGTAAGTACATGATAACATAATGCTATCAATTAGCATTACGAGATAGGCAACATCATAATCAATGTAATATTGCATTAATTTAAATATATTTAAATTCATATAAATATGTCCCCAGTCATTTTTAATTAATTTGTTTTGAACAGATTTATTTCATTATTAACAGATTTAATAACTATGTTGAATAAAGAAAATGTTTGTGGAAGCAACCTCCTCAAGCCTCCTCTATATGATGTTTGTCTGTTTTGAACTGTGTTGTTTTATAACCTGAAGTATATGTCTTATTTGATTTGCAGCTTCCTTATCTCTATATATCTAAAGCAGTGCCCAGCGATCACCCATTACAAAACAAACTCTGCTATTCTGATTAGGTTGTGATCCTAACAGTTCATGATCCATTATCCCCATAGAAAAGAAGGGAGGTCACAAAAATAAAGTATCAGTTGGACTTTCTTTTGTTTAGACATGTAAAAAAATGTTAAAATCTGATTGTTCAAATGCTTATGATCAAGTATAAGTCGAAAGTGTGCTGAAGAGCGTGTGTTCAGAGTATAAGGAGTGCTATTTTTCGGAGTCTGTATGTCCCCTCCCCCTCATTAGTTCTTTGTGTATTTAGGAATTGAAGTGTAATGTCTGGTGTCAAATATTCATCCAATTCCTGACCCAGCAGGAATCTGCACAGTGGTGCTGAAGACTTACCACAATGGAGGTCAAATCTTCACTCTCAAAGCGGCCAATTGACAGCTCCAGTGATTTGTACATGGCTGCTGAAATTCGCTGAGTTATTAGGCGGTTCAGATCTATTGATCGACCAAGAAGCTGAAACAAGATAAATTCTAAATAGCAGTATCATATATAAATTCTCTATTAAATACATATTTCTTCAGGCCAGTGTCCTTTTAAAAATGCAATCCTATACAGAACACAATTCTTTTTTTACCATAAAAAAACAAAAGCAAATTTCTTTATATACAACTTACAACCTATACACATTCTAAAGAAACACCTACTAATCTATAAGCCTCCGACTCATTGCCTGCTGTTAACTTCCTGTTTGTTGGTTCCTTTAAGTATAAAATCTACTTCTAACCTCTCTACTTTTAAGAACACTCATATATATTAAAACTAATAGAATACAACTATGTTCATCTGAATGTTCTATAATTGCATCTGTATGTGTGTTGACCATTGTCCATGCTAGTTGAGGCTAACAGTAAGTAAGTAATAAGTAATAGTAACCATAGTCCAAGACATTTGGAGTGTATCTGGCTACTTATCCTAACAAAACTGTGAATTTCACGTAACAAGACTGTACAGGTTTGATTTAAATAATGTATTTAAGCAGAAGGAGGGGGAGAGATAATTTAAAACAAAATTGGACAAAAAAATCCATTAACTAAAAAAAGGTGGTTGAGAGTGATATCTGAAAGTAACATAAACATATTGACTCTTTAACAGTCACTTAGAAATGAATTCATGACTTCCTATCAAATTTATTTTGTGCCTGCTTTTTAAGTAAAAAAATAAGTTAGTACCAAACATGTACTTCTCATGAGGTCAAACATTATAAACTTGACAAAGAAGGTGGTTTTATTTATTGCACTGCAAAGTATTTAGTGAACAAAACAACACAGACCTTTACCATTGATGTTATTTAGGAACACTGTTTTGTCAAGGAACCATCATTAGCTGTGCCTCTGGAAAATTCTTGAGCATTTAGCTAAGCAGAATCATAGGTGAACAGAAGGAGTAATAACAAAAAGGGATTTGATTTGTTTTGCTTTTTGAAATTTCTCTCCTATGGAGGTACAGATTGTTTAGTATAAAAAGTATGTGGGCTGCATTAGCAAGAGAGTTACAGCCCTTGGTAGTTTCAATACGAGGGTGGGCACAGAGTTATGGCTTGAAGGATTTACTTTGTTGTCTACCAGAAGCCAAGATCAATAAAACAGAGCCAGGAGGTTCAGGGGGTCAGATATATCCTTAGGAAGAGAATAAATGTGTTCAGCCCAGGAGTTTACTTCTGGGTCATACCTGGCCTCACAAGTTCAGACTCCTGATTTCTCACCATCCAAGTTTCCATTTCGTCGGCCCAACTCTTTTGAAAGATAAGCTGTTATTACTATTCTGCTTGCTTCTGACAGCACAAAATGACTGATAGCCAGAAATATACTGCTCATCCCTGAAGCATGCTAGATCACGTTAAATTAATAACCTGCAAAGGCCTTGTTTATTTGCACATATACACTTTAAGATGATGCAGCAAGAAAGAAATACATATGCTGGAAAGATGGGAACTTTAGTTAACTGAATAATAATTTCAAGTTGGCCCTTTCTCATGCGAGATTTAAATTAGAATTTCAATCAATTCATCCAGCTGTTAAAAAGTTCACTCAAGAGCCTTTTGCAAAAATAGGTTTTTCAAATCTCAAGCACAAAGTTTATACCCTAGCTCCATATTCAAAGCAAATACGCAGCTGTGGCTCCAATCTGGCCACTGTTGCTCTAGTCTCAAACATTTTATATAAGACAGTCCCATGAATAAGCCAACAGAAGGAGTGAAACCAATTTTTTTAAAGCAAAACAGAAATAGCAGGATGGCATAATACAAGAGTGGGGAACTACTCTCACCATTATCCAGGGTGGTAAAGGTAATGGGAATGAGAGTTCAATAACCTCTTAGGGGCCAAGGATCTACTGGTTCGACTGTCTTTCTTATCCCACCATTGCTGCCTCCAACTCCTTGCTTGAGTGCAGAGCATAGGAATGCTCATATAATGATAATAATGACGATGATGATGATAATAATAATAATAATAATACATCACACAGTCCTAGATACTTTTTTATATATCATAATCTTTATTAAGTTTCTGATTACATTTAAAATATAGACATGTAGCCTAGGCTACTAGAAGGATGTGAGATGTGCTGAATTGAGAAACCCCGGAATAAAAAGTGATGTGTAAAACAGTGTAATAGCGAGAAAGAAAAAGAAAAAGAAAGAAAGAAAGAAAGAAAAGAAAAGAAAAGAAAGACTAATATAAGAATAGGTATAGAATCCAAAGCCAAGTTAAAAGAAAAGACTGGTAGATGTTGTCAACTTCCTGGAGTCTTCTAGAGGTCTGCTCTATCCTTCTTCTCCACTTCTATTTCTCTTCTCTCCTCAGCTTCTTTCTCTTGCTCTTCCTTCCCTACTTCTCTTCCTTGATTAGATTAAGATCCTTTTGTTCTTTTGCTTGAAGTATTCCATCACTTTTTCCCAGTTCGTTTCTTTCATATTCATTCCTTTACTTCTAGACACTAAGAAGGTAAGTCTATCCATGTTCTTAATTTCTAATACTTTTGTGAGTCTCTCATCTTCATCTGGTATCTCCTTTTGCTTCCATCTTCTGGCATAGCAAATCCTTGCTGCCGTTGTTATCAAGAAAAGGATTTTATCTGTATTTTTTTCTATTTTTAATTCATGTATCCCTAATAAGAACAGTTCTGCCTTCCATGGAATTTTGATTTTTAGAATTTCTTGTAGTTCTTTTTGCACCCTTTTCCAATACTCTTTTGCCTTCTTGCAGGTCCACCAGGAATGAAAGTATGAGCCTTCTTTTTCCTTACACTTCCAGCATTTTGTGCTGATGTTTCTGTTACATTTCCCTATTTTTTTCGGTGTCATATACCACCGATGTGCAGTTTTCAGCCAATTTTCCTTCAAATCAATAGGATAACTATATTTTAATTTTTCTATCCATATTTTTTCCCATTCCTCTTGTCTTATGTCTCTTTTGATATTTTCATTCCATCTCTTTCTGTAATTTTTATCCTCTTTAGATTCTGATTTCCACTCTAGCAGCTTCTTGTAGATCTTCGTTATTAGCTTTGTCTTTGATTCCATTATGTTATCCCAAAATTTTTTCTCCTGATTGAAGCCAATCTTCTTGTCATCCTTATACTTTTCTTTTATTGCCTAGATACTTGGGAAGTGTTTAACTTGTGATTTTGTGATACGAAATCAAGCATATAGATCTTGTTTGCTGTGACATACTGTGTTTTTGTGTCAGTAAAATAATAATAACTTTATTTATACCCCGCCACCATCTCTCAGAAGGACTTGGGGCAGCATGCAAGTCCCATAACACATAAAATTACATCACATATTAAACAATGTCAAGATAAAAATAACATTTTACAAGAAGTCAAATTTAAAAATTAATAAAACACAGTACAAAATGCCTTAAAAACTAATAGTACAGCATCCCAGCTGCAGCCCAACTCAACCATTAAAGTGCTAGTGACAGTATTAGATTGTTTGGTCCTTAGATTAGCAGATGTCGTAATTGTTTCCAAAGGTCTACCTGAAGAGCCATGTTTTCAGCTCTTTGCGAATGTGGGGGTAAGCCCAATATCCCTGGGAAGGGTGTTCCAAAGTTGGAGGTCCACCACTAAGAAGGCTCTCTATGTTGTCCCCGCCAGCCTCACTTGAGACAGAGGCAGGATCAAGAGAAGAGCCTCTCCGGCAGATCTTAAGAGCCCACGTTGTTTCATAGGAGGAGATGTGGTCATGATGGAACACCAGAATCCCAGAAAAAAATCCCCAGCACTGACATAAGATAGCACTTACTAACCTGGACATGCCTCTGTTTTAGCAGTGTCTCATACCGGTTCGATGTTAGCAAAGGAATTGTTGCTCCCTGATTTTTGCACTCTGATCTTAATCGCTTATCCAGAAGAAGGCTGTTAACAAAATGTGAACATCAGGCAATGTAGAGTGATACATACAATATTTTAAATTTAAAACCTGCATATTTTGAAATGATTTAATAGGTCAGCTTACCTTCCTGCCATGACTTTGTAGTATCCAAATATCTGGTCTGCCAACTTATAGACAAATTGGTCAAAGCACAAGTTGACCTGAAGATAGAAAATTATAGTGTTCAGTTGAACCAAAAGAAAAAAAAAACTTTGAGAAAACACATTTACCTTTGGGACCAATTTCTAAAGAGAACCATAAAAATATGCCTGGCAGCCTATTCTGAGCAATCTCTTCTTTATGTTTGCACTGGGTCACATAAACATTTGTTCCAAAGATCAGAACATTAAGTCTGAGCAATTTTCAAAAGACCTCGCAACCTCTGAGGATGCCTGCCATAAATGTGGGCGAAACGTCAGGAGATAATGCTTCTGGAACATAGCCATACAGCCCGGAAAACTCACAGCAACCCAGTGATTTCAGAAATGAAAGCCTTCGACAACCCAATTTACAATTGTTTGCTTATTACACACAAATTGCCATGGTGTCTTGTCCTACCTTTATGTAGGAGTATAGTCCCCTGAATCACCTTATCAATGGGTCATGTAACCTGAGCAAGGAAAGGGTAGCGGCAGCTGTTTGATGTTTCCCTGCTGTGGTGGGGAGAATAGGGGGAACCAGTGCTTCTTTTAGGTTTTCTTGAGGCAGACTGCATTTGGGAAGGTACCTTTTACAGGGGCCTTGTGCGAGCGAAGCTGCAGGAACTGTATTCCTACCTCCTTCCCCCTCTTCTCTTTCCCACATTACATTTCTGACAGTGGAAAATTAAGAGCTCCTTGAGGAAAAATTCGGCTTGAACTGGATGTGTGATTAGCCCCCTTTCCTCAAAGGAAGAATTGAGAACACTTTCCGGTTTTGGAAATCATTGGTTTTCCACATAAGAGAGACGTGAGAGTGCAAGAAGAAGGCTAAAGACAAAAAGTTTTGATTTTCTTTTGAGGTTTTTGGATTTTGGTTTTGGATAAGGGAGGCTTATGCATGTGTTTAATACTGTAATAAATCCAAGCATAAGCCTATGATTCCTCCCACTATTAAAATAATACTTTAAAATAGGCAAAAGTATATGCTTTACATTCTTTATTAATCTCAACGTATCCATTGGTCATACTTTTGGCCCCAAAAACTGTTCATGAATTATATATGAGGTGAAAATAATTAAAGATTCATGAGCTTACCTCTGCCTCAATTTCATCATAGAGAAACTGCTTCTTGAATTTCGTAAGTGCATAATGAGCACTGTCATTATAGAGATCCAAAGAATACAGGACATATCTAAACAAGAGAAAAGGAGCACATGTTCTCAGAATATCACCACTACTTTTCTGCTCCAACTCAACTTATTTAAACAATACATTAATGTTTTAATTCGTCACAGGGTGAATCAGAATGTTAAAAAAAACACAACCCCATTATTAAAGCGCAATGTTCTGATGACTAATTTTAAAATCATATAGAAGTGTTAATTTTCCATTTCTTAGAGCATTATGAATGTTCTTGTTATTTTTACAAGACTTAATATCATTGCTTTAATACTACCTGTAGTTTGGATTTTTATTTGCGAACTGCACTGTGAGTTTTTATACACTGCAGTATACAATTTTATAATATGGTACAAATTAATATTAGAAGTATAGCAGTTGTAAGGTGATGCTCTAATATTACATGCCAAAAATATACATGAAAAGTCAGTAGCACAAAGATCTGAGTGGATGTATCTATGAATACAGTTGGCCCTGGATATCTCCCGGTGTTTGTGGATCAATACACTCCATAGATATATAAAAAAATTATAGTTATTCAAGTCCCATTCTATACAGTGGTGTAACAAAATGATGTCCCTTATATAAAATGGCAAAATTGGGATTTGTTTTTTTGGAAACATTTTTGGAATAATTTTTGTGCCTTGCTTTTTTCTTTTTACAATATTTTTTATTGTTTCAATGTTACAATATCTTGCTTACACTTAAGTTTCCATTGGTGCTCATATTTATACACACTTCATTTCCATGTAACATTGCTTTTATCTGCACCCTCTTCTTTTTATACATCTTTCTTAAAAAAGGAAAAAAGAAAAACGGGGGGGGGGGGGGGGAGAAGATAGGTGATCTCCGGTCTATCCCAATCTAGTCACAAAGAAAGCTAATATCATAGCCTTCACCCTCTAGGCCTCTCTATTTATTATTATTATTATTATTATTACTGTGCTTATATACCGCCGTTTCTCAGCCTAAATCGGCGACTCAACGCGGTTTACAACACAACGACAAGCAGCAATATTCCATTAAAAAGCATAAAAACACATACACAATACACAATATTATTGGGCCACCAATAATAATCCAATGCATCTCTTAATTGTAGTCGCAATCCAATTTCGTCGTCTGTGATTAACCAATCCTTGTTCATCAGTTTCGTTGCACCAGATTAATCGAATGCTTGTTTAAACATCCATGTCTTCAACCTTTTTCGAAATACCATCAGCGAAGGGGCTGATCTCACCTCTATGGGGAGGGCATTCCAAAGCCGAGGGGCCACCACAGAAAAGGCCCTGTCTCTCGTTCCCGCCAGCCGCACCTGTGAAGCAGGCGGGATAGAGAGCAGGGCCTCCCCAGAAGATCTTAGGGTCCTGGTGGGCTGATAGGCCGAGATACGTTCGGATAGATAAGTTGGGCCAGAACCGTTTAGGGCTCACTCTTTCCTCATATAACAACATCAACAAATAATTTATTCTTCAAAATTCAGAATTGTCAAGCCCTTCTCTTCTTCATACAAAAAGTCTTTAAAAAATGTTTTCAATGTCCCTTCTTTTAGTAGATATGTTAATTTGTCAATTTTGGCCAACCCCATCATTTTTAATGATGCTCCATGCAGTCATGCCGGCCACATGGAGGTGTCTACGGACAATGCTGGCTCTTTGGCTTAGAAATGGAGATGAGAACCACCTCCCAGAGTTGGACACAAGTAGACTTCATGTCAGGGGAAACTTTTACATTTTTACATCTTTTTTATTATCCATTCCTCCGTAGTTGGTATTGTACTCTTCCATTTCTGTGCATATAGTAGTCTGGCTGCTTGTGGTCATGTGCTGCCATAGTCTATCCTGGTTACTTTTATCAGACCAAGTAGAAAACTCTCTGGTTTTTGCTGGATACTTCTCCCTAAATTTTTCTGAATCACTATGTGTATTTGAAACCAATATTTCTTGGCATATTAACATACCCACCAATATGATAGAAGGACCCTACTTGTTGTTTACATTTACAGCAAATATTGGAGTTCTTTTTATATATCTTAGAGAGCTTTTCAGGGGTCATATATCACTGGCACATCATTTTATAGAAATTCTCTTTCGAGTCAAAACATAACATGAATTGTAACCCTTTATTCCATATTTTCTCCCACTGTTCCAACATTATATTGTGCCCCACATTTCGTGGCCACTGTATCTTGCATTCCTTAACTTGCTCATCTGCCATTTCCCAATTAAATGTTGTCATTTGTACATAATTGTAACTCAAATTCTGATTTGCTTATTTCAAAATCAACTGACTGCTTGTCTTGTCTGAATGTTTGAGCCATGGTTGATTGAACTGGTGGGTGCATAATCCCTGGATACAGAAGGCTGGCTGTATGACAGAAAGAGCTACTATGGACACCCACTTGTATTTCCCCCCTATTCAGGCTTTTAAAAACCTGCATCTTAAATGCTTGCTCTTCCTTTGGAGGTCCTAATGTGATGGTAGGAAACTTAATAAATGGTAGAAATGAGACTGTACTTATCTCAAGTACAGAAATAAAATTGCAGAAGGATACCTTGAAATGTTTTCAGCAATAGGCTAAAGCATAAACTGAAATAATTTCTTTTAGAAAGCATCCTGACAGTGCTTGGTTGGGAAGGATAGGGGCTTGCTAGCTCCACAATTTAGACTACTAAAAAAAGAAAGCGGGGACTGGAAGGAAGAGTGGTAAACAGGGTCAATTTGACTTTCATTTTCAAGAAAATCCTTCACTCCATTTCCCTACATTATCCAAGTTCCTAATTTTTATTTCATTAGAATTTTCTGTGTCAACAAAAGAAGCCAGAGAGCTATATCATTCTTACTCCATCATAGATGCTTCCTTTGTTTCCAGAATGTGGTCAGTCAAAATCCAAGGCATAGACATCTCAATGGGGAACTGGATTCTTCTGCCCATGGTCAGTTCCAAGAAGAATTCCCTGAACCATAGTTGGGACAGGTCGCAGCACTGCTGCAGGGTTTCTTATTGCAGAAAAAATTGTATTGAGTTAATTTTCTTGTAAACAGGAACAAAAATGCAAAAGACAAACAAGCACAAGTGAAGCACAAGTCTGTTATTGTAATGGTGCAATGTTACATAAAAAAAACAAAGATAGGTGAGGGTTACTTGAGAAATATATGAAACAGAAATCAATGCTCACATTGGGAGCCTATGGACGGAGTTAATTCTGATATTAATAAAAATACACACAAAGGCACAAATGGCGTCATTACTGAAAACACCGCCAGAAGTAGCAGTATCAGCCACTAGGAGCATGCAGGCAGACACACAGGTGCATATTCCAAAGTGATCTCCCAGTTTTTGTCAATTATTGTGAAGATCACATTTTCAGCAATTGAGGTGGCGGGGGAAGAAACAGGAATGCCTCCTGACAGCTCTATTATTCTATTCATCTCTTTAGGTGGTAGGATGAGCACTATCTCTATGGTAGATACTGATCCTAGGGTCACTGAACAAGAATACAATATCTTAGTGAACAGGCAGAGAGAGGAATATAATTATAGCAAGTACATTGCCCAGAAAATGTCACCAGTAATTCCAAAGATCTGTTCCAGCATGTCAAGTGTTTTCAGTAGGACTACAGCAGTGGTTCCCAAACCTTTAAATCATCAATGCTATATTGTTGGCCCCTAAAGATCCACATTTTCAGATTTTCTACTCCTGAGACTCCAAACATCATCACCTGATAAGGAGGTTACCACGAAAGATTTGAAGTGGCCCATTTATTATTTACTAGTTGTCCCATGCCATGCGTTGCTGTGGTCCAGTCTGTGTATATGTGTTTTGCGTGTGCATGTATGTGTAGATGTGTGTGGACATATTTGTGCATATGTGTATATATGTGGTTTTGTGCATGCGTTGTAATGCATTTTTTATTTTTTGGCTTTTAAAGTTTGTTACGCTGTGCTTGTCAGTGTTTTTATTTTCCGGTCCCAATTCAAGGTGCAGGTTCTTACCTACAAAGCCCTGAATGGTTTGAGACCTGCCTACCTGCGTGACCGCATTTCTGTGTACGAACCCACACGATCTCTTCGTTCATCTGGAGAGGCCCTGCTTGCGCTCCCACCTCCATCGCAGGCGTGATTGGTGGGGACGAGGGAGAGGGCCTTCTCGGTGGTGGCCCCCTGACTCTGGAACTCACTTCCCAAGGACATCAGGCATGCCCCAACTCTGGCAGTCTTTAGGAGGAGCCTGAAAACATGGTTGTTCCAGTGTGCCTTCCCAGAATAATGAATTCTCAGCATTGTGCCCTCTAAATGCACTTTACACTGATTTAGGATTGTTTGTACGCTCTCACCAATGCCCCATCTCTCCTACCTTATTCATGCCTAGCATTATTTTTAACTTTAATTACATTTGGCCCAGCCATCGATTTTAATTGTGTGTTGTATTACTGTCATTGTATATTGCTTTTTTGTTTATGAGTTTTATTTAATTGTTTTATTGTTGTTGTTATTACTTGTATTGTTGTACTGTGGGCTCGGCCTCACGTAAGCCGCACTGAGTCCCTTGGGGAGATGGTAGTGGGGTATAAATAAAGTTTTATTTATTATTATTATTTATTTATTTATGAGTGATGGTCACTCATTGGCCTGATAGGTGTATTGTGTCCAAATTTGGTGTCAATTTGTCCAGTGGTTTTTGAGCTATGTGAATCCCACAAACAAACATTACATTTTTATTTATATAGATCTACGGGTGCCCTTGATTTAGAGACACACTGTTAAGAAATGAGTAGAGACAATCTGCTTATGAGAGACCTGTCTAGGAAAACAATAGCAAACCCAACCACAAGACTATGGGGACGGGGGAGTCACAATATATTGTTTGGGAATCACTGTACTATGTAACCCAGTGTTTCCCAAGCTTTTTTTGACCAGGGACCACTTCAACTAGGGACCACTTATGCAGGGACCAACGAGTGACCATCACTCATTGACCAGGGACCACTTTCCAACATTAGTACCAAAAGGGTTACGAATCAGTTTTTTATATTCGGTTTGATTATTTGAGGTGCTTATTCAGGAAACTGAAAAACCACATCACTGCTAGTTTCTGATACATACAAAACATATGCCATCCAGTAGTTGCCATCTGCTTGCGCACAGAAAACCATATTTAATAATCTAGAGCTGATGTGGTGGTAGTAGTAATCTTTCGTGGATAGTCAGCCTCTCCCCTCTTGACATCCCTGCTGCCTCGGCACTATAAAAGAGTTTCATGAGACCAGTCACTCTCGTTGCTGCCTGGTTTTGAGGCAACAATGTAGTAATGGTGAGGCCGCGGATCATATTTTCATTCTTGCAGCCTACTGGTGGTCCACGGACCACAGGTTGGGAACCACTGATGTAACCAAAGCGTGGACACTAAGGGTAATATGGCACTGTGTGTGAAAAGCACCAAAACATGAACTTTCTCCTCACACAGAAAGCTCCAATAAGGAAACGTATAAGAAAGACAACACAATGTGGTGTGACTAGACTAAACACATGTCAGTAGACTACCAGAACAACATGCTTCCGAGATAATGGCAGCCAGACAAGAGTTTCTGTCTTGAGATGAATTTAAAAACAGATTCAGCATATATTTTTGCTAATACAGTACTCTAGAACTGATATCAGCATGTCTTGTTAGATGAAAATTTTAGAAGGGAAGAAAGGAAGGTCCCGTCAACTGGAAAAAACATATAAAACACATAATTTATTAACTCCAGTTTTATCTGTCATATGCCAAAATGTTAAAAAAATAAGAGTGCTGTTGGATCAGAAAAATGGTCTGAGTGGTTCAGCATGCTGCTATTCAACAGGACCTATGAGAGCCAAGCCCCAGGCACAGTTTCAAGTTAAGTAAGCCACACAAAATCGGAAACATTTTCCCAGGTATGTAACACATATTAGGACATGCTAAAGCTGGACACCGATCATCAGCATATCTTACCACTGAAATTTATCAAGTGAGTGTAGAAGAAAGACTCTCGGTGGAATTTTTCTATGTCCAATATGGTGGGGCCCTCAAGGCTACTTCTCAAGGTTTTCTTGGAACCACTTTTGTCAGCAATGAGGGACTCTAACATGGTTCTCACCATGTACAGCTGTGTTATTAAACAGAACAGTTGTGATGGGAGGAAAAACATACACGGCACATTAGTTCAGCATCACTGAAAACACACTGTCAAAAGAGTGCTCCACTTCAAATTGAAACCTGATAAGGAAGTTCAAAAGTCATTAACTCAAGGGGGGAAAAGTGTTCAAAAGGACCACATTTTTAGTGGAAGAGATGATGTCACCACATTATTTAAAAATAATAAGTAATGCCTTACCACCAAAGGTTAAAAGGGTGGGATAGATGTAGGACTGCCTCAGAAACTTGTTTATCACATGCAATAACTTTTCCATTCCCAGAGATCTGAGCTGCTTCAACAGCTCAGCAGAGTTTAAGGACTCTGTCATAGTGCGAACCATGTAGAGCTAAAAACCAACAAAGAAGGAAGAGGCAGAGGGGGAGAAGAGAGAGCAGGTTAATTTAAAAACACTGGGGTAAATAAAGAAGTATAGAAAACACAGAACTGGAGAAAATATATATTAGTCCATTAAGAGGGAAACAGTAAGATAGTGAAGAATGCTGAAGGAATATTGCCTATAAATAAAGTGGACAGATGAAGCCTACTCATTTGGTAAGATTCCCAAAAATGCTCGTAAGGGAATGTATTTTTGAGCTGTTGGATCATGACAGATCAGATGGGGAAAGAGAAAAAAAAACTAATTTCTTCATAATCCACTGGTTATTTATTTTCCCCAATTATCAAAATGTTTATTTCCAACACAGTAGTATATTATCTAGAAATGACTGAAGGACATACTCTTAAACAGAGTTGCTGTGAGTTTTCTGGGCTGTATAGCCATGTCCTGGCCCCCAGGTTGAGAAACACTGTTTTAGGGGGAAATTTGTTGCTATTGTGTGCTTTCTTTCTATTGTGTAAATAACTGTTTAATGTGTTGTGAAAGGATTCCTGGCTGGAATCATTGGGTTGCTGTGAGTTTTCCGGGCTGTGTGGCTATGTTCCAGAAGCATTCCCTCCTGAAGTTTCACCCACATCTATGACAGGCATCTTCAGAGGTTATGAGGTTTGTTGGAAACTAGGCAAGTGGGGTTTATATATCTGTGGAATGTCCAGGGTGGGAGAAAGAACTCTTCTCTGCTTGAGGCAAGTGTGAATGTTGCAATTGGCCATCTTGATTAGCACTGAATGGCCTTGTAGCTTCAAAGCCTGGCTGCTTCCTGCTTGGGGATCCTTTGTTAGGAGGATTCTTGGGGATCCTTTGTTATCTAGCCCTGACTGATTCTTGTCTGGAATTCCCCTGTATTTTGAGTGTTGCTCTTTATTTACTGTCATGAGTTTTTTTTTTAAATACTGGTAGCCAGATTTTGTTCATTTTCATGGTTTCCTCCTTTATGTTGAAATTGTTCACATGCTTGTGGATTTCAATGGCTTCTCTGTGTAGTAGTTGTTAGAGTGGACAAGTTCAAAAGAAAGCATGTTCCAGAATGCTTCTGGAACATGGTCCTACAGCCTGGAAAATTCACACCAACACTGACTCTGGCCATACCCTTAAACACATTACATGGCAATATTACTTCAAGACTGCTATGTTCAGTAGACTGTTATGTTTCTAATATGAATAAGCAGTAAAGATCCAGAAGAGGGGGAAAGCATAGATAATCTGGTAGTGAAAGAAATCCCAAGAGGAAAATAACTGGTGACAATTTATGTTCAAATTCAGGCACATGCAAAAAAAAAAATATCCCACCACCACCATTGAATAGCAAGACATTACAAACTGATCTTGAATGATTCTGCAATTCAAAAAGATATAAGCCTTTGGCAGCTGTGGTTCAAAAACAGCAACCCCAAAGTTCAATTTGATATGGCAGATTGGGTTTTTTTCTAGATTGCGGCTTCTCAATGTAAGCCACCATCTTTATTTTTAACGTATTTTTCCAAATTTCTATCAAGCGTTTGTTCTAAAATATATCATTTGTTCACAACGAGCCACACTTAAAATGGCCAAGATGGAGATCAATTCCACAGAGTTCAAAAGGCAGGCATTATTTGAAGTATAGGAGGCAAACTCTGTTTTACGCTCTTATAAATAAAAACCAAAGAAAGCTATATAAAAAGAAAGCACAACAACAAGAATCCACCGTCGACAGAGAATCATCATTGAATAAGAAGGTTGATTTATATTGAAAACAATTAAGAGGCATATATGTGCAGGAATGTAAACGTAAGTAATCAGACATACGGTACTTGTAAAACACAGTTTAAACACAGAAGCATTCCCATGGAAACCAAAAGACTAGGAGAAGATGAGGGAGGTATAATCAGCATAGAAAATTAAAGTGACAGTACCCCCTCCATGGGAGTCTTTGACTAATCCCGATTTACACAGGATTTATATAACTAATCTTTTTAAATGGGTTCACTCTGCAGTAATTCCTATATCAGTCAGTGACACACAAGCCAGAATTAGTACAGAGAGTCTTACCTGGGTACTAGAGGGACCCACAGCTCGTCTTGGGACTTTGACGTCAAAGCCACTTTTGGGATCTTTCTCTCCTCGCAAAGCAGGATCATTGAATGGTTCGCGCCCACCTTCCCAGTCACACACCGTCTTTCTGATGGCCTGGAGAACACTAAGCACGGGCAAAGCAGGACTGTGAGCACGAACCATGGAACCACGAGCATTCTGGCCCATGTTTTCTAAGCACACCACATATATCAACAAAATATTAAGCATGCACCAACCAATATGACTACCTAATACAAGGGTCTGCATTCATTTGTGAATTCTTTTTCCAGGAGTTCCTATTGTTAAATAATAGGAAGAGGGTGTTTCTTTTAGATTTACTACTATGAATTCAAGCACAACTAAAACCTCTTATCAGAACATGTCTCCCCCTACGAACTTTCCAGAAATTTAAGATCTTCTGGGGCGGCCCTGCTCTCAGTCCTGCCTGCCTCACAGGCATGTTTGGCGCGGACGAGAGACAGGACCTTTTCAGTGGTGGCCCCTTGGCTGTGGAACTCCCCTCCTGGGGAGATGAGATTGGCCCCCTCCCTCCTGACCTTTAGGAAAAGAGTGAAAACCTGGCTCTTCAAGCAAGCTTTTGGAACCTCATTGTAACCAGATAACTCAGTATTGTGAACGAATATGGAACAGCTTAACGATGCAAATGGGCATGGATTTTAACCTGGAAGTCATGGATTTTTATAGTTTTAAACTGTTTTATCATGAATTTTATTATGTGATTTAATCTTAATTGTATTTATGTGTGTTCGGCATCTAATGTTGCCAGTCTGTACGCCGCCCTGAGTCGCCCTCGAGCTGAAAAGGGGGAGATAAAAGTGTAGTAAATAAATAAATAATAAATGATGCATTGAAGGAAGAATAGGATACATTAATGTTGTCGGTTTAGCAACACATGTTGCAACACTGCAGACTCAACCAGAGAAGTCAGCCATAGCAGAGAACCTGATGAACCAACCTGGACACAGCATATTATTTGAGAACACAGAAGTGCTGGACCACTCTCACAACCACCATGTCAGACTACACAGAGAAGCCATTGAAATCCACAAGCATGTGGACAATTTCAACAGAAAGGGGGAAACCATGAAAATGAACAAAACCTGGCTGCCAGTATTAAAAAACTCAAAAATTAGGACAGTAAATAAAAACAACACTCTGAAAACATGGGAATTCCAGACATGAAACAATCAGGGCCAGCTAACACTCCCAACAAAGGATTCCTTCAGGCAGTAATCACCCAGGGTTTGACGCTGCAAGGCTTTGCAATGTTAATCAAGTTGATTAGCTGCAACATTCACACTTGCCTCCAACAGACAAGAGTTCTTTCTCCTACCCCGAACCTTCAACAGCTATATATACACCCCTTGTCTAGTTTCCAATATACCTCATCACCTCTGAGGATGCCTGTCATAGATGTGGGTGAAACGTCAGGAGAGAGTGCTTCTGGAACACAGCCATACAGCCTGGAAAACTCACAGCTACCAAACACATGTATTGCTTGGCACTAAATGCGTGCAAGCTACCAGGGCCTGTCCAAGACATTTCATTTCCGGAGACAGATTCCCTCCCATCAAATTTAAACTGTAGCCAAGGCCAGACAAGTTATACTAGCACCTAAGGCAGGAAATACTGCAAATTCTTCTTTCCCCACCACATTAACAAATTTTGTTTCATTTTTGCATTACCTAACGTGTGCTACAAGAGGCAGCTGGGTCACTCTGCCCAATGGTGTGGCCAGCTGCAAGGTTTCCACAGAAGCTGAACCTTGAATTATTGGGGTTCTAGTTGTAAACAAGATCTATGCATAGACTTCCTTCTCAAACACCCACAACTCAGGATGGAGCTAGCGAGTCAAACAATGCCAAGGGCCCCTTCTTTTTCAATATCTGGAGCATTCTTCAATTTGATGGTGTGTAACAGGGGCATTCAGTTTGGAATTATAGTATTAATATGACCAATGCAGTCAACAGTTATACTAGCCTTCAACATGACAACAAAGACATTTTTGGAAGCGCTAGATACATGCAACAAAATTAAACCAATCTGCAAGGGAAACCTGTTAGTTTCCTTCCAGACAATCAGGTTATTACAGCTATGAGGAAATGAATTTCCAGTGTAATTGTGAAAGACCGGTTTAGCTGAAGCAGCCATGCCTTTCTCCTCATTCACTGCTCCTTATTATGTACTATTATTTACTGTATTTATATACCACCTTCCTCACCCCTGGGGGGATTCAAGGCGGTTTACAACATGCTAATGGCAAAAATTCAACGGCAACATACAGTACATAAAGAGATCATAATAACTAATAACTACATATAACTTAAAATCAATTAAAACCATTAAACATAAGAGCTTTAGTCAGAGTTGCCTGTGGCTAAAGCATTATATATGCAGCACTTGGGAGCTGGAGTTCTTCCCTGAACTCTGACAAATATTAAGCATAGCTAAATGAATACACTGCCATGTAGTCTTGGCTGACTGGTGAGAGCATGCACAATTGCTCCCTCTCCAGATATAGGAAAAACAGAGGGCATGATCTTGCCAATTTTTAAATTTGACTTTTTGCCTGGGAGCTATCACTAGGGCTGTGACTACTGATCTATGAGATCGTTGGGATCTCAGGTACCCTATCTACATTTTACTAGAGCTCTTCTGGTACTCATTGTAGATTTTATTTATTTATTTATTTATTTACCTTACTTATATACCGCTGTTCTCAGCCCGAAGGCGACTCACAGCGGTTCACAACAAATACGAACAGCAAAAATTCAGTGCTACAGTATAAAAACAGTTAACAACCTAACACATTACACAATTAATAAACAGTTACTACAATACCCATTCACTGTCGTCTCGTCATCAAAAACTTGTTCCAGATTCGTCATCCATTGTTCCATTCCAGTGTTCATTAACCAATCATTGCACTAATTATTCGAACGCCTGCTCAAACAGCCAGGTCTTCACTTTTTTGCGGAATACCATTAGAGATGGTGCTAGTCTAATGTCCGTAGGAAGGCGTTCCACAGCCGAGGAGCCACCACCGAGAAGGCCCTATCTCTCGTCCCCGCCAGCCGTGCTTGAGAAGCAGGCGGGATCGAGAGCAGGGCCTCCCCGGAAGATCTCAAAGTCCTGGTGGGTTCATAGGCAGAGATGCGGTCGGATAGGTAGCTTGGGCCGGAACCGTTTAGGGCTTTAAAGGCCAACGCCAGCACTTTGAATTGAGCCCGGTAGCAAATCGGTAGCCAGTGGAGTTGGCGCAACAGGGGGTTGTATGCTCCCTGCGCTCCGCTCCTGTTAAAATCATGGCTGCCGAGTTGGACTAGTTGGAGCTTCCGAGCCGTCTTCAAAGGCAACCCCACGTAGAGAGCGTTGCAGTAGTCTAAACGGGATGTAACCAGAGCGTGGACTACCGTGGCCAAGTCAGACTTCCCAAGGTACGGGCGCAGCTGGCGCACAAGCTTTAGCTGTGCAAATGCTCCCCTGGTCACCGCCGAAACCTGGGGTTCCAGGCTCAGCGATGAGTCCAGGGTCACACCCAAGCTGCGAACCTGCGTCTTCAGGGGGAGTGCGGCCCCATCCAACACAGGCTGTAACCCTATGCCCTGTTCGGCCTTGCGACTGACCAGGAGTACCTCTGTCTTGTCTGGATTCAATTTCAATTTGTTCGCCCTCATCCCGACCGTCACAGCGGCCAAGCACCGGTTCAGGACCTGGACAGCCTCCTTAGTAGCAGGTGGAAAGGAGTGACAGAGTTGGACATCATCTGCGTACAGATGACACCGTACCCCGAAACTCCGGATGATCTCTCCCAGCGGCTTCATGTAGATGTTAAACAACATGGGAGACAGTATTGAGCCCTGAGGAACCCCACAAGACAAAGGTTGTGGGGTTGAACAGGTGTCTCCCGGTAACACCTTCTGAGATCGACCCTCTAGGAATGACCGGAGCCTGTAAAACAGTGCCCCCCAGGCCCATTACGGCGACGCGTCCCAGAAGGATACCGTGGTCGACGGTATCGAAGGCCGCTGAGAGGTCCAGCAGAACTAACAGGGACACACTCCCCCTGTCGAGCTCCCGGCAAAGATCATCTACCAAGGCGACCAAGGCTGTCTCAGTTCCATGTCCCAGCCTAAAGCCAGACTGTGCCGGATCTAGATAATCAGTGTCTACCAGAAATCCCTGGAGTTGTGAGGCCACCACACGTTCCAAGACTTTGCCCAAGAAGGGGAGATTGGAAACTGGCAGATAGTTGTCGAATTTAGTGGGGTCCAGTGATGGTTTCTTCAAAATGCTAAAGTTTCCTTTTGGCAATGTTAGACAGTGATGGTATATGTGATGGGTATGACATATATTCACCAGAAAAGCAAACCCTTGTCCTCTTTAACAGATACTGTGCGTTTCTGGATTATTTATTTATTTAATTAATTTCCAGTATTTCTATCCCATTCCTTCTCAACCCCCGAAGGAGGACTCAGGATGGCTTACATTTGGCAGCAATTCGATGCCACTGCATATAACAGAGCAATATAATAACAATTAAAACAATAAGTAAAACATTCATTAAAACAGTAAAAAACAGTCTTAATAGCCGTATCACCATTCCAGTCACTTCCATATCCAATTCCAATAAAAAAAACCCTTAATGGAACAAGAAAGTACTAACATCACCTTTGGATGACATTCTTTTTCTTCTTGATTGCTTGTCTTAAGGGCTCTCTAAGTGTAATTTGGGCAAAGTCCTGAAGAGCAGCATAGATGGTATGGCGAATAGCATGATTGAAGACACTTTCCATCCTGCCCATCAATACCTGCAATCCTTTAATCATGGCGATCACCTGCACAGGGGTTGGGGAGAGTTATTTTTGCATAATAAAACCAAATCACACAGAGAATTGGGGAAAGGATATATTCTGCAAAGGCATCTTTTTCCCTTACCTCAACAAGAGCAAACTTCTCTTCGCTGGTATAATTATATCGTGTTGCTCTTTCATACTCCTCAGCATTGTCTGGGCAATCTTTGTTAGAGTATTTGTCAGTTGGATGCACAAGCTTCCAAGAATACTGCAGATGAGATGAAGAATAAGAATGGCACATAGTCAACAAAAGTCAGCCTGATAAGTTGCAACATGAAGGGCCACATGCATCAAGTCCAGCTGAAAGCTTGTATACTCTTTGAACCTCTGGGATAGCAACTGTGAATTGTTTTACTAGAACATTGGGTGCAAACCCTAAGATAGCATAATAGTAAAACCTCATCTGTATAAGGAAGCCACCTTCTGCATTCACAATTAATATGAACAGATGCACATATACAATTCTGTATTTACTCCGATCCTACAAAAGTGAGGTATACTGTAACTTTAATGAATATGGTGATTCATGAGTGCCATTAGTGGTAATATATGACTAGTCCATAATTAGAGGTTATCATGGGGCCATTTTGCCAGTAGTCTACCATATTGCTCTGATGTTTAAACTACAGGCTAACAAGTAACTCAAGTACAATTTCAATTTCCTCTGGCTAAAACCTTTGATGTGTAGTGTAGCACTTTAAATTGTACATTTCTATGATGCGTTTGATCTTTGAGTGCCATGTAATTCCTGGTTCCTTTCAAAGCCATTCTTAAGATATGGGGCCCACTCCATCTTCCAAGTGCTGCATATATAATGTTGTAACCAGTTGTTGTTTACTCGTTCAGTCGCTTCCGACTCTTCGTGACCTCATGTACCAGTCACTTCAAGGATAACCTCCATTCATCTTGCCCTTGGTTGGCCCCTCTTCCTTTTTTCCTTCCGTTTTCCCCAGCATCATTGTCTTCGCTAAGCTTTCCTGACTTCTCATGATGTGGCCAAAGTACTTCACCTTTGCCTCTACTATCCTTCCCTCCAATGAGCAGTTGGGCTTTATTTTCTGGATTGTGGACTGGTTGGATCTTCTTGAGGTCCAAGGCACTCCCAGAATTTTCCTCCAATGCCACAGTTCAAAAGCATCTATCTTCCTTTGCTCAGCCTTCCCTATGGTCCAGCTCTCACATCCGTAGATTACTGCGGGGAATACCATTGCTTTTACTATGCGGACCTTCATTGCCAGTGTGATGTCTCTACCCTTCACCATTTTATCGAGATTGGTCACTGTTCTTCTCCCAAGAAGTTAAAAAAACCCTGCAATAACCATTATTGTGGGCTATGTCCTGCAGTGTTTACATACTGACCAGTAAATTTCAAAATGGTTATGAAATCAGAGATAAGACAAAGTCCTATTAAAGCATCTGTTCATTCTGTTCTAATCCTACTTCTGAAAATATAGAATTCATGGGATTAGCATTAAAATGTATTTTATGAATGTGTCTGTTAAGCTAGTCTTACACTACTGCTACCACGTAACACACTTATATGGCAGTTGTTGTGTTCAAAGGATGCTTCTCACCCATATCATACAGAATATATGAAGCCAGCAAAGACATTTATATGATCCACAAGAAAAGTGAAGCCAGCAATAGTTTCCAGTGGGTTCTACCCATTAGTTGGCATGTACATACCAGCTGGTTGTTTTGCCTTCTGATGTGAATATTATGACATGGAATTTGGACATTCTATGCCAGGGTGGGTACTACACAAATTACACAGCTCACAGTTGCAAGATACTCAACTTAAGACGGAAAAAATGGAATGCAAACATACAGAATGGGGGATGCCTAGCTCGACAGCAGTATGTGTGAAAAAGATCTTGGAGTCCTCGTGGATAAGTTAAACATGCGCCAACCATGTCATGCGGTGGCTAAAAAAAACAATGGGATTTTGGCCTGCATCAATAAGAGTATAATGCCTAGATCCAGAGAAGTCATGTTACCCCTCTATTCTGCCTTGGTCAGAGCATACCTGGAATACTGTGTCCAATTCTGAGCACCACAGTTTAAGGCAGGGGTCCTCAAACTAAGGCCTGGGGGCCAGATACGGCCCTCCAAAGTCATTTACCTGGCCCTCACTCAGGGTCAACTAAGTCTGAAACGACTTGAAAGCACACAACAATAACAACAATCGTATCTCATCAGCCAAAAGCAGGCCCACACTTCCCATTGAAATACTAATAAGTTTATATTGTCGAAGGCTTTCATGGCTGGAATCACTAGGTTCTTGTGGGTTTTTTCGGGCTATAGAGCCATGTTCTAGAGGCATTTCTCCTGACGTTTCGCCTGCATCTATGGCAAGCATCCTCAGAGGTGTGAGGTCTGTTGGAAGTAGGAAAAATGGGTTTATATATCTGTGGAATGGCTGGGGTGGGGCAAGGAGCTCTTCCCTGCTGCAGTTAGGTGTGAATGTTAGCTGATAACCTTCATTAGCATTTGAAGGCCTGCCTAAGCCTGGGAAATCTGTTGCTGGGAGGTGTTAATCTGTGCCTGGTTGTTTCCTCTCTGTTGTTTTGCTGTTGCATTTTAGAGTTTTTTAATACTGGTAGCCAGATTTTGTTCATTTTCATGGTCTCTTCCTTTCTGTTGAAATTGTCCACATGCTTGTGGATTTCAATGGCTTCTCTGTGTAGTCTGACATGGTGGTTGTTGGTGTGGTCCAGCATTTCTGGGTTCTCAAATAATATGCTGTGTCCAGGCTGGTTCATCAGGTGCTCTGCTATGGCTGACTTCTCTGGTTGAAGTAGTCATGTTCCTTGATATGTCAGACTACACAGACTACACAGAGAAGCCATTGAAATCCACAAGCATGTGGACAATTTCAACAGAAAGGAAGAGACCATGAAAATGAACAAAATCTGGCTACCAGTATTAAAAAACTCTAAAATTATAACAGCTAAACAACAGAGAGGAAAAAACCAGGCACAGATTAACACCTCCCAGCAACAGATTTCCCAGGCTTAGGCAGGCCTTCAAATGCTAATGAAGGTGATCAGCTAACATTCACACCTAACTGCAGCAGGGAAGAGCTCCTTGCCCCACCCCAGCCATTCCACAGATATATAAACCCATTTTTCCTACTTCCAACAGACCTCACACCTCTGAGGATGCTTGCCATAGATGCAGGCGAAACGTCAGGAGAAATGCCTCTAGAACATGGCTCTATAGCCCGAAAAAACCCACAAGAACCTAAGTTTATATTTGTTGAAATTGTTCTTCATTTTAATGATTGTATTGTTTTAAAGTGTTTTTTGCACTACGAATAAGATATGTGGAGTGTGCATAGGAATTCATTCATTTTTTCCCCAAATTATAATCCGGCCCTCCAACAGTTTGAGGGACTGTGACCTGGCCCTCTGTTTAAAAAGTTTGTGGACCCCTGGTTTAAGGGAAATGTTGACAAGCTGGAATGTGTCAAGAGGAGGGCAACTAGTATGATCAAAGGTCAGGAGAACAAGCCCTATGAGGAGCAGCTTAAAGAGCTGGACATGTTTAGCCTGAAGAAGAGAAGGCTGAGAGACGACATGATAGCCATGTATAAATACGTGACAGGAAGTCATAGGAAGGAGGGAGCAGGTTTGTTTTTTGCTGCTCCAGAGACTAGGACACAGAACAATGGCTTCAAACTACAAGAAAGAAGATTCCACCTGGACATTAGAAAGAACTTCTTAACTGTAAGAACTGTTCAGCAGTTGAACTATCTGCCCCAGAGTGTGGTGGCGGCTCCTTCTTTGGAAGCTTTTAAACAGAGGCTGGATGGATAGCCATCTGTTGGGAGTGCTTTGAATGCGATTTTCCTGCTTCTTGGCAGGAGGTTGGACTGGATGGACCATGAGGTCTCTTCCAACTATGACTCTATGAAATGTGACATTGAGTCATATGTTAAGTGTAATGGCTTAGAGCAGTGGTTCTCAACCTGGGGTCCCCAGATGTTTTTGGCCTTCAACTCCCAGAAATCCTAACAGCTGGTAAACTGGCTGGGATTTCTGGGAGTTGTAGGCCAAAAACATCTGGGGACCCCAGGTTGAGAACCACTGGCTTAGAGTCTACCAAGACTCCTTCAATTAGATATTTCCCATGTAATTCTTAGTCTAGAAATAAGGCTTGGAATAAAGTCTGGAGATGCTTGTTAAAGATGTACAATCTAGATATTACTTATGAAACTAAAGATGGGGAATTACATTTCCCCTGTTTCTCCCTCATAATTTTCCCCTGTCTACTGGTTCACATACCACTTCCATAACATGTGCACTCCACTGAGACAGAAGTTGGAGGCCCTGGAGAGAAAGGTCAAAAAGTTTTCGATACTCGGCATCTGTTTTCTGAGCTTCTTGACGGCCTGATCCAGTCACTACCTGTAACAAAACCATCATCGTTAGTGCAGAAACAGTAGCACATCAGACTGTTATGATAAGAGAATATCTCCACATGAGACCTGCCCTTATCCTGCATTAATTCACAAACCTCACTATTGCTGTATCGAGCCAGTTCTGAAATAAAACGCATATGGTCATCTCTTATCTGGATCATCTGTTCACAGATGTTGTACTGGGGACTGCTGCTGGAGGAAGTGCATGTCCATCTACAATAAGAGAGGAAACAAATACAAACAAAACAATAAATTATGAAAAGGAAGAAAAGGAAGATTCTCCCCTTTTAAACGCTATCAACCTGACAAAACAGACAACAGTAGAGCATGGCAATCCATCAGGAGATCTCTGGTATAGATTTGGAGAATTCTTGCTGCCTGGTTTTGGGAGAGAAGGATATAGCTGAAGAGTTTCACCTCTGAAATCCAATAGATTTAAAGCTATTTCATTGTTAACTGCATACTTGTATAGTCTTCAGAAGATAAGACAACACAAAACAGTGCATGAGTAGGCATATCCTGGAAGGCAAAGCCCTCTTTGCAAAAGAACCACAAATGTGATTACCCTTTGTTCTATTCCAGGAAGCATTTTCCATGCATTGTAGTCCTTCCATTAATTACTGGGGGGGAAAACAGATATGCCATAGTGCAACATATGGCTATGCACTACTGCATCTACGAGGGCAGTGGTTCTCAATCTGTAGGTCCACAAGGTGTTTTGGCCTTCAACTCCCAGAAATCCAAACAGCTGGTAAACTGGCTGGGATTTCTGGGCATTGTAGGCCAAAACACCTGGGAATCCACAGCTTGAGAACAATTGAACTAGGAATATCCAACTTAAACTATTTTCATGAGTTCAAAGAATAAATTATGTTATACCATATATTTGGGACTGGGAGGGGGACAACATTTAAGGCTTTGAGCCTAAGTACACTTCCTAAACCATAAATTCCATGAATTGGTAGAGGCCAGGGAGGCAGGCAGGCGCCCTCGGGATGGGCCGAGAGGTGGGTAAGGAAGTGCAGGTAAGAAAATAATATATAAAATATATAAAATAATGTATAAATATTAAAATTAATATAGTATCCCTACTTTGCGGATTTTCACTTATTGTGCATGGTCCTGGAACGGAACCCCCATGATAAGTGAGGGAACACTGTATATAGTGTAATATGTAAAAAGAGTTAAAACAAGAGTCATTTTTTCTGAATATAGCTGCTAATGTCAATATTTGATTATTTAAATTCTCCTGTTTCCGTTAGACTGGGGTAGACAGCCTTTCACTGGACTACAATTCCCAACTGGCCACACTGGTAGCGCTGGTGGAAGCCATAATGCTTTAAAACCCAAAAAAGCAATACAATGCACACCCCTACTCAAGAAAATGTATGAAACACAAGTTGTTAAGTCCACAACAAGCAACTTACAAAGATACTGCCATTTTGCTCTAACAAATAATCTCTGTTTACAATAGAAAAAGAGTTGCAGCAGGTTTGTTACTGTTTTAGCAAGGTAGGTTTGCCTCTTTTCAGTCTTACCTAGACTTATTTTCCTCATAGTGAGCACTAGTCTTAATGTATCTTGCCAGTTCGATCTGCATATCGCCAAACAGTGGAACTACCTGCAGCTGCTATACTCAAAAGAGAAAACAAATTAAGTAAAATCTGATATGCAATTCATATCTATTCCTCCAAACAAGAATTAGAAAAGCTACAAGCTACAATTAGTCAGAAAATTAGAAAGCACATAAGGCCGTCACATTTATATAAAAGTCTCCCAAGGCTTAATTCAAATATAGTAGAATAGGTGCAGAAGTCCCCTGGTGGCGCAGCGGGTTAAACCGCTGAGCTGCTGAACTTGCTGACCGAAAGGTTGGTGGTTTGAATCCGGGGAGCAGGGTGCGCTCCCGCTGTTAGGCCCAGCTTCTGTGAACCTAGCAGTTTGAAAACATGCAAGCGTGACTAGATCAATAGGTAGGAAGATAATGGCGCTCCATGCAGTCATGCTGGACAACGCCGGCTCTTTGGCTTAGAAATAGAGATGAGCACCACCCCCAGAGTCAGACACAACTAGACTTAATGTCAAGGGAAACCTTTACCTTTACTAGCATAGCACCTGGTATTAGGAATCTCAATTCTGTGATTATGTGAGGGTTTCATATTTTTTTTACAAAGCCCTATGCTAACATTTACAGCACTTTTTTTCCCCTCCCAAAAAAACATGTAATTTAGAGGTTACTTCTCAGATAACAAAAAAGGCAAAGAGCCAATTTTGTATATTATTCTGACCTTTACCCCAGCCACTAGTATTTCATTGAGCACCCTATCAATGACTTACACATCCATAAATCCAGCTTAATTAGGTGTAAGTCTTTTTCTGGACTAGGCATGAAGGACTATTATTACGTTTTTGTCATCACCATTCACCACCCAGCATCTGTCAAGCTCCATTCCAGAATCTCTATCCTATACCTTGACCAAGCTGAGACTAGCTGCTTCCCCATGGTACAAATCACCCACCCCATCTTTTCCATTCTCCACCAGCAACTGATAGCAGCAGGGGTCCCTCCCAGCAGGAGAACACAGAACTGAGCGTGAAGAATTATACATACATATAGCATCACTGCCATTAAGTATCTGAAGCATACAGACTAAGAACACTTTCAAGAGCAGGAAATATTTGTGGTTTCCTAACGGTTTAAAGTGTATGTAAATATACATATCCACAAGTTTTAAATCAGAGGTTCTTATCTCCTGGTCTGCCAGATATTTTGGGCTTCATTTCCCAGAGGCTATGTTATATGTTGCATCCTGGAGTGCCTTTGTAAGCCGCCCCAAGTCCCTCAGGGGAGGTGGTGGCGGGATGTAAAGAATTATTATTATTATTATTACTATTATTATCGGTCATTCTGGATGGGGCTTTTAGGAATCGAGATCTAAGAGAATTCTAGATGACTAATAGTTGAGAACTACTGTTATTTTAACCAACCTTAAAAAACTTATCAATCTTGGAAAGATTTATTCTTTTTTTTGCGTCCAGCTTATAGATGTTACTGACACTGCCATCCATCAGGTACAGACCAAAACCCATGACCTGAAAAGAAGCAAACAAACAAAAATATTAGAAACCAGTTATCTTCACTGGGGTATTCATAGGGCCATTCCAGACAGGCCCTATATGCGAGGATGCGATCCCAGGTTTTCTGATTATCCCAAACTATTTGGCAGTGGGAACTCATAAATTCAGTTTAAAGCAGAAAACCTAGGAACAAATCCGGGGATACAGAGCCTATCTGGAAGGCCACATAGTATGCCACCCTCCTCTTCAGCCTCCTCAAAAATCTCCTCAGAACAGCAAAGAAAGACCAATTATGAGGCAATACTTCTCCCTCAAGGGGCAGACATGCCACAAAAGGAAACAATATTAGGAAGTCAAAAGGAAACTAAGACACTCTGGTACCATTCTTAATTGCAGAGGCCTCCTAAGAGTTTAAGAGAAATATGGGAGTTCTGCATGCATTTTTTCAGACTGTGAAAAATTAGTAGTACTCTAAGACCATAAGCTCAGACAATTTATGTCTCCAACAGTACATTTGTTTCTTTATTTATGCTGTTTTTGGCTGCCAGCACAACAAGTTCAACTTATGGTGATGCTAGGAATGAAAAATCTCAAAGCCCAGTTAATAGCCCAGTTCAGGTCTTGCAAACCCAGGACTGTGGCTTCCTTGATTGATCCTATACAGCTATAATATGGTCTTCCACTTTTCTTACTGCCTTCAACCTTGCCAAGGATCAGTGTTTTTTCTAATGAGCCATGTCTTTTTGTGGAATGTCCCCGGTATGAATTTCAGGTTTGTCATCTTCGTTAACAATGAACTTGTCCTAGCAAAGGAGCCACTAGATTCCTATACTGGCTCTATTCTGAGTTTCTGAGTATTATTCAAAGATAACCCAACATAACGTAGGTTATAGTCAAAAGGAAATGTAACAAAGGCATGTGTCGCTGTGATCAGATAAGACATCTCCAAGAGTGTTTGCTATTTGAAGATTAGACTTAATCGTGCAAACACACTCCTGGCCACCACTGGAATTGGGGCATCCAAGCACAAGGCTGAATCTGGACATATGCCCCAATGAAAACCAGGATCTCTGTAAAATCACCAAGTTAAACAGACATAGATGCATACACATGTACACTTTATTTCAGCACTTGTAGCAAATTTGGGTGGTATTAGAAGAACGCACATTACAATACTTAGCCTTCCAAAAATATTTTTATAATTTATAGTCTCAACTCAAGATAAGAAGCCATAAAAGGTCACACCTGGATTTTCGACATGCAGAGCATTCTCCCAAAAAGGGGTCCGATCAACTGGCAAGAAGAATAGGCACAATACTTTTTGGGATCCTTACTCATTTCTGTGCCAATTTTACCTCCTACAATGCATTCGAGCAATAAATGATTCAAATACACAAAACCCTGGCACTCTGAATTGAAAAGCAATTAAATTAGCTTTCTTGAACAATTTCTAAGAGTTTTTTTATTTTTAAGGAGGTGAACTTCTGAAAGAGTTCAGTGCACAAATTCATTGTTCTATTCAACATTTTAAAAATTACGATATTCATTCCACTAAAAGCCAGCGTTAACGGCTGGATACTAAGCAATCTGGTTCTGCATGCCTTTTGTGTAATTCAGCTCAATGACACAGAATGACACAGAATTGCATAAATTCCTTTTCAGTCCTTTCTAACTCCTCATGAACACATGGAGGTGGGGTAGAGAAGAGCCACCCAGACAAAAGCGAGTCTGCAATTACTCATTATTATGGGCTACTTGATGATGGAGCTTTAAGTTTTCAAGAGTATTTTGCACCATTTTCAATGGCTTCTCCTCCCCCACCATAATGAAATGCGTTCCAGCAAAAGAATACTTCTTACTTTCAGGAGCATATGCTTCTCACTCGGTGTTAGGTACATTTTGTTTTCATAGTAATCTATGCATAAATTTACAATATCAGCAAGCAGTTCTTCATAGCCAGGAATCACTTCAAGTTGTTGCTGCAAAGACTAGAATTAAAACCAAGATAAAGTTGTAAATGGCAAACAAAAACCATTATTCAAAATATTCATATAATACTAAGCATATACATAGGGAAATGGCTGTCTTTCTATTATTAATAAGCACATAAAATACTGTATCAAAATTAATGTACAATTTATATTGTGCATTATTGATAACTTAAAGACATACTTGCGTAATCTTGTTGTGATTGGCAAGAAACATAGACAGGTTCTGCGATTCTTGGATAGACTGAGGATCAGCCATTTTACGCAAAAATTGGGCAGCCCTTTTCAAGAAAGCAGAGTAAAGGAGAAATGTTACATTCTACAAGAACAATTCACAGAATATTCCTATTGCAACCTTCCCCAAATGGTAACCTCCAAAAGTGGGTACATCATTCTCAACCAGCATATCAATAGTAGTTGCAGTCCCACACATTTGGCCAAACATCAGATATTGAGATAGTGCTTATACACACCTACAAAGGACTAAACAATTCACACCAAGGTATATAATGCATGTATTATAATAGAGTATAACTTCCTGAGCCACATAGAAGTTCATAACTGCAAAAGGATTAGGTGTGATGGGACACACAGGTAGTATCCAACACATTCCATTCTGCGACAATATAATTATTTTCTAGCAGTAAGAATCTGTGCAGCAAGGAAGGCAGCATGAGCTATCCATCCGTGAAAAAAGCTAGTATGAAGATTTCCCATTTTACTGGAAACATCTTTTGATCTCTGTAAGCTGAAGAATGGCTCAATCCATTTGCCTTTGATGACATAAACAAATGTCACATGTGATCCTCCAAAGCCATTTTGGTCACCAAAACCACACTTTTTCTGGCCAAAATAAGAGGCAAACTGTCTGCCATTCAAATCTTTAGGAGTAGTAGCTCACCTTTAAATAGGCTGCACCACCCTCTCCCACTTTAATTTAACCAATGTTTAAAAATTTGTCTACAAGTGGATCCTCTTTTTTAAAAAACATTTTGGGCAGATCTTCCAGCCTGCAGAGGGTACCAAGTTAGAAGATTGCTCCCAGGACAGTTTCTCGTCTCCATTTTATTGGCTTCCATAGCAAAGACCTGCAGCCACCTATATCTGAATTTATGAAGAAACTCTGGAAATACAGTCCATATGTAAAACCATCCATTGTCTACAGTTTAAAATATGGAATGCATTGCAGAGTGTACAGGCAGCATTCCTGCTGAAAACTGGTGCAGTATAGCCCAAGGAGCAAAATGCTTACACCAGAAGGACTGGCCCTATTGGCTGTCTCCAAGGGACAGTTGAAAAACTTGTATAAGCAAGGAGACAATTAATGTGACAACAGTTCACTACAAGTCCTATCCACATTGTGGTGCCTTCTATGTCAACGAGGCCACAGATCTTCTCCAGGTTTCAGTCCAATTTTTTAAAGAACCTATGCAAAATGCTGAACCTTGTGCCCCAAATAAATTCAGGTGCATTCAAATTTGGACTACAATTGAGAGTGGACTCACTATCTACTGACATGGAAATCACCAAGCATCACTGATCCTAACGTAGTATTAAAATAGAACTACTGCTACTTGAAGTCAGTTTCTGGCAGCAAATATTTAACATCTGGAGCTGATCCTTTTAAAAATCACACAAATAGGAAAAGGGGGGCATTTTATTTGCTCATATATAAAAATGTAAGGAAATCCTCTCCCCAATTGTATTACTGATGCTAGTGCACCTTACGATGCATCCAATGCTCTCTCTCATCCCTGTGACCAAAACCCTCTAAGTGCCACCACACACCCCTTAGTCTTGATTCTCTACCACTCTCACGAGCCTCCCCATCCCCGTATGCCTGCCCCATCTGGCATAAATTTGTCCACGCGAAGCAGGTGAATATAGGACTAAATGAGACATGTAGAACAATCACAGGATGTCTCAAACCAATACCTGTCGATAGATTCTATAAGCTAGATGGCAGTGCTCCCCCCCCCCCCAACGTGCGATGGCAAGTTGTTGCCAATTGCGAGAGGAATAAGGCTGAACACTGTGAAAGCCATCCACTATATGGCTATTAGCCTCCTCCCAGTAGACTTAAATCAAGGAAAAGTTTCATGAGAATCACAACTCCTCTGAATGTTTCTCCAGCAACAGCAAGGATATCACTGTGGACAGCAAAATCAGGCAATTCCAACTGGATGGCTCCCCCACGAGGGTTTTCCTCTAGGGGCAAACCAAGAAAGGACAATTTGGAAGTCCCCGAACAGACTTAGAAGCGGAGTTGGCAGATCAAAAGACAACCTGGGTAAACGGCACAACCTAGAAGAATCCTCCACCTTGTGCGACTGTGGAACAGAACAAATTCAGCATCTGTATGCTCGCCAAGAATGGCCTGCATCATGCACAGAGGAAGAATTGTTTAAAACTACAGACAATGTGGTCACTGTTGCCCGTTTTTGGTCTAAAACTATCTAGCAGGTTGTGATCCTTTTGTTTTATCAGTTTTAGATATACAATTTTATGCAATGCTTTTGACACGAAATTAAAAAACGAGCCTCTAAAACCTTTATTTTCAAGGGTAACTGAATCAATATAAAATAAACCTAAAAGTGAGTATCTGACCTTTCACAAAATGGATATTTCTGTAAAAATTATTTTATGGCAGGTACAAAGACAATTATTTTTGGTAAATAGTGCAAAATGTTTACAATATTTTAAATGATTTGAGAGATGATGGTGTGCCAGACACTAGTCCTGGAAGCATCTACTTTACAAACACGAAAAATGAAATCCACACAAGCAAGTGCACAAGAGACACTCCTCAGATCTTACTGCACATCCATAAGAGGCACTGAGCCAAATGCCCAATGTTTATACAACGCATCAAGTGATGGCAAAGATGTGTCGTTTTCATCTACCAGCTAAAGAAACCCTCCCCTATCTCCTGCACTATTCTTAAAACTGTGCTAGAAGTCTAAAAGCAATCACCCACTTTGAATGCAAGTGGTTTTATACTTAGACACTAGCTGGTTGTCTTCTTTCACAAAGAAAACCCTGCATGGCATGAGATTTTTTCCTGAAAGGAAACAATGAGGGATTAATGAGGCTATTCATCATAATTAACATCACAATTAGCCACCTGGCACTTTTCTGTCAAATAGTATTTTGCAGGTGTTATCTCAGAAGTTCAATTTCTTGTTGCTTATCATTTTTAACTGCTCAGTCTTATGCAGCTTTGCTCAAATGTTAGCATATTTAGCGAAGAAAAGAGTGCATAAAGCCCAAAAACAGACCACAACTGCCTATTTGTGGCAAAGACAGCCATCTGAAGTCTATTATTATTATTATTATTATTATTATTATTATTATTATTATTATTTGAAATATTTCCACCTTGATCTATATCAAAAAGATATCTGGGTGGCCTACAAATACAAATAGCATTAAATAGACTGGGCTGTTTAATGCAATAAAAATAATTTAAATTAAATAAAACATATTGTTAAACTAATAAACCATATGAACTTTTCAGCCGTAGAAAGAGATTCTTACGCAGAGGAGTAAAGTGTCATTTGGGAAGAAAGGTAAAGGCCCCAGACAGTTGTTCCCTGGGTAGAGTTCCTAATCTTGGGCAAGTTATATTAGATTCTTCTTATTTCAACTTACCCTAAGCATATCTTTCAATAAACAAAAACCATGCCCTGCCTTATGGTGACGGTGGCAAAGGTGTATATCCCAAACATAGAATTTGAATATATCAAACAACTAGTGCCATCTTGTGGCCGCACTATCCTAGTTTGTTGTTACATGTCTTCAAGCTGACTCCAATGTATGAAGACTCATCTTGTGCATTTGCATAGAATCGCTGTCCGTTTCTGTTTGTTTCATTCTTAAGACCCTGTTTTCACCTCTCCCGAAAATGGGCTCTTTTCTGAATGAGCTTTGTTGTTTCGGGTCCAAAAGAACAAACATAAGATACCACTAATTCTGAGATGTTTTCCTCTCCTACTGCAGAAAAGTACTGAGGTTAAAGACTGGGCTTAAGATACACAAGCACATTCTCCGTGGGCCACATAAGGAGTGCCATGTGTGCCAAAAAGCAGGTGACTAAATGGTTACTGTTCCCACTTTCCTTTTGTTTTGCTGTAAATTTCGTACTGGATAGGAGTTTACAGTTTTGTGCCTTCTGAATTAAACAAACAGTATGAAAACACGAATTAAACAGATGAAAAGGTTACTGGGCACATGACTAATGAAGACAGGGCTTTCTTTGCAATATTTATTCAGAGGGGGTTTGCCACAGTCTTCCTCTAAGTCTGAGGGAGTGTGCCTTGCCCACGGTCACCCAGTGGTTTTTCCATGTCTGAATAGCAATTTGAACCCTATTCCTCAAGAAACTTATTCTAACATCCAAACCACAACAACCAGACTATATTGGTACTACAGCCCATTTCACATGTGGTAGGACATGCATTTTTCCATATGAAGGGACTCCATCTTTACCTCTTTTCAGAGGTTGCCCATATCAAAACATAAGTTTAATACAGAAAGCTACTTAAAGCTGTATGAAAAATTACAAATTTTAAAACACATCAAGCATAAGGAGAAAGCTATTGCATTTTTTTCTCAAAGTAGCGATATGGTTCCAGATACACTCATTTTACATATATGTGGGACCAATATGCAACAAAACTCCCAACCACAAACACACAAAGAGGTGAAAATATGCTTGTCTGAATGGAACCTGTGACAGCCTCAAATTACATAGATTATAATAACCTACTATTACCAAGTTTCTTAGACATGGAGCACAAAGGCTCTAGGCATCACAAATTCAAAACCTCCCTGTGCTACTAGCTGGTGCAGTGTAGAAAGACAGCAAAAATCCCGCTGTGCAAGATACTCCACCTTTTTTCCATAAAGCCTGACAGTAGCAAATTACATGTAACATAGTCACCTACACATAAGTAGACAAGGGCATAGGTCAAAGTAGTAAATGAGATGGACAGTACAGGAAAAGTGTGATTTTCAAACTATTTTTTTAATTTAAGAGCACTTTCAGAATGTATTTTTTCAGGTTTTCACAATCTAAACCCATCTTAAATGTTTCCAAAACAATAAGCAGTGACATAATAAGTTAACCCCCTTTTGCCAAACTATAATTATAACAGTAACAAATAACTTTTTAACATACTTTTGTAACATTCCAAGCTCTATTCTTTTCAGATCAACTCACCGTTTATAAGCTGAATGGTCATTCTTCACGCTACACTTCATATTTTTCAGTTCATCTAAAACAGCAAACATGTTGATAAACTTTCCAAGAGTTATGAGGTAAGCTTCAGACACAAAGTCCTTCCTTCTTTCTGCATGACACAAACGCTTCACCTCTCCACAAAATCTTTCAATTGCATTTCTCTGTTGATGAAAAAAAATCATTTTACAAAAGACATTGTGTAAGTTATGCTACATTTCATTTCAATGTTTGAAAAAACATTCAAACTCCTGGGCTGAACTGTCAGGATGTATTAATAACACTATTTCATGCACCGCTGAGCACAAAATGAAAGGTATAAGGCATAGTGAAAGGTATCCATTAAAAAAGATCCCCCTGGTGGCGCAGCGGGTTAAACCGCTGAGCTACTGAGCTTGCTGACCGAAAGGTTGGCAGTTCAAATCCAGGGAGCAGGGTGAGCTCCCGCTGTTAGCCCCAGCTTCTGCCAACCTACTAGTTCAAAAACATGCAAATGTGAGTAGATCAATAGGTACCGATTCTGTGAGAAGGTAACAGCGCTCCATGCAGTCAGGCCACTGACATGACCTAGGAGGCATCTACGGACAACGCTGGCTCTTCGGTTTAGAAATGGAGATGAGCACCACCCCCAGAGTTGGACATAACTAGACTTAATGTCAGGGGAAACCTTTACCTTTTTATCCATTAAAAAAACCCTCAAACCTATAAAGGAAATAGATATGGATGAAGGCTAGAGATGGAGTAACATTAAATGGAGAAAAATATTCTAGAAACCAGTATCCATTTACCTGAAAATACATGAAATTCATCAGTTTTGTGACCTCTGGCTCCAGAACTTCCACAGTTTTTTCATAAATTTCCACTCTGTTTGGCTGCTCATTACATTTCACCTGAAAAGGGAGATTGAGAAAATTAGCAATTAATACAGTCCAGATAGCTTTTCTTCCCCTAACCATAATATCAATTTGAAATTATGTAACATTGCCTTTTGGTTTTCAAGTAATAAAATTTCACAAGTATTTCAGTTAGCGAGTAGCCTTTATTTCAATCAATGAACCTTTGGCTGAAGTCAGAAAAATAATTCAGTCTTTTAGGCTGAAAAAGCCCTCTTTGGCTTATACTCGAGTCAAAGTTATTTATTATTTTACTCTGTTATTGTTATTATTGTTATTACATGTATGATTTTACTCTATTTATTATGTTTATTACATTTATGATTTTACTCTATTATTAATGGAAGGATACGTAAGCACATTTACACTGAAGAAGGTTAGAATAATAGTTTAATCAGAGTTGGACAGTTTTATCTTAAATTACAATTTTATGTAAATATTCAAAAACATTTAACCTACTGATGCCTTAATTAATGTAATTTTTATTGGTATCTATTTTTGTTTTGAAATCTACCAGTAGCTACTGCATTTCCCACCTTTGGCTTATACTCAAATCAACACATTTTCCCAGTTATTTGTGGTAAAATTAGGTGCCTCAGCTTATATTTGGGTCGGCTTATACTGGAGTATATACAGTTTCGAATAAGGCCCAACCAACGCTTTCAGGTGAACTAAAACCTCTCTTCAAATGTTAAGAATCATATTTCTATTCAACTTGCTAAGCAACTAGCCATGAACTACAGACCTTGTGAGCAATGTCCAAATTGACTGTTATCAAAATTTTAAAAATAGGCTTTATTCTGTAAATATTCTCACATGATTTAGATGTGAAATGGATACTTGCTCCTTTATGATAAAAGCTACTTTCAACATGCTGCACAATTCTAGTTTTTACTTGTCTACCTAAGCAGCAGCAGGAAAAACAAAAGGAGGAGGGATACAACAGAGATAGTGGCCCCTGTAATAAAAAGGATAAAGTATATATTCTAAACCAGACAGAGAGCCTTAGAAATGTTTGCCTAGCAAGACCTGGGCTGGTTTCTCAGGGATGATATTGCTATTCCCAGGAGTGGTTTTGCTTCTTTACCTGAGGGATGGCTCTTGAGCAGCTTCTCCATGTGTAAAGCATAATAGCATATTCTTGGCCTTCTTCCAACATTTCATTCTATAATAAAAATAACAATCTCAATTTTTACAACAACAAAAAAAGATATTTGGGGGGGGGGGGAGAGAGAGAGAAGCCAGAGTTTAAAAAAGAGAGAGAGAGATAAACAGGGAACATCAAAGAAGAATATTTCATTATATGCTGTAATATATTACTGTGTCTTGGTGATTTTAGCTTAGTGGTACATTCTGCAGTACGTATTCATTCTTTTAATGTATCATTGTTGTTGTTTATATTTTTAATATGCTCTCAGAAAAAGCTGCTTATAGAGAGGTTTAAAAAATAAGGCAATAAACAAACACATCAACATCGAGTTTCAGAAGAGATGCCATACTCTTACATCAGAATACTGAAATTATTTTATTACTCCGATCGTAAAAACAGGAAGTTAGATCTACTTTTTTTCAATGTGACAAAATTCTTAAGGGTAGAAAAAGCCAAATTCTTTGTTTTTAAGCATAATTCGTACTCTTTATAACAATTACTACTCCTACCAAATAACAATATAACAAAATGAAAGTCAAGAATCTTAAAATGCAGGATTGGTACATGCTCAGTATACATGAAAATCAGATTAAAAGCATAAATTTAATTTCTTATTTAATTCTATTGCAACAAACTCAGATGCAGTTGCCCTGCAAAAAAAAAACTCAGATGCAGTTAACATTCCCAGCAAAAAAAACCCAAACAATAAACAATTTCTTTCCCTTTCCCAATGCCCAAAATATGCTTCCTGAACCAGCCATTGCACTCTGCCAAACCGTAAGAACAAATTTGACTTTAATTGAAAGCTGAAAAAAGGAAGTATAAAAAAACTACCCATATTGTGCTTCCCCACATTTTCTTGTACTTGCTTTAAAAAGATAACCGGAGTAAAATAGAGAATAAAGCAATATTTACCATATTAGAATGAACAGTTGCTTGTTCGATGTATCTTGCAATGCCTGTGACAAATGCATTCCTGTCTTCAAAATTGGTGTTGAAGTTTGGCTGCGTGACAGAAAATACACCACAAAGAGAGTAGATAAATAGTCATTAAAATAGGGAAATAGAAATGCGAGATAATGTAGAGCTCTTCAAACATACCTTTAGATGAGGCCAGAGCAGTAGTTAAAGATATACTTGACACACGCAAATCCCCTGTTCCTCCCACTCACTTCCTCATGGATTTACTAGACATTGTGCTAGAATACAACTATTTTAGTTTTGATAAACAATTTTATTTACAAACATTCGGAATCGCTATGGGCAGCCCACTCGCACCCGCTATAGCCAACTATTTGTTGCATACTTAGAAAATAAATTCATCTTTAATACTACTAAGAATCCATTTTCTTCAGATATCCTTTATTTTGGAAGGTATCTAGATGATATATTTACAGTAGTGAGATCACAGTCAACAGCTGACTTATTCTACAGCTGGATTAATACACTACACAAACACATGAAATTTACACACCACTGTAGCCCTACTAATGTTAACTTTTTGGACGTTATGGTTTTCAAAGATGGTCAGAAATTATTAGTGAAAAATTATAGTAAACCTACAGATAAGAATTCTTTTTTACATTTTTCCAGCTTTCACCACTTTTCTCTTAAATCTAATTTACCATATTCTCAGTTTTTAAGACTGAAACGTAATTCTAGCACACAAAAGGACTTTGAATCTACGGCAGGTATCCTGAAACAACAACTCAGAGAGAGAGGATACCCTAATAGGATACTCAACACAGCCATGAGCAAGGCAAACTCCATCAACAGAAGTGAATTACTACAGGAACGCCCTAGAAAACATAACAACCGTATAATATGGCCCTTGACATTGACACAATATTCATCCAAAATCACTAAGATTATTTTAAAACACTGGCATTTACTACAGGACATTCCTGGATGCAAAGACAAACCTATATTTGCCCACAAAAGATCCAGAAATTTAAGGGACCTCATGATCCACTCTGAATATAACTCTCCTAATACATCCCATGAACCTACCACTAGGGGTCACACTAGCTGTGGACACTGTAACTGCTGCCAGCAATCACTTAAGAGTAAAATATACTCTCATCCAACACTCAACATTAATGTCACATTACAACATTTGACAACATGTTCCAGTGACAATGTAGTGTACCTATTAGAATGCCCCTGCAAACTACTATATGTGGGAATAACCACTAGACCCCTCAAAATTAGGATAAATGAACATCGTTCACGCATAAGGAATGGGTCCACTGACTCTTCACTATATGTACATTTTAATGAAAAAGCACATACATACCATAGCTTTAAATTTTGCGCTTTGGAAAAAATATTACCCAGACCAAATGCGGATGTAAAAAAACTCCTTCTGCAAAGGGAATCCTTTTGGATCTTTAAACTACAAACACTGGTTCCTCTAGGACTAAATGACAAAATTGAGTACACTTGTTTCTTGTGAGTTATAATTCTACTTAAGAGACAGCCAAGCTAGGACTCATTGCTCGTTATAGAACTCCTACTACAACAGAGCCTGTGTTACTGAAGAGAATGTGAGTAGAGTAGCGTGTTTCTTTACTGTCATTACAAAATGTTTTTCTAGCAATGTTATTTTGGGGTTTTCATGTATCTATTGTGTATGTTATTTCTACTCCTTATCTAGTGCACTAAGCATAATATGATAACAGACTACACCCTGAGGAAGATAATTGTTCGAAACAAGGATAACATACCGGAAGACCTTGTAGAGATTTTGTTGCCTAAGAAAGACTTTGTTGTCTAAGAAGAATTCCTTGAGACTGTCTTGCTAAAAGAAGAACTCTTTTGAAGACAAAGATAGAGACCTTTGAATTCCTTTACTGAAAGGATGGACTCTATTACCTTTAGTCTGTTACTTATTTCTCTATGTTAATGTGCTGATAACAGTTTTGTTTAATGCTATAAAGTGTTAATGTGCTGATAACAGTTTTGTTTAATGCTATAAAGTCTCAGACAAGTTATGTCAATAGAGAATATTGTTGTATATTACTTTCTTGAGAGTCTGTTAAGATTTACATACATACATTTTTGTTCTATGTTATTATAGATACTTGTGCATTGTTTGCTAACATACCTGATAAAGCAAGGATGACGGAGGGGGTTCAATGCAAGGTTGCTGATCTGGCAATGGCAATTCCTCCAGAAGGTCCACATTGGACAAAGCGTCCTCTAAAGTAACTTGAGCTGTCATTTTGAATCTGTGAGAAAGTCCATAGAAACGTTTTAAAAACTAATAAAATGAATGTTCTCCCAAAATAATGTGTACAGTAACTACAGTACAGGCATAACTTAGTTAACAAAACTTCTAACAAAGAAGCTCATTTTCGTAAAATCTTTTTAGACTCAAACCGTCCCTCTTTTCCTTTTTGACCCCTCCCTATCTTTTTAAAGCAATATTGACATTGGAAGCATAGTGAAAGGAGGCTGGAGAACATGGATAATGTGTTTACGCTAAACAAAACAATAAATCTTAAGCTGGGAAGGAATGGGTTTCAACTCTAGACAATCCTACTATATCTGTGTGTATATTCTTACAACAGGTAAGGCAACCAGAAGCTCCTCAAGAATATTGTGAACAGCAAAATGCAGAAAAAAATAAGCCTGTTTCACCAGTTAACCCCTACCTCGGTATGTCAAAAAAAGTGCACATGTATATGTTTGGCCACCAAAATGGAAATCACAAGAAAAGTGGAAGTTAGTGAAAGAAAGAAAAAGAATCTAGAAGAAGCCTTCATGTTTATCTGAGAAAGTTCAAAATGTTTTTGTTTACTTATGGATAACGTTTACCTAAGCTGGCTATTTTATCTCTCACATGTGTAGCATTATTTTGCATTCCAAAAGTGTATAAATTAACCAAACTGTCTTTTTGTGGCAAGAACTTATTCCTAATCTTTCCATGTAACTTCTGCTTCTTGGAACCAAAATGTATGCTAATGAAGTAACGTCCAGGAATACTTCTATTTCATTAACTGCACAATAAAAAAAACCCCTAGTAATGGGGTATAATTTGTCAAAAGAAGTGCAATCTATTAATCTGAGCACATAAGAAAAGGAATATTCTGGGCCCAACCCATGTGTTGATATTTGACAGAGAAGATTCAGCATAGTGTGACTTCAACCTTCATGGTAATAACAAAATGCCAAGATATGAGGTTTACCACATCCTGAAATGCTTTTAGCTTATAGATACCCATATGAAGGAAACGTTCAGAATACACATTCAACAAACAGGACTGAGAGACAAAAGCTGTATCATAGTGACTACTATATAAACAAAACAAAACAGCAGTTAAGTTCCCACTCACAAAATACTGCCATCTGAAAGCCCAAGTGTTATTTTTCCTGGTGTTCAACCCTCCAACCAAGTTCACAGTTTCTGTCCTGCAAAGCTAGGCCCTTTCCACACGGCTGAATAAATCCCCACATTATCTCCTTTGTGGACTCAGATAACCCACTTCAAAGCAGATACTGTGGGATTGTCTGCCACGTCCTGAATAACAGCTCAGTTTCGAACACCAGCAGGACTCTATGAGGGGGAAAAGCGACTTACAAAAGATTGTCCTCTAAGATTAAGACAGCATAATAAACACGGAATGCACCGTTATAATATACTTCTAAGATCAAACACCACCTTTGCACCTGGATTCTTTTTTAAAAGGTAAAGATGGCACTGTAGGTGAAACCTGAGCTCACAGGACTGAAGCACCAAGACTTACTGATCAATAATAGCAGTACTAGTAATAGGTTGCTGTGAGTTTTCCGGACTTTATGGAGAGAATGCTTCTGGATCATGGCCATACAGCCCAGAAAACCCACAGCAATCCAGTGATTCTGGCCATGAAAGCCTTCGACGACACAATAATAATTTTATTTCTTACCCACCTCTCCTCGAGGTGGGTACAACATCGTTAAAAACATATAATAATCTAAAAATATTCTACAAAATACACATATTAATTCGTATTTCTACAAAATATGTATTACAATACACAGAGCCGAGATTAAACATAAGGTGTAAATTTAAAATTCACAGTTAAAAATGGCTGGGTAAGCCTGCTGAAAAAGATTGGTCTTCAAATGGGTTTTAAATTCCGACAGCTCATTTATTTATCAGAGCTCTTTCGGCAGGTCGTTCCACAGTCTTGGGGCGGCCAACAAAAAGATCCTCTGGGTGACAGTTGCCAGTTGAGTTCTGGCTGGTTGGAATAGCCGTTTCCCAGAGGATCTCAGTGCACGGAGCAGATTATACGGGAGAAGGCGATCATGTAGGTAACATGGACCCAATCCATTGGGGAGGAGGGGGGATAATTAGCCGGGGAAATTATATTGTACTGCTGTCTCCTCTCTGTTCCCTGTTCTCTCTCACTTGAGCTACAATCAGCTGAGAAAATGGGTTCCTCTGCAATAATACCCGTGAGCTACTCATCACATAAAAGGCCCTACTAACTTCCACAAGACCAGCTACCAGCTATACTTACCATAACTTCATATACAGCCTGCAAACTGGCACAGAGAGCAATTTGTTGTTGGGTCTTTTACTGGCATGCCCTGCACTGCAAAATTGTATGGGTTCTATAAAGCTGAGCCCACAGGCCTGCCAGGGACTGAGTCTGCTGTGCTTGCTGTGAAGGGGCAATAAAGA